TGTGTGTTTTTACTATCTAGGACTAATGAAATGCAAAAAGAGGAAGCAATTCCGCATAAGGCTCTGTAAGAACGGTTGTGGGGTGTTTGATTTTGACATGATGTGTTTGCGTCTGCTGTCTGTGACAAGATGTCTCTTGTCAGCTTGTTACCAGCATCCTTTTCCATCTGATTGCACAAACAAGAGAGCAGATCCCACTATGTTTATGCTGTTGTGTTTGTAGACTGCATAGTAAACTGGATTCGGAGCCTTAAGAGCATAATCACCGGTGTCCGGTGAGAGAAATGATTTACTGAACATCTCCATTAATTAAGAAACCACCACAGGAGAAAATGAACTTAAAAAAAAAAAATCATATTTGGCTTAGAGAGATTTCTCTCCAACCTTTTGAATATTGTACATGGGGATATGGAGATGTGTTTTTCGATCCAGAAACATTTCTGTGTCCCTCTTTGAACTTTTACAGAAAAAGAATGTGTCCAAAAACAAAAATTCAAAAGGATTTCTCACTTGAAAGCGAGTCAAAGCGATTCAAATTATATATAATTATCACGACTGTTGGAAAAACTAAGAGGGTTGAATGTAAAACAGATGAACTTTCATCTGTTCAAAGCGTGAGTGAAATAAAGTTGACACCACTCAAAAACCGAAGCGGCAGCAAAGCTCTGCCAGCAGTTTCCTGGTATGCTCTTCAAACTCAAAGTATTTGTGCGGTTGCTGAACTAGATACTGTCAAGGGGTTCTCAGAAATATTCAATACACATTTTCCACAACATCAATACTACAATATCGATGCACCCTTATCTTCAGATGAGTTGGCAAACAATGCCCACACTGCTGCGCTTCATTTGCCTCACTCACAATGTTGCCTTACGATCATACATCTCATTTTTACTGTCTTAACTCTGTTGCCTTTATGTAATTCTGCATCATCTCGAAACAGGTTAAATGTTTGCTCAGTTGCATTTACATAGAAATGGATTTTGTTTATGCTTGTTTGCCGGAGGATGTGCATACGTTTTCTGTTGGTGTGCATCTTAGTTCCCCATATGGCTGTCAGGGTGGGAAATTGTGAAAGCTTCCGTGTTTATGTGTGATCTGTTTTGCGATGCACATCACCTTGAGCGCACACAGTGGCTCATTACTGAAAGAAGCGTGGAAGCACCAAGTCATTCAATCAATACGATCACATCAACCACACGTTAACCACAAAGCCCTCGTCAGTTGAAAGTGGTGTTTGTTATATTCAGTGAATAACACAAGATTTACATACCTGTTGCTTTCTGGTTGGGTTTAAAAGAGAACTGTTTTTTTTCTCCGGATTTTTTCAAACGTTTATGTGTGGCTTCGTCTTTGACGTAAAGAGTTTTTATTGTATCATTTAAAGGAAAAGCAGAAAACTAGATGAAAAAAGGCCGCAGTCTGGCAGGAGAAGGCATAAAACTGTTCAGTGCAGAGTGGCACCAATTTCAGCCGCTCATCTACCCTAAAACGGCTCCTCAATTATCATAATGTGTAACTACTTGTGCTTTTTGAGGATTTCTGGTACTGAATTACAATTAGATGAAACGCACACACACACACAGAGCTATCCCGACCATGTGTGCCGCTGTGACATGCAGCCTGTACACACACGTCTTTGTAGGGCCGTTCTTTGTGGACTTGTACCTTTTCAGGGAGCCATTCTGTCCCTCTGTGGGACCACCAGTGAGGTACATAAGCTGCCAAGTCAGACTCTGGCACTAATTGGCTACACTATTAGACGCCCACAGAGCCACACTTTGACTACAGAAATGAGCTCATCAGTGTGAGGATGGAGATTGGGCACAGTGCCTCCGTGAATGCAGGAGACAGAGAGACATGGGGGGAAGAGACTTCTAATTAGGGGTCACTGATGAACACGAGAACACTATGGAAGCAATCCAAATTCTGCTTCCTTTAAGATGAACACTCACACACACACATATATATGTATATATTTATTAAATGGATAAACACTCAATTGGTCTGATGGTTCGGGCTGTAGTGGTGATGGCTGGAGGGAAAAGGCTCGTCTTTTGTGTGAAGCACTTCAGCTCTTCTGACTGACAGCAGGGACAGGAAGTGAGTGCGTGGGGCTTAGAGAGGAAAAGAGCTTTTCTCTATAGGCTGCCTTCCTCAGATTAACATTCTTCTCCACCACTCGAAATTCTCCTCTTCCACCCCTCTGCTTTCACTCCCTCGTCTCTCTTGCTATGACTTTCTCTTCTCTCTGGATCTTCCTGTCCACTTAGATCCATTTACGCTGAGCATCATTCAGAACCTATTTTCAGGACATTTTCACTTTCTGTAACTCTCTCTATTCGTTCCTGAGAGGCCAAAGATTAAATTAGCAAGATAAGAGGCAGAAGTTTGGGATGCTACACGTGTCATTGGATAATTGCAGTTGTATTGTCATTGTTGACAGATGTCTCTTACATCAAAGTGAGATGTGTTTGAATAGCAACCATTTCTTTTTAATTTTATTTTATATTTCGGGGAAATGCTGAAAGTAATGTTTGCCTCTTCATTATTTTTGTAATAAAAGTATTGGTGGGAGAGGTCTATTTTAAAATGTAATCATGCAATTCAACACACATTTGAACAACACGGTCATATATTGACCATTATTTAAAATCAAAACAATGGGATAAGGTTCACAGTCATTCAAAGTAACACCTGTAACAATGTTCACTCGCTGGTTGATTTACTATCGACAGCCATTGTTTGGCCTCCCAATGCTAGAAACCTTAAACAGTAACACACGGTTACAAAGAAACAGCTGAAGACTCAGATTTTTATTTCTTTCGTTCACAGAATAAGGTTGTTAGCGTATTTGGTCTCACAACAAATCCACTGAACACACTCCATATCTGTTTTATCGATTCTCTTTGTTGGGAAAAGAAAAATAAGATTTTTTTGAAGGAGAGCCTATATCAATTCTTCTGTCTTCTTTAAATGGAACCCGGGATTTTGTGATTTTTACTTGATAGCATAAAATGTTTTCAACTACAGTACTTGAATACAGCAGTTTCCGAGTAAGATCTAACAGGTGGTGTTATGTCAAAAAAGCGGAGATTCTGCTCTATAAAGTGCTTATGAGCAGAATAAATACAGTAGCTTTGTGTATTTAAATGTTTATTTCCCATGCTTTCACTCGTAGGTTCAGTATTCTCCCACACAATCAACTTTAGCTGCTGTCTTTGCTTCTTTACAGAGAATCAAACCAAAAAAAGCCAAGCATTGAGTAAACCTAAATGGCTTACAACATAAATATATAATAGCACACACAATTCTGATAAAACACAAGCTCACATATCTTTACACATTATATATCCCTCTACACGCACACATGGAACCACAACTAAGCCGCTCAAGTTCTAAAACATATTCATGAGAAAATGTGAAAAGTCATCGACCAAGGAGGGACAGAGAAAGAAGGGTAAAAAGGGTTTAGACAGGAAAAAGAAAATGACTGGAAGGAGAGAAGGAGAGTGGATAATCAAATTGAAAGAAACACACTTTCAGGGCATTAGCTGAGCTGAATAATGGAATAGCTCATACTCCACCAAACACTTTTTACACTCACACAAACTCATACAAACACAGGATGCATCCTAAAAAAAGTAATAAATTAAAAATTAGGGGGGAGGGTAGAAAAAACAATAAAAACCAACCATGCACATCTATACAAATGCAAGAAAAACATATTGCAATTAAGGTCAAAGAAAAAGCCTAACTTTTTCATACTTTGTCATACACAGCATCAACTCTTCTTCTGCATGGGACTCTTCTCAGCAAATCCACGAAGTGTACACACAAGGGAAGAAGAGGGAAGCTATTTTTTGGTGTTTTTTTCAAACTATTACAGTTATGTGACCGCCAACTTTGGGATGAGATCTGATTTCTTCACAGGTGACTAGTTCTGACATTCAGTGTTTAACGTTTGTTCAGTTTTGTTCGTCTTTGCTTCACGTGTTTGTTTGAGTGCTGAAATGGTTTGCTGCTCACTGTGGCTCATGCTTATTGTTCGTTACTGCTTTAGTACACCGCCTATTGTTAAAACGACAGCAACACTGACAGTACACGTTGATATCACGCATTCCATTTAATTGTCTACCAGCTGTATGTTACCTACGGCGACTGTGGTGTTCACATTTCCAGCCTATGTACTGTACAAGGTCTGTCCTCAAAGACGTGAAGTTTCTACATTCATGTGACAGAAATAGTTTTGGATAGACAGAAACAGCGCATGACTGGATACACTGTTTGCACTATGAGTCCACCAGGGAAGCGGTTAGATTGAGAAATGGTGGAATGTGTGCTCAGGGTGTGAGTTTTATTCCATCTTTTTTATTCTATTTTATGAATGAGACACTGTGAATAAATAAGGTCTGAAACAAGTTGCAAAAGAAGGCAGGTTGGTTGTTCCCCAAACCAGTCTGAGCCGGAAATCCAGCTTCCTTCAGTCACTTGAAGGTTTTTCTTTTTTTTTTCTTTAGACAATCAAACTGTGTCACAAATGAGTGGGGTTTCGAAAGCTAAAGAGGTCACCGGTTATGTGGCCATGTGTTCAAGTTTAGCATGGGTGGTGCCTGCAGTTTGCATCTCCGGTTATATATGTGAGTCTCAGAGGCTGTGTGGTGGCTGAGGCTTATAGAGGTTACAGTGTGGTGCTAAAAGTTGAGAACATTCATTGAAATCCACTCTGACTAACTGTTGCTAATACCAGTGTACATAAAGAGAAAGGCAGGTGGAAAAAGCACCTTAAGGAGCAAAGTGTTGCCTATACTGGGCTGACAAGACAAATTCATCTTGGAAATGAGCAAACGGTTCCGGTGCAACTCTAAGCTATTCACTCACCAGGACAAGTGAAAGGCTCTGTGAAATCTCTCTGTAGATCTACTAAGAACCCATGCATTGGCTAGTTATGAGCTGAAACTGCCACGTAAAGCGGGAACCGTCACCTCAGTGCTAGTCCCTGTGATTAGTCTCCGAGTCTGAAAGCTGATCCAGACTCTCGTTCACTTCTCCAACCAGCTCGCTTTCAGGCTCCCCGTCCTCATCGTTGCTTTCTGCGCTGTAGTCTATCGCCTCCAGAAAGGATGGCTCATCCTCATCCAGCACATAGGTAGTCGAGCAGCTGCTATAGAAAACAAAAGAAAAGGTCATTATAACAACTGTCAGAATCACACCTTTAAGACACGTTTTGTTGATGTTGTGTGGTCACTGTCGGAACTGATTCTACACAGTTCTTATTCTGAAGAATAATAAATTGTCTAAAGCTGAGAGCTCCTCACCAGGGGGCTGTGAAAAAATTGTTAATTTCCTAAGAAACTGCTTCAATGAACTCAAAAGTTACAAAAATCATCTTAAACTGCCAAGCAAACTTCTCTATGAACAAACTTCAAACAGTATTTAGAAAAAACAAAATCACTTAAATTACAGCAATATGAAAAGGGAGATACATTTCTAAATCGCAACTAAATCAAGATAGCTAACAGGCGATACTTATGAGCGCTCATATTTTTTCTTCTTTTTTCCTATGGGTCTTAATGGTTAAATGGTTACTGGTTCTTTGAGGTTTTAGTGGCTTTAGTGGGTTTTTAATGGTGTTAATGGTCTGAAATGTGATCCCAGGGAGACAGTCGACTGGGGGGGGGGGGGGGTCAGACAAAGAGCTCCCTTCAATCTCCCAACAGTGTGAGTGTATGAGGGAAACAGAGAAATTGTGCATATGTACGGTAACCGTGTGTGTGCGCTTTTGTGTGCACGTTCATGTAATGATGGACATAATATTGTCCAAACGAATTATGAAAGCTGTACATCCACCATTAGAGGCCATTACAGAAATATCAAACCCAGTTTATTTTTAAGGCTTAAGCAGCAGCAGTCATCTAACATACAAAATCATGCATGAACATTAAAACCTCAACTGCTTTCATTCACTTATCCGAAACCTCCAGCACGCTAAACCATCTCTCTATGCCCCCCTAAAACTTGCACAAAAACAAACTCATCCCGAATCCATCCATTTACAAACACCGAGAGGCGCCTCCAAACGTCCACACTCATTGTTTGTCCTATTAAAATGGTTAAGTGCTAGCATACCAAGCGCCACGCATAAAACCATAAATCCAGAGGATGAGAGCAACCAATCCCAGAGGGTACTCGCACAGACACTTTTGGAGTCCCTTAATGATCAAACACATGAATGATGAATGAATATATCAATATGAGAGTAGATAGGTTAGTAAGAGCGAGCCTGCGAGATGCTGGCAGAAAGAGATGTAAGCATTAAGTGGTTTTATGCATAAGCCATTCTTCTGGCTCAACTGCTTTCACAAATCTTTTGAGGAGACCATCGACATTGTAAAAGAAATAAAGATAACCATGGCAGTCGCAGCTTTCGTTTGGCCAAGTTTAATAATTCAGTCTCATTGGTGAACAAAATACAACCCAATATGTGTGGGGGCACATATTTCTGGACTGGTAATTTCAGTCAAGCCGATTAGACACTGTGTAAAGCTCCCCATTTATTCTTTTTTTTCATGGCTGAGGAAGAGGAGAGCTGACTCACACTCTGCACTGTCCGATGCATTTCTTAAAATATCGATGTAGACTCCGAAAAATATTGATGTAGCTACCTCTTTTGAATGCGCATGGATTTAGATTTGGATCTATGCCAGGTTTATCTTTAAATCCTGATGCTCCGCAAAGGATTTTAGGATTATATAATAAATCTATCTAAAAAAAGAATAGTTAAACTGCCTAATCTACGTAAGAGATGTCAATTATGCTATTTATTTTTTTTAGAGAGAGATCCATAGTCTGAATCAAAGTGCAAAACATTTGTTCACAGAGGGAAGATGTTATCACAGATTTCTTTAAAAACATTTAACAATTAAAAGTTATTCTTTACTATGACTGAAAAAGTCATTACTTATACTCCCGAACACGTCAATAAGTTGTCCCAATAAGTGTGAAAAGATATGTATAAGCTGTGTAGACTTGCGAGATGTTTCATTCAGATGAACTAAGGAACACATTCAGTGCGGTGTCCCTTCAATGCCCTGATACTTAAGTATATAATAGGATGCAAATATATTCTGACCACGCAGACAGCCAGGCTAGTTTACATGTTCAATGTGCATTAAATCCTCACTGTGCAGTCCTGTGTCGCTGACTTCTCGATGTGACCCTGAAAACCTCCACCGTGTGACAGAACTGACAGAATTCCAATGATGCTCGCAGCACCCCTGCAAATATACAGGTCCTCCGTTGTTTCCAGGGCAAAGCTTCAGAAAACAACCAGACAGACGGTCACGCTCTGGCAAACAGAGCTGGCAAACATTGTTGGTTCTCAAACACAATGAAAATGCCCTCACCTTAGCCGGAAGTGCCGTGTCCCCTGATTTAATGCAACCCATTTGCATTATCTTTACGTCATATGCCGGCACGTAATCATAAAAACACGCTGTAAATATCGGGATCACACATCATAGACAAAAGCTGTCCCCATTTCCATCTACCTAGAGCAGTCTGACATATGTGAAGATTTCAAAGCTCTTCGGTTCACTCCCAGAATTACAATACGTCTCCGACAACTCGGGATGCCAAACAAAAGTCCTCAACCTATGTATGAAAAACCAGATGGATTACATCACAAATACGACATAAAACAAAGACATCTCATGACAACCTCTCACCTAAAGCTTTATATGTGCTCATGGCTATTCATGTCATCATTGTAATGAAGACAAATGTGGTGTGGGGAGATTCCTGTTAATGACGCATCCAGTGCATTTGAACCGCCTTTCATTCAGAATATTTATTGAAAACACAGAGCCACCAGGTGAGTTCTCCAGCCTGTTTAAAAGAATCCACATATGTTCCAGACCCTCCCCCCCACCCTCTCAATGGAGCCTTACCTGTCCACTTTAAATGAGCCACCAAAACTAAACATGTTAAAGCCACATTTGAGGTCAAACGGCCTTTTATACGTGTGACTTTCCAACCAGTTTCTCTTTACAGACCTGACTGTTTTCACGTGCGTCCCAATGACATCAGTCTCCAAGTCCAGCAAATGATGGTGATTGCGGAGTCCTGTCAACCTCTTTAGCCTCAGCAGGGACATACAGAACTGAGCACCCATCTCTTCCAGCTCTCTGGTGCCAATCTGAAGACCCTAGAGAAAATATAGACAACAAAAAAAAAAAGGTTTAGAAAATACATGGTGACCAGGAAAAAAAAGACAAACACAAAGAGAAATCGCATCAATTTATACGTGCTTAATTACTCACTCTTGCTCAGATATAATTATAAATAACACTGTGGATTTCCCATTTCTCAAATGCAGGCTGTGGTTAGAACAGTTATCCATCTTCAAATCATCAATAACAATTCTAATGATTCCAAGAACTTGGTAGTGAATTCCAATTGCAGAACCATAACAAATATTTCATTTTCAGGAGGCACACATTGAAAATTATGCATCTGCAAACCAATGAAAGCCCACGTGGTTAAGTTCAAGAATCTGTTCACTCACACAAGAGAATGAAAGCTCACACAGCAACGGCCACAGACAAAGATAACCTCTAACTCAACCAAAAAACACCATGTTTCTTTTTCCCCAGAGCAGAATTAGGAACATCTAAACTTGGTCTGGCACCAAAGATGTGCAACCACAATTCAGCTCCTGCACATCTGGACAAACACTTCTGCACAGAATGAAAGGCAGGTATCCAAGAACTGTCAGTATATTAGATGTTGACACTGGCAAAATTCAGTAGGAAAGTAATCCACTAGAGTAGAGAGACATAAAGAAGAAGAAGAGAGGGACCCAATGAAGCCAAAAAAGAAGCAGAGGAAAAGAACAGTCTTGTGAAAGAAAGGGAAGATGAAGAGTAGCACCACACCACCACCTGGTGGATTGTTTGGAGATCTAAAGTGGCATCTTTCTATCATTCATAACATTTAGAAAGAAACAAAGTGTCAACAAAACAAATTAGCAGCACAGGTAGGATTTCCTCAAAAGGCCATTACACCGAACTGAACCATGCAAACCAGACCTGATCTTTTTCCCAACTCAAATAAATAAGCAGAGTTCACACATACCTTATATTTGCCTTGGTCACAGCCACACAGAGTGCTCTCCATCGTGTAGCTGCGTTTGACTCCAATCTCCCTCCATACAACCACACGGGCAGTTGACTCTTTGGAGCGCTCCACAACAAAACTACAACTACCCATGCTGAAGGCTGGGGCGATCTGGGACAGGATCTTAGGAAGTGTCTGAAAAATATGAAAATCTGTCAATATTCTCTCTAGTTGTGTGTAGGTTTATGATTTATTCACTACAGCTAGACTAAAATAAAGTTGCAAGAACAGATATGTTCTATCAGTCCTGGGAGGCCCTTTTTACTCCTGGCCAATAATGTTCATATTTATCCTCAAATTTCCTTATTTCTGCAGAAATGATCATTTATGAAATGGAATCAGAAGTTCTTAAGCAAGAAACCCCTCCCACCAGAGGAGTTGTACTGGTGCCAAGCTCTGAAAAATGACATTTCTCACTGACTTAGTATCATACACATATGACTTAATTATGTTAAAATGAGATATCTAAACAACACCTCTATCACTATATGTTTTCAGGACAAATCATTACTTCACGAAAAGGTGTAAGAATCATCTTTTTGTGAGAGACACTGATTGACAAATAGCAAAGACACACTGGGATAAAACTAAACAAAAAAACTAAAAGAACAAAAATATTATCAATATTTGTGCTGTGTCTGTGTATGAGTGTGTGTGTTCACCCGGTATCCGAGGTCCTCCTGTAAGTCACTTGAAGTTGCACTAATGTTGGTCTGCCATACAGTCTCCTTCACACTACAGCCATACATGAACACGTTCTTTTTTCTGGAATGGCCGTGATAATCACAGAAAACCTGTACGTTCATGCACACACATAGACAAAGAGTAGCAGATGGAATTATGGGAAAGTCCAGGATAATGCAAAAGGTTCTATAAAATCAGGAATTTGTGTAATAAAAAAAAAACCTATTGAGAAAAATATCAAATACAAGCTCATTAAAATTAGATGTTTTACCATAAATAGGAAAATATAATTATACTAACTGCTGGTAATTATTGTCCCTCCTTATTGGCATGTTCTGTTCCACCCTTTAAAAAAAGATCCCTTTATCTCCTAATTGCTCACACTAAGTGTAAGACAGAGGCCAGAAGAGAGTGTCTCTATATCATAAAACTATATTTGATGTTTAATAATGTGGGCATGCAGCCAAACAGGATGGGCAGCCCAACAAGAGGAATTGCAAGTTAGTTGACAAGATGTTAATGAAAAACTATGTTCCAAAGAACAAAATGCCCCAAAGTAATCCAACTCCAGTTAATTTGATATCATACCAGTGGTGCCTTTTGTATGTAAGCAAGATACTGCAGCAGGCTCTTAGTATGGTAGATGGTGGGGTGCAGCTCAGGATTGGGGGTCAGCCACTGGCGATTCAAATCCTCTCCACTCAGAGAACAACGATGGCTACAGTAGAGAAGACATGGTACAGGAAGGAAAGGATACAGAGTGGAAGACAACCAGGCAACAGCGTGAGAATCCTTTTAGACAAGATTTAATGTTTGCTAACATACATAAAGCTGTGACCACTGTGCAGGCCCAGGTTTGGAAGATGAGTGTATACTTGAGAGTTGTGAGAGTGTGTTAATTCTGTTCCATCTCCTGTACTCACTTGCCATTAATAACCCCATCAGGGTTGAGCATTGGGACTATCTTGAAGATGTAGGCTTCTCTCAGGCTGACTGCGAGGGGGCTGGTGCCCATCAGGAACTCCAGTGTGCCCTTCATTACCCAGCTGGCATTGGTCTCTCCAGGGTGCACTCTGGCAGACAAGAAGATCAATGGACGATTCCCTGTAGAGGGAGAAAGAGAGGGGGGTGAGAGGGGGCGGTTAGGGTCGGGGGGGGGATAAACACAAATACAGAACGATAGAATGAGGTGTTCTTCAATGTAAAAGTTTTTCACAGCTGGGAAACAGCATCGGCAAACAACAGAGGACTGAAACCTATTTTGGAAAGCAAGCAGGACCCCCAATACCCAAAGGCTTTTCCTATTTGACATAATTCATTTTAATGTTGCTGGACTAACGGAAGGACCACTTCGTTTAATTTATTTGTAAAATTAGTCTTCTTTTAAAAGGGCTAGAAAAGTAATAACAAAATACTCAGAGAGCTTAATTTGCTGAGTAAGTTATGGACCTTTGCCCTGCAGTCAAAAAGGAACTTCTTTGCTGAATATCAAAGGATGTCATTAAGACTGATCGAATGTGACTGTGAAACAAAGAATCAGATGTTTGAATATTATTGATCAGTGATCAGTGCTTTGGATTAGCAAAGCACTGTGGATCATCTTAAAGTTCCCATGCTATACTTATCCCCATTTTCTCACTTATCTTCAGTATATAAAAAATCCAACTTCATCAAGTAAAGCTTTATAAAGAATCCTAAACAATGCACTTTAAAAAAAAACAACATGTAAAGGAAAATAATTTCTTCCAGTGATCTCTTCCTTATGAAACACTTATTCTTAAACCTTCTCTAAAATCCTCCTCACAGTAAATGAAAGGCAGGTTTTCCTTTTAGGCTGAGTCGGCCTGTGGGAGCTAGAGCATGCCCATTATCATCCCCAAAGAGCATTTTAAAAGCTGTATTTATTGTGCTGAAAGGAATAAGGAATTCCTCAGACCTTTGCAGATTGTGGTACGTGACATTTGCTTCAGAAATGTCTTCAAAAAAAGTATTTTTTTTGTGAAGGGTTGTTCATGTTTTTCAGCTTCCCCAAAGACTCCACTTTATTGGATTAGTGGGGAAAAGCTTGGATTTATTGCTTACGCTGATTTAAACTTGCGTGTTTTGTTACCATTAGGCTTACAAACATTACCAAGAACAAATATCATGGTTTAGAGTGGGGAGGCAGTTGTAGGCTAACACTAATTTCCCTGCTTTTCCAGGACATGTGAAAGTCACTCAGGAAATAAAAAGACGTAGGAATCAATTCACTTACGAAACTGACAGATGTGATCATTGGAGTTGGACTCAGGCATGGCAGTGATTGTGAGAAGAGGGCAGCCGTTCCCCATGAGGGTTTCACATAGTATGTCTTGTCTCAGGTAGATCTGAGGTGTCCGCAGATCCTCCAGTTTGGAGAGGTGCATCTGAATGTTATGGCAAATTACAGTTTTCATTTTTCGCCCACAGCGTTTTTCAGTTTCCATTTGACCCAAAATGAATCCCACTTTTATCATTATCCTTTACTTCCAGAAGCTAATGTTCAAGAGTAGAGCGACCACCACTACCTTCAGAGTAGAGTATGTATAAGGGTAATGATAGGCGAAGTAGCAGACATCATCCTTGTGACTGAAGCTTGTGCTGAAGGTCATCGTATAATAGGACTTTCCTTTCTGCCCACCAGCTGCAATGGAACTCCTCGCAAAATGATTCCTGTGAAACATTAAATCAAGATCAGCATTTTCAGGCTTTGACCTCAATATCTGGATCTGCATGTCAACCACAATGTGTTTACTTACTTATAGTAACAGATGTCGGTTCCTGTCCTGACCCAACGAGGCCTTCCGTTTATGGCCTCCTGCACAGAGTACATCAAAACCTGCATGCCTACCCACCCACACACACACACACACACAATGACAATATAATATTACAGATATGATAATAGAAATTGTCTGCACTTTCCACGATGCTTTTGTTTGTCTCACCGTAGTTGAACTGGCTGTTTGACTTCTCACAGTTGATGATGTTGAAGCGATACGTAGTTCCAACACGCATGCCACTCACTTCAAAGTAAAACCACTGATGGTAATGATTACTGTTGATATCTGCATTCAGCACCAGGTCATATTCATTCCTGCAGAAAAACAAAGATAAAGTGTTTTCTTTGTTGTTTTTTGTAAATCCCCCCATTAACAGTGCTTATGAGAAACATATTAATGACATCCAAATTGTGTAATACTGTTGTGAGATGTGTTCTGAACATTGTGATAATTGACTACAGCTATAAATGAACTAATTTCAGAGAGCTGATCTAATTTAGAATGGAACATTCAGCAGTGAGGATATTTCGAGGCTCCCCCAATACAGATGATACTTCAGACTTACTTCCTAACTTGAACTGCCTTCCTGAGGTTGCCTGACTCAAACTGAGAGTTGAACTTCAGGAATTCACCATTGTCTTCAGTCACAGGACAACTGAAAAAAATTTTGATGGAATTTAGATGCTTGTCACAGTTATCGAACTACATCACATATCTTTTTCATTTATCAAATGCATAGAGAGTTGATATACTTTCTCAAAGAGAACAAACTTAGGCCTCTGTATCTGAGACAATCTTTGAATATGAACCCCGATACAACGTACCCTTACATAGAAGTTAGGAGGCTCCACAGGAAACTCACCTGGGAATGTCCAGATCGTAAACTTTTTTATCAACAATATCGTTTGGGTGAATTAACCTCTCAATGTCCTGGAATATCTTGGACCTGCAGAGTCCACGAAAAAGATGAATGTTGTTTTTCTTGTTGCACCATTTCAGATGGAAACTTTACATTACAAAAGTAAACAAATCTCACCTCTGTACCCCATAAAGCCTCTCCAGAAGAGGTTCGCTAAATGTTGGTGCTACGTGACCAAAGTAGTCTGGGTAGGCCACCTCAGCGTACTGTGGGACAGAACGCGTGCCCTTCACCATTTCCACGTAGAGGTCTGGGTCGTGCAGGGGGAGGAGGAGAGCTGTGTCTGGCACCTCCAGAACTGCGCCCTCCCCTCCTTCATCATCAGCACCCTCTGAGCCACAATCTGAGCCCCAGTTACTGCCTCCTCCTCCTCCTCCTACGCGACGTGTAGGGATGCCCCCGAGGAGTAACGGTGAGTGTATGTGCCTCATAGTATTGAGTGGAGAGCCTCCATGCTTGACTCCCTCCGATCCCTCTTCTGAGTTCAGAACTCCCTCATCATCTAGAGAGACACTCTCAAATGGATGCGTCAGCTCCTTTTCAATCACGTCACCTTCAGACGGGGACCTGCTGAAGGAAGACAGGTGGAGATGTCCATCTGGAGTAGGAATGTTGGGGTCCTCTTTTTTGTCTTTGTCCTTGCTGAGGTGGATAGCATCCAGCTCAAGCGGAGCACCGTGAGTAGATGTGGGATCAGAGGGAGACGACTGAGCGTGTCCTTTCACGGAGCTGTAATCCTCGTGTGAGTTAGGTATGGGGGCGTGCTTTGGGGCCGGGGCTGCAGCTGTGGGCACAACAATTGGCCGAGTGGACCGACTTGATGCAGTGGATTGGAGGGATGTTGATGAAGATGTAGTAGAAGTACTCTTTGAGCAGTCAAAGTTATAGCCCTTGAGGGACAATATGCAAAGTTAGAAAGGGTCAATGCTGAAAAATGACATTCCAATACAACTACATCTCAATTGATTTGGTCAGGCCGGAAAGCTGCCTTTGCCAAGAACGTCAGTAGATACTTCAAGCTAAGACTACAGTGATCATTTACAGCCTTCTGCCAACATCACTGTGCTTGTCTGAGCCCTAATAAGTCAGAGCTGTTCTGGCAGCACAGGAAAGGCCTGCACAAAATTAGGCTGTTTGTTAAATGTTATGACCAATACAACACAATTCAGTATACAGCATACTCTCAAAGGGTTATTTATTGGGTTGTTCAATGAAGGGTTTTAGAGATCTGTTTTCAGTGACTGCATCTATTAAAAAAAGCAAGATTACCACAGACCAATGAAAAGAGGATATACTGTGTTTTGTTTTTTGGGATTGTATTAAGTTCAGCAGGTACAAAAACATTTATTTAAGATTACTCCTTCAATAACAAGGCCCATCAGTGACATAAAACCACCCAAAAACATCAAAATCAAACACCTACCTGGAAGTCTTCAGATAACTCAGAGAAGAATCTCTCATAGAACCTCAACTCCTCAAATGGACGGTTAATGATCCTCTTGGGATGCAGTTTGTCAAGGTCCGTTTCTATGTCATCATTCTGATTGAAACAACAGGAAGGAAGTCAAATTCACTCTCAATTGACTGCCCATGATGATGTTGTTAAGTCTGATGACAGGCATGGCAGGCAGAGTGATGTTAGTGTTTAGCACTTGGCAGTGAATTGGGATTCATGACTGCCCTCTGCTGGAAAATTTAACAAAGTGTGACTATAAATAACATTTTTGGGAACTGTTCATTTACATGCTTACAACTTATATCACATCTCACACTCCCTCTATGATTGAATCGATACCATCGGTGTTTACAAAAGAGGATTTCACATTTTGAACAAGTGACAAGCATAATGTTGCTATGTGAAATGTGTGCTAAGTGCACAAGTTAGATTATTACCAGAGCGCAACAATCCTTGTCATCTTCATCATTCTCAGTATCTGTGTCTGCCTCCTCATTATCGTCGCTTTCATCGGCCACATCATCCACTGGGCACAATACAAAGAGACGCAGATATTATCAATCTCAATTTTTTAGAAGAACCCAAATTATCTTTGTAAATGAGTCTCTGGCAGAAATAAAGAAAAGGTAGCATAAAGATGTAAGCAGCCATGATCAATAGATGGATCGAAAAAAAAGAAGAAATTTTGAGCACATTTCTTCAAATACAAACTCCAAGATGGGCTGATGATCTCACTGACAGGTAAATGTTATGAAAAATGTTTGATACATCCCTGCCAGGCTGAGTTATTTGAACCGGTGTCATGTTTTCAGGACATGATACAAAGCCACTGTACATAATATAAAGTACATAACTAGTGTTGTTGTCCCCCCAAAAAAAGCAAAATAACTCATGTGTGGGCCCCTAAAATGTCAGTTTAAACAAAATAACTAAATAGATAAAAACTGTGGTGGTAAAGTAAATCATAGGTGCGCAAGAAGTAAGAGGAAAGGAGACAATGTTTCACTACACAGTCTGAAGACACAATATAGGAAGAAAATTAGTTGAAAACATTAACAATATAAATGCCTAATAGTGAACAAGCAAGATCTATTCAATGTGTATGAGGCGTCTCAAGTACTAACACATGTCATGTGTTAGATAAGTGAAGTTACAGAGTGATGTGAGGTAAATGAGACAGCAATAGGGAGTGAATCTATGTAATCTGAGGATTACGTACGTCTTACCCTGCTTTAAGGGCTTGTTGCAGAGCTGATAGCTTGTTCGTCCTGAAACGCACATTGTGTGCAGCAGTGACAAGAGTGTTGCCATTGGCCATTTAGTTGATCAAGGGACAAAAGCAATGTCTAAGTGTTTTCATGGTATGAGGGACTAAATCTAGCAGCGATGACTGTGATAACAAAGTGTCGGCAGGTAACTTTGATTCATTGGGCAAACGCTAGTCAACTGTGTGCATGTTTATGAACAGTCCTCACCCCCAGGAGGCTGGCTGTACAGCTGCTCCACAGGCCCTCCCGCAGGGACGTGAGGCAGCTGGAAGTGGAAGGCCGACTTGATGGTAGGCAAAGGCAAGCGGTTCTTAGGAAAACACTTCCTCATGATGAGACTTGAAGTGTTGATCAGAGGATCCAGAGTCCGCACCGGGAGGCATTCCTACAAATAAAACCACACAGAAAGCAAAGAATGGCTACGTCTCACTGCAGTCTATTTGGATTAAAGGGTAAAAGCGTCTGCTAAATGCATGTATTTAAACATATGAGATTTCTCACTCACAGTGGATGAGTTGTAGAGAATCCTCATCCCGTCGGCCTCTATGAAAGCCTTCCTACCCAGTTTGATGTTGGTAATGTTCCTGAGGCAGACCAGTAGTCCTTTACGAATCAACATATGGCGATGCCGCGTGTCATTGCGATGCCAATCCATATACAGAGTAAGCAGGACTGGGATGTGGCCACCATCCACTGCACGGCGAGCATTAGTTTCTATGTAAGAGAGGAGATAAAGAAGAAAATAAAGCACTGACATATAGTTTTCGATTTTTGATGGGATATGAAAAAGCATGATGAATGAAAGTCAAAAGAGTGCAGAGCACACAGACAAAGAGAAGAGTATGGGGACATGGTATGTGGAATCCACTTAAAGACAAATTATAGAAACTGCTTCTGAGCAGAAAACAAAGACATGGAAAGTGGGGATGAGGAAAGGCAGAAGCCGAACTACACCGCATGGACAAGGCACTAATGAAAGATCACTATGCAAGTGGAGGATGTAAATTCAAGGCTACAAAGCAAATTACTCACTGGATTTGAGCAGAGCTCCCAGTGCGTCCAGAGCTACCCTGTTGATTTTGAAACAAGGCAAATTGGTCACAAGGTCTGTCAAGCAACAGCGTAACTGAGAGATGCTAAATAAGAGTCGGAAAAAGGCCAAGGAGAAGAAGCCCGCGGATCTCACTGGTTTGGTAGAACTCATCATTCATGCTTACGAGCCAAAAGAGGAAGCCACTTACTTTAACAGGCTGGTGTTCTTCTTGCTGTATGGTGCAACAATCTTGAACATTAGTTCCACAGCTCCATTCTTGCCCAATGAAATGGCATTCACCGCTTTAAATTAAAAAGAAAAAAAATTAAATATATAATATAATATATTCAGTACATTTACAATAGCAGATGTTTTCAGAGTAACTAACAGTCTGGAGTTTAATCTGCCTTCACCACAAAACAGATGGGTACATCTGTGAAGTGTGTTATGGAGGTGAGACTTTACTTACAGTTTGTGCAGTACACCCTGAGAACCTGTAGACAGGGCAGGAGCAGTTTGGTATTCTGTAGATTCTGTTTGATAATGTTGGTAGTGATGTTCAGAGCTCCACTCAAACGTGCCTTCACTCCAAACTTTCTGTCTAAAACACACACAGGTGCACTGTCAGTATGTAGAGAACAAAGACTGTTCTGATCATCTCTTTATTCCATCAACAGCTTGAAAAGAACACAGACTCACAGGCATATTTCAACACATAATTAAAGTTTTAGCAATGTTCAATGTGTTTTAACTTTAACCGTAAAAATATAATTTGATGTTACATGTACAACAAATATCAAATGAAGAAAAACTGAAAAATGTAGAGTATGAATAAAGTTTATGAAACCAACTTAGATTTTTCATCCAGCGGGATTACTCTGCCTGTATTTCTAAGTAAAAGCATACCCTTTGGTCCAACCTTGGCCAGCAAGGAGTGAAGTTGCAGCATGAGTTCTTCGCTGGGAGGCAACTCTTTGCTGGAAATTATCAGAACCTGGAATAATATTCCTGTTCCTCCTTTGGACACAAACACTCCGACCCTGCGACCTCTGCCTAAGACACAGAACCACACACACGGTCATTTTAGGAATGAAGAATCACAGATGCCATCAGTCCAAGCTACGTTCACAAAGGTTTACTCACCCACAGTCAGCAGCTCAGTAAGGATACACAGAATGTTCAGGGAGGTCTGGACATCTCTGGAGCTCTGCCAAAGCCACAGAGAATAAACTTGTTATAATAATAATTATTATTATAATAGCATGGGAACTGGGGGATATTGTTTTCAGTACCTACAAAAAGATTTTGTTTACATGTGCGATGATGTAATTATAGCACAATTACTCCATGAAATGTGCATCTTTGACTGGAGCCTGCTTTAAGCAGCTCCCTAATAAGTTTATTTGACGGTGAATGGGTGAGAAAAACTGTTCGAAACGGCTTCATCCTCTTGTAGTCACGAAGAATTGCCATATTCATGCATCACTCTGAGATGTGGTTAGCTAATCTGTGGTGCATGAGCTGACCTCCAATGAAGCCAAGATGACTTCCATTCCAGTGGAACCTTTCGACATGACCTCTTTTCCACTCTTTTCTGTAACACACAACAAAGCAAATAAAATTATCATAAATATCTATGTACATATCAATTAACTTGTGTCAAACAAAACCGAGGCAGGCAGTCCTCTCTGTCAACTATACAGTTTGGAAATTTGTGAGAACCACATTGAGCTGCATTTAAGTTACAATGTGTGACAGTGAAAGTCGAGGGAGAGCACCAGATTCTGAGATCAAAACTCAACAAAAACTAAAGCCAAACTTTTACTTTTTAAGCTGCTTGTGGGGCCCAGCCCTAAATCTTGAAGACTCACACAATGTTGATATTGGTATTTACGCCTCTTATTGGGGATGAACTTTTATCAAATGACAAGAATTGCTTTTGGGGCAAAACAGTCCAGAATGTGGATCCCAGCTGATGCTTCTCGCTGCAAGAGAAAGACTTGCATTAAAAAAAACGCAGTGCTGCCATACCGGTTGCCACAACATAGAATTTAGACAGGCTCGGATTACAACAAAGAGGGAGAGTGACTTCATTCTCTGGTAAGGACACTGTTAATCCATTGTATCTTTACATAGCAGAGGACAGTTTGCTGCTATTAGTGTCCAGGATCTCATATGTTAAACCTTTTATGCACAATTTTACCGTTTTGTCAATGCTTTTGCACACAAAAAGTAATACAGCGCACCCAATTAGATGTGAAAGAGGTTTAGATCCTCAGATATGTGCCATTGCTTTACAATCTGGGTTTATAATCTGAATCCAGCCCAAAGATAATCAATTATTGGTCTGTAAATGAGTGGACCCCTGACTTTAAAGGGAACAGAGTAGTTACTAAAGTCAGTACAATTAACTTACCTTGTTGTAGAGGGGTAAATAAACTATATATAGCAAATATTATTTCAAAACTACTTAAAAATAGAAATAAAAAGAAAGCCGAATGATGGATTATATTACATGATGGTGATCTTAAACTGTGTGTCTGGGGACTTTCAGTGCCTGGCACTGTGTGCACTGCGTCATTAGCAGGTGTATATGGGGGATGAAATGTGTCAAGTGCGCAGCTCTCAAGACTTGTGATCTCTTTCCGAAAATTATGCCAGGGTTAAATTATAGACTGATACGAGTGATGTGTGTTCTGTCGAATCCCGCACGCACACACAAACACAAAAGTGCATATCTGAGAATGTGAAAACGAACATCTATGCTCACAATTCAGTGTGATGGAGAGCAGTAACCGTCAGACATTACTGTCATGCCAGACTTTTTAAAGGTCTGCAGAACAAATTAGCGTTTCAACACCTGAAAACAGATCGCTCCACAGGTTAGAATGCACACTTTAAAAAAAGAGGCTGAACTTCAATCTCTGCCCACCGACCTGCTGCATTGTAATTTCCAACTAAACACAATTACTTTTTATGTTTTTTTCAGAGACAGCAGTTATTTGTTAATAAGGCTGTCTTCAAATATCAGGCATGAACTCCAGTGTTTGTTCTAACTTCTCACTTTCACTTGACCCGAGCAAAGTCAAATATCTCACATATTTGAAACATAAGCACCAAGTCAATTGCAAGCATTGGTAATGTAGCAATTCACTTGTGACAATCTATACCTTAGAGGATTATAAGACTGACAAGTGAGATATAATTAATCCTCAGTTGTTAAAAAAGACCCTCAAATCTTTTCCCCTTTGGACTCTACCTGGTTGGTTCGAAGAGACAGTGGAGTAATTGTATGTCCTGGTGTAGCGATATTCCATATCAAAACAAAGGTCTGGGAGTGTATAGAGACGTTGAATGAAAAGGTGTCCTGTTCAGCAAAATGCCAGGTTGACTTCCACTGCAGTCTGAAGACTTTAGGGCTCCTGTAAATCAAGACGCTCAAGAGTCCGATACTCTTTAGAATGTGTTGCCAAACAATCAATCACTTTTATAGCTCCACTGGTATGTTCCTATCCCTCTAAGGCAAAAAGTAATCTCTTCAACTGGTCAACCAAATCCCCCAACTCATCTACCATGTGCCACACACTCTGTTTATAACCAAGCCCCTCCTCTTTGCATGCTGTCAAATCTCAACCACAGACATTTCTCTGATGGAGCACAGAAAGCATAAACCGTATTAGTAAAAGCCATTCATTTCTTTCATTGAAGACATAAAAAGTGCATTTCTTTTCTTTTTTTTTCTTTTTTTTTTAGAATAAACCGATTCTACTGCAAACCAAACCATATTTTTATGCATAGCTATTTTGCAGAGAGGAGCTGACTCCATTTACAAATCCCGACTTTCCCTTGTTCTTTTTTAAGGTATCCGTTTACTGCCGCATAAGCCCCATAAGACTCTGAACCTGAGACAAGAGTACAGCAAAGTCCCTTCTGGAGTGTATAGTTACTGCGAACAGGGTCACAGACCCCCCCCCACTCCCACCTCCCTCGAACCAACGTCACACTCATACACATTTCAAGTTGTGGTTGCAGGCAAGGCTCTGACAGATAGCTAAGCAGTAGATGAGAGGGGAACAGCTGTATATCATGATTGATAGAGTTACAGACAGAGGCTTTTCTACTGCGCCCATCCGTCATAACAGATTAGCTACAATTTTCCTTTGAAGAAAAATAATGCACAGAAAATGGGCTAATAGGATGGATGAAATCCAAGAAAACGACACAGTACAAAGCCCAATGGCAATTCAAGATATGCAAGAAAGTGCAAAATAATGATTCAGCGGAAAATGCGTGACAGGATTGCATGAAAAAAAATGCCAACAACAGGCCTGACCGATCAAAAGTGGCACCCAGTCATAAAAAAATCCTTGCAGAAACTGCCACTGAGAAACCACTGGCTCCACAGAAAGAGGCATGCACTGAAATTGATTTAAACAGCAAAATCATCAGTTTCTAATTTTAAACTGACATGTCAATATTCAGATTTTTTTCTCCCCATTGACCTGAGCAAAAAGTCAAATCTGTGACTTCCAAGAGTCACAGAATAGATTTTGAAATTATTTGTTTTGTGCATCTAAAAGTGTTAAATACACAGATGGTCTATTTACAGAGCTGCCAAACTGAGAATACCAGGAGTCACAAACATCTGAAGGGTAGTAACTTGAGAATGCTTGGCATTTTTGCTTGATAAATGACCTACACGAGTCCCAAAACTGTAAGTTAACCTTGCCTGTTTGACAAATGCATTTAGTGGCTGTTAGACCTCTGCAACAATGTGCAACTGATATTTCCATTAATCCCGGCTTGCAGTAGCTGCTCCCAGCTAACCGGAGCACACTCGTGTTTTGCTGCGTTCTACAGCATTATGGCATCGTGCCTTCTTCCGTTGCGAGATCGCCTTCTCGATAGTCCTCTGATAAGTAATCCGAACCGGGAGACTTTGGATCCACAACTTGGCTACCGCCACATCAGCCCATCTCCACTTACACATTAAACAAGGCTTTAATGAATTAATCACCTTGACTACACTTGTGATACATACTAAAGTCTAATTATAAATGTATTATGCAAGAAGAAGAAAGTCAGAGTTTTTGTTTATGGTTGTGTATGATGTATGTGTGTGTGCGTCTGCGTGTGTGTGTGCGTGTGTGTGTGAGGATAGGGGTGCACCATCACTACTGCTACTAAGTGACTTGAGACCACACGTGTGAGAATGACAATGAAATTCAGTCGTGTGGTGTCAGGAAGAGGTGAGCTTATCAAATCTTCACACCCTGCTACTACTCTGTGATAGAGGGCAGTAGATTAAAGTTACATAAAACGTCTCCGACAGAACACACTTGGCTCTGAGTGACTGCTGAATCAATTTATAGATAAACATGCTCAGCTGCAAAATAGTCAGCAACACAGAAATGAACACATTCACTTTAGAATTGATGATTCTGATACATTTAATATTCTGGAGGCTTTCAGAATATTGATCTTAACTATCACATTTCAATTAGGGCTTGGCAAACATACATAGCTACATGCTAAATTCAACACAGCTTCACCAACATGGCCTCACAGTTCCATCACCATCTTACATTCTAAAATGGCTCTAACTTAGGCAGAACATTCAACCACAAACAGCCCAATTATCTACAGATTTTTTCTTTTTTAATATAGCCAATCTACAAAAAATTGGGTTTGGGTATAATAGTTTACATTTTGAAAGCAAAAAACAAACCAACTGAACAAAAGCTGGCCCACAAAAAAAAGGCATTTATGTGGAAAGAAAGAAAATAATTGTAAGGATGTTGCATTTAATAAACTGAACAGATCATTAAACAGTTAGATATGGAAATGTGAAAGTTATTCTTAATTTTTCCTTCCTCCATCCATGCAGCAAAAATAAGGATTTTTCTGGGTTTTGAGTGTGAAAAAGGTCTGATGTGATTTGAGGCTAAGTTTGAAAGTTTCATAAAGAACACCTCAGAGTACCAAATACAGAAAACACTAATTACACTAATTGAGTAAAGTAACTTTAAACCAACACCTGAATTTATTGCTGCAAAAACGTGTTATGTTTGATTATATGTTCAAACTATCTTTCAGATTGATTTGCTCTCACCCTGTGTCTGTATGAGATGGAGAATCTTTGTGGTGAGCTGTCTCGCCATCTCCACATCTCTCCCCATCGCCTCTCCATTCATCCTCTCCAGTTGGCCCAGGAGCATTGTTACCCTGGAGTTACTGGGAACACTGAAAACACACAAAATGTATTCTTTTAGACCATATACAATCACATAATGGTTGTAATCCTATGCATCACCATGCCTGGAGAAGGGTGAATTAGTTTTACCATTAAGTGCTAAAAGCAGTGACCATTGACTTTCTATTTTCTATGCTTTTTTTTCATATATATACACATGTATATACACACATATGTATGTATAAAAACCTCATATACTCAGTGTGTACAGGGCCAAACAGCCCCAAATGTCTAAAACCAGTTTGAAAGCTGTGTTTTGACAGTTCTTTAGTCTAATAAACCTCGGCTCGCTATTAAGGCTGCTCGTAGTGCTTCACTACTTAAGGGGTAGTGACCATTCCTTTTCTAATAATATTAGCCCACTGGCAGTCAGATGGAAACAGGAGATTAGGGGTCAGTTGTTACAGTAAGGGCAAACACTCGAGAGAGATTCAAAACTCTGCTTATACCCAGTGGAACCTAAATTCCCATGCCCTTATAAAGAGAGAAGGGGAAAAGAGAGACAGAGAGAGGAAAAGAGAGAGGGGAAAATAAAGGGAGCTTGAAAAGAAAAAGAAAAAATGTTAAAACTGAAAGGTTAATTGTAATTCCATAGAGGAAAAACAGAAGTCAAACCTAGAAGAAAAACAAAAAAAGTTGCATAGATGAACAGAAATTATTTTTAGGCATGACAAATATGATATGGCTGTTTTAGGAGAGGACAATTATCTCCATCCAGTTGTCTTTGGCACACAGGCACACACTCTAACTCTCACAGAGCAACACACACTATAACCGACAAGTTCATAGGGGTTTTAGACACCGGGGCAAAACAAGTTGCAAGGTAAAATAATGCAGAAGAGCAGAATCATAGCATAAAGTCCCATATCCACAGTGAGATCCATTATTTGAGCAGAAGGTTGCAATGGAGCAGTTTCCATCAACTCACCCTTTCTCTGTGGCCATTTTTGGTTTGTTCATTTTCACTACCTCAAAATGTCATGTCGTCTGCAAGAAACAGAAAGGAAAGTTCACACTGATGAAAGAGCAAAAGCATGAACATTTTGTATCATTCAGAAATTGGGCGTGAATAACCTTTACTCAGGTTGCAACTGAATTCCAAATTGGACACTCTGCAGAGCAACTTTGCCAAAACCAGCTGACAATAAAGCTTAACTGTCCCAAGCTTTGCATGTTCTGTTCTATAAATATGTGGTCAACCTGTGTCAAACTAATGAGCTCTCCAGAGGAGTGTTTTGAAACTGAGAAGAAGTCCCCACTATCGTAAGCTTCTGTGAAAATATGTTAAATGTATTCTGACAATATATGGTTTAAGACGACGGCTATTCTTAGGTGGTATTCTTAAAGGGATGGCATTTCAAAGACTTTCTTTTATTTTCAATGAGCATACCCTTTATTCCACTTGAAACTTAAAGGCTTTGTGTGTGCCAAGCTGTGAAGTAAGAAACGTACACATGAGATCATGCCTACAAAATACTAAGGATATGAAATTATTCTTCATTCTTGAAATAATCTTTCTGGAAAACAAAACCCAATCCTTTGGTGTTCATTTCCATAAATCCTCAGGCGATGATTAGGTCAGACAATTAACATAGTAACAGTCAGAGATAAGATTAAGAGTCATAAAAACTTCTTTTCTTTCCCCCCTCATCTGTGCAACCAATTACAGGACAACTTAAGTAAAATATGTTGAATCGACCCATTTCGATGAGCACAAAGGTTTGAACTATATTAGCTAGCGTGAATAAGATATCAGTTGAGGCTTTATCACAGTTTGCTGGCTCCAGCAGATCCTCACGGTCTCATTTAAGATAATAGGTACAGCCAAGGGAGCAAGTAATGCATGACCGAAATTAAATAAGTATGGGCTAAGAGGGAAGACATGGTAGCTACAGGTCAGGCCACATTTTCTTTAAAGAAAGCCATAAAGCTGGCATGTTATCAAGGTTAGGTAACACATAACAGATAACTGAGTGCCTGAAATAACGGTCTGCTTCCATAATCCTGAATCCATTAAAGAAGTATGTTTGTACTCTCATTCCACTGTCTCGAAATAATTCAGTGTCAGTTGACTATTGTTAGCAAGCTAAAAGCCAACTGTGTTTGAAATCTCTTTTTCTTCGTTATTATTTTCCCTAAAACAATTTGCTTAGTTGTATAACCAAGCTGAGGCTGGTGGCTACTGCACCTGCTGGACAAGTCACTCATTAACGGCCGTCTGTCCGCAGCACAGGCTAGCTAACTGAACGTATGCTAACAGTAATGCTACATACAGAGTAAACGACGGTCTTTGAAAAATATATGGATCTGTGAATTAACAACCAAATATGTATACGTGTACGAACCTGAACAAAAATGGAACTGATGTCCCGTTTAAGCAGGCCCTGTTTTAAGATAAGGGAGACAGCCACTGTTTCTGGCCGTGCATGAAACGCCCTGCCGATGATGTTGTGATGAGAGCAGACAAAACTGTCTGTTAAAGGGTCTGCCAGTGAGTAACGCGAGAGTAGCGACTTCTATCTGCGCGGGTTGTTCTAAGCACTGTTACAGTCAAGCAAATATTAGAGCACATTACATAATACAATCTACCAACAGTTTCATATCGTCACTGGTGCATTTTGAGCCACAAGCACGTTATTCACATCTGGCACTCGAAGATTATTCCTAGGACTACATTTCTGATGCTGACGTCGCGTTATGACGTCGAATGTATGCGCCCTACTGTCTCCAAAAGGATCTTCAGAAGCTACATGATTACCCCAAAATAATAAGGTCTGTCGTTTATTTACAACGAATATATTTCTCTTAAGAAAAAATATAAAGTGTTCTTCATACTAATTTAAAAGGAGTTATGTGTCAAGATGTCTGATTAGGATTTTTTCATAAAAAACATTCTAGGCAACATTAGCTTGACTGTACATGCTATTTTAAGCTAGCTAATTTGACGTTATTGATAAGTAACTAGCATTTTGTCATAAATTATAAAACCTTACTGACATTCGTAGTCCAATAGGGTTTGCATACGTTTGTTAGCGGTGAACACTTTACTTTTGACACTGGTGTTAGTCGTGCCAAAAGCATACGGGTTTGATCAAATCTTTAAGCATGCTCTATGTATGAAAATCGATTAAACCACTAATCGTTTCAACTCATGTCGTGAGGAGAAAGATTTAACTGGGGTCATGACAAACACGGAAAGAAACGGGACTGGTTGCGCCATTTTTTTATTCTGTAAACATAATAATGTGAATGTAGCCTAATAAAATCGATGAGCATTACAACGTGAGAGATTCCTGGTGAGATTTCTGTAACTTTTTAGGAAACACCAGGGTATGCAAAACCCTTGGATGCCATTAGTTGTTGGCACCCATACTAAATCTGGTTGAACACACGTTAGTACACACTTATAATCAATATTTAAACCTATGGCAGAGTTATCTGAGAGCAATTTAATTACTGGGGTTTAAAGTTGTTTTCATGTTGCTTTTTTACTGTTTTTATTTGTTAAACTTGATGGGGGGGAAATGTGTTTATACAGTGTCATTTTTATCTGGCCTGAGTCTAGAGATCATCCTTTTTCTTCCCCTCGAAATCTCTCAGAAACACAAACTTTGAGCAGAGCTATGCATTGACATGTATAGTTCAATCTTAGAGCAAAATGTGCCACACTGGAGACTCAGCAGTTTAAAATGGATGTGTAGATAATTGTACATATTTGGTGTTTTTATTATGCCTATATGGTCACCCCTGCATTGATCACAGCCATCATTGGTGTACTTTACTCTGTGAGGTAACGTCTAATCCACTGAAGCATTTTCAGTGTGATGATATTTGTTTTGTTATGTCTGAATTCTTTTTCCTGGTTTTTCTTGATTTGGCCTTCATAGTCACCATGGTGATGAAATCAGCAGTTGAGGACGATGATACTGGGTGGGGGCTTGGTATCCCAGAGAAGATGAAAAACAATGCCAACTGGGTTGATATCACCCAAGAATTCAAGGGTGCCTGTAAAGGTAAAGATTGTTACTGTGTTTATGATTCTTAATACATGCAATTATGGATAAGTTAATCCTTGTTCCTATCCTCTTAGAGTTGAACCTTGGAGAATTGCTTCATGACAAACTGTGAGTATGGAGGGTTTTTTTAGATAAGTCAACTTGATTGTTCTTTAAAAAAATGTGTATCAGAATTTGGGTCACTAAACTTTCTGTTGTGGTACAGGTTTGGCTTGTTTGAGGCCATGTCAGCTATAGAGATGATGGATCCTAAGATGGATGCAGGAATGATTGGTAACCAAGTCAACAGAAAAGTTCTCAATTTTGAGCAAGCTATTAAGGTACTGCAGACACAAAGCTGGGCTTTCTACATTTTAATTCAGTCATTTGATTACCCTGCCTTCATTAATTTGTTTTATTATAATAAATTGACCAAATGTGAACTTTTTTTTTCCAGGAAGGTGGCATTAAGGTGAAAGACCTCAGTCTGCCTGAACTCATTGGAATCATTGACACGTGTTTCTGCTGTTTGGTGAGTTTTATTTTGAATTTTCTTTTTGTCTGGCAAATGATTTACTTTGGGTTAAAGTAGTTTAATGAGTACATACAGAAGACTGGTGGTGGAGGCTACTTTTCAGATGATATGAGGTTGTAGTACATTTTTAAAAATTCATTTAACTCTCCTGAATCTACCATATCCCCTCATTTACTTCAAATTATGATGTTCTCCTCGTGTTAACGTACTTTCTGTTTAATTCTTTTTCAGATGATAATCGAATATACTAGACAGTCTTTCTGTAGATAGGTATGCCTTAAATCTTCTTGTGGTTTTATGTGTGTGTTAAGATAACTTGGCTGGAAGGTCACTCCTTGGCCCAGACTGTGTTCACTTGCCTTTACGTCCACAACCCCGACCTGATTGAGGAGCCAGCTCTCAAAGCCTTTGCCCTGGGTATGCTTAAGGTGTGCGACATCGCCAGAGAAAAAATCAACAAAGCAGCTGTTTTTGAAGAGGTGAGCTTGTTGTCAGACTGTCAGTGTGGTTATGATGTCTAGAAAATGACCTCAGACAGGGACCCTGAACTGTCCGCATAAAAACCGGTAGGGAAGGTAAAAGAGCGGGCCTAATCACTCCCCCATTAACACCATGGCTGAGCAGTGGAGCTCCACAGGGGCTGCTTGATGACAAGCAGTTCAGGCGGTGGCTGCACTTGGCAGCTTTCAGGTGTGAATTTGTGTACTAAATGTGATCAGGCTATTACTTATCAAGAAAATTGTCGCTTAATAAATCAACGTTGAACAAGAGATTGTTGAAAGATGCAGATTAGTGAAGTATTTCAGTTGCTGGAAATATCATCTTATATACCAAGGTGTTAACATTTGTTAAATAGTTTTGAAATAGTGATAAAATTGTAATAGGCTGTTGATCACTCAGTGGCATTTTAAAATGTCTGAATGTCTTCTTTTCTTTCATTTTATAGGAGGATTTTCAAGCCATGACTTATGGTTTCAAGATGGCCAATAATGTCACAGACCTGCGGGTAACAGGTAGGAAATTGGTGGTTTTTATGTTTGTAGTTCTACATTTATTTTAGAAAGATGATGCTGATTAAATCATCACTCTGTGTCTGTTGTGCTCATCTTACTAGGAATGCTGAAAGATGTGGAGGATGAGTTACAGAGGAAGGTTAAGGTATTTCCTATTTATGACTGCGATTTCTCTGATCAGTGACTCAAATTATGTTCAGATACAACAATTGGTTTAGTTTTAACAACCTCTTTCTTCCCTCAGAGCACACGCAGCCGACAGGGTGAGCAGAGAAACCCTGAAGTTGAGCTGGAAGTAAGTCTGATTACTTTTTAACGTCGATTGAATTTAAATTATTTTTTTTTTTATTAAAGGCCGATTTTCTTTTATTATTTAGAATGAAGAAGTAAAAGTCAAACACTATGTGCAGTAAATATGGTTATTATGCAGCAGTCTAATTATTCCCACATTTGAAACTCTTGAAGGGTTCCTCCAGTGTTAAAGTCTTGTATTACATCCTCCGTCAGAGTGTGGGAGTCAGATAACCTTTAAACACACTACTCTGGAATTTACAGCTGTTTCGAAATAGTAAAGATAAAAAAAGAATAAAGAGAAATAAATGACACCATTTTGGATTTTTCTGGGTGGTCAAAGCAAAAATAGAAGTCCATCTTTGATCATTCCTTGTGAAAATCCCAGTTGAGGAATGCATGTATTAATAGCTCTGCTATGTTGTCCTGTGTTTTATTCTTCCAGCACCAGCAGTGCCTGGCACTTTTCAACAGAATCAAGTTTACACGCCTTCTGCTCACTGCTCTGATTGCCTTTACCAAAAAGGAGGTAATTCACAAACAAACACCAGACAAGCGCCAGACAAGTCAATGGCACCCACACAAATTAAGCATACTAACCATAGATGTTTAAAGAAAAAATATACACTTAAATACAGCTGCATGCAGCTGAAGGGACTGTCCACTGTAGACAATGGGGAATATTAGCCTGGAATTGGTTTTGCTTAGCCTGTAAAGCATGCTTTTATTGTAGCATGCACAAGATGTTCAAATAAAGGATGTTTTTCTTTGTCGTGGCGTTCCTATCAGACCAGCTCAGTAGGTGAAGCCCAGAAGCTCGTGGCTCAGGCAGCGGACCTGTTATCACCTATTCATTCCAGTATTCAACACGGCATTCAGTCACAAAATGACACCACCAAAGGAGGTAACAAACACTCATACACACACGTTTGAACCATAGTCAAAGCCATAGTGTTGCATGGAAATAATTTACAAGCCAAGAACATAAGAGCACTACAGGCTTGTGACATGTTTATCCTGTCAAAGGACATCAGAAGTCGTATATGAAATTGTGAATACCTTGCATATAATCTGCTATAAAAATGGCAAATTCAGGAAATACAATGTACTTGACATTAGACAAAGCTGCCTCAACACATGACACACTTTTGTCTCCCATTTATTGCTTCAGACCACCCCATCATGATGGGTTTTGAACCTCTAGTCAACCAGAGACTGCTGCCGCCAACCTTCCCTCGCTACGCCAAGATCATTAAGAGGGAAGACATGGTGGCCTACTTCAGCAAGCTGATAGAGCGCATCAAGACTGTGTGCGATGTGATTAACACCACAAACCTGCATGGAATACTGGTACACGCAGTTCTGCGACTCCCTCTGCAATGTTTGATCATCTTAATGTCTCCCAAATTATGTAATTCATGTTCTCATCTCTGAGTTTACTGGTATATATATTTTTGTTCTTAGAGAATTATAAATGTGTCTTAATGTCTATGGCTCATACTGTATATAAATATTTTTTTCAAGATAACATCAATAATAATGGCTTTCTGATATGGTTTTTACTAGGACTTCTTCTGTGAATTCAGTGAGCAGTCGCCCTGTGTGCTCTCCAGATCTCTTCTCCAGGTGCTTCCATGGCTTTCATATTCTTTCGTTGCCCAGATGATGTACATAAAATTGGATCTGATTCCATAAAACGTATCTTTTTGTTTCATAACTTCAGACAACGTTCCTGATCGATAATAAGAAAGTGTTTGGCACCCATCTGATGCAGGACATGATAAAAGATGCACTGAGATACTTTGTCAGCCCACCAGTCCTCTCCTACAAGTAAGGCTGCCATTGATTGAATGAGTACGCTGCAAGCCTGAAATCCCTGATTGATTTAAAGTGTTGCATTAACTTTAAATAACCTCATTGGATCTGTTTCTATTATACCATCTTAGTTCTATTTGAGGGTTTAAGGAATGTTTTAAACATTTTTTTGTCACATAATAACTTTAAACCTTTTTTAATGTTTTCTTTTCTCTTCAGGTGTTGCCTGTTTAACAACCATCAGGCCAAAGACTATATTGACTCTTTTGTAACCCACTGCTCCAGGGTACAGGGACCATTTTGATCTTTTTCATAGTTTTGTCTAAAGCAATTACCCTGGAAACAGCGTTCCAGCTGAACTGAAATATTTGTCTGCTTTTGTTGTTCACACAGCCTTTCTGCAGCCTCATCCAGATCCACGGGCACAACCGAGCCCGACAGAGAGACAAGCTGGGACACATCCTCGAGGAGTTCGCTACCCTGCAGGATGAGGTGGATGTATTACCCGAAAAACCATCCCAGCAGCATCCGAACCAACACACACTGATGTTTCAAAATTTGAAAACCTGTTTGTCCCAAGCTGCTGTCATTTGTATGAAGGAACTGGTGCAACACTAGAGACAGAGGCCAGTTGTATCCCATCTGCTGAAGTCATTTTGTGTGCTCCGCAGGCTGAGAAGGTGGATGCAGCGCTTCACAGCTTACTGATGAAACTTGAGCCTCAGCGACAGCATCTAGCATGTCTTGGCACTTGGATACTCTACCATAACCTGAGGATCATGATCCAGTATCTGTTGAGTGGTTTTGAACTGGAGCTTTACAGCATGCATGAGTACTATTACATCTACTGGTAAGGGCCTATATGTTGTCCATGGTCGGTAACTCCATTCTCGTCCTATCTGTGAATAAATGCATTGTGGTGTTTTGTTTTCTGTAGGTACCTGTCAGAGTTCCTCTATGCATGGCTGATGTCCACTCTAAGCAGAGCTGACTCCTCTCAGATGGCCGAGGAGCGCATTCTTGAAGAGCAACTGAAAGGACGCAGCAGTAAAAAGGCCAAGAAGAAAAAGAAAGGTGCGCCCAACAGATTCTCTCATATCAAATTTTCTTTGAATCACCAGAACATATAAACCTCAGTCTGCTCTAAAAAGCTCCTCTTCAATGCTCCTTTTGAGCGGATGCTGATACTGTTTTGGATTACTTTGCAGTTCGTCCTCTCAGCAAAGAGATCGCAATGAGTCAAGCATACCAGAACATGTGTGCTGGTATGTACAAGGTAGGTAAAACGAGTGACCCCTCAACGATTCCTCTTTTTTTTTTGCCTGTTCTGCACTCTGAGGCTTGATTTGTGCTCCCGACTGTGTGTCCTCCCTCAGACCATGGTAGCTTTGGATATGGACGGTAAGGTGCGCAAGCCTCAGTTTGAACTGGACAGTGAGCAGGTTCGCTACGAGCACCGCTTCGCCCCCTTCAACAGCGTGGTCACTCCCCCCCCTGTGCACTACATCCAGTTCAAGGTACGGTTCTCGTGTGTGGGAGGGACTCATTAAGTAAGCCCTCCATGCTTTCTGTAACCTGCCTTCATTTTCTTCCTTCCTTTCTTACTCTACCCCCGTGCCTGTTGCAGGAGATGTCAGATCTGAAAAAGTACAATCCTCCACCAGGCTCAGCAGACCTCTACATGGCCGCGAGTAAACACTTTCAACAGGCCAAGCTCATTCTAGAAAATGTGCCCAGCCCAGATCCAGAGGTCAGGTCATGCAGATTACTTGAAAAATAATTATGGGTTACGTTGCAGCACAACAGTTTGATGTTTTTTGCTTTTATTCAAGATTCTTCTGTGCAAATGTGTTTTCAATATTTCAATAATTTTCTATTTTCCATGACAGTATAGATTTATTTTATCAATTTAGTTATATAATTAACAGTTATGTAATATAGTTTTTTAAATGTTTCAAATTAAAAAATTTGTTTGATCATTATATATATATTTATAACTTGTAGATATTATTTATATCTTATATTACTTTTGAAATGAAGACCAGTTTTTTGTAGACCTTCCATTATTCATGACCATCAATAACTAGCTGTTGATTTTTGGTAACAGGTTAACCGGATACTTAAAGTGGCCAAACCAAACATTGTAGTAATGAAGCTTCTTGCTGGAGGACACAAAAAAGAAACTAAGGTGACGCAGTATATACACCTTACTGTTTCTTTTTGCACTATTTACATTTTTTTAAGTGCTTACACTCAACCATTTTTTTCCCTAACCAGGTTCTGCCGGAGTTCGACTTTTCGGCTCACAAGTACTTCCCTGTTGTCAAGATTATTTGATTTGCCGCTGCTCCACTGGACAATAGTCTCCCTCGTCTGAATAAGCGTACCGTGGCCGTGACCCTGTCCGTGTCTGAACAGTAACGGATGATGCACCCAGCTGTAGCGTCATGTAAAGGAGCGCTTTGTCTTGCTCTTTATCTTCACCTGAATGAGACGTAACATGAGAAACCAGACCAGAGAACCCACAACTGGACCTAAATAAGTAACAATATCCACACATGTTTCTGTGAAAGTTTGTGTCTACGTGTGGGTGTGTGTGTATGTGCGTGTTTGTGTGTGTCAAAGGCAAGCCAAGGAGCAGTATTGCTAAGAATTGGGAAATGGATGCTGACCCCAGAACGGTCGTGAAAATAACGATGTATTGATAATGGGTGCATATCATTAAAATTTTATGAAACCTTTTTATATTCTGCGTTTTTTTTCATAATAGCAGTGCTGTCAATTAAAAAAACCTGGGTTTTGTTGGTATACATGGAAGTAATAGACTTGTTTGTGAGCAGTGGAGGATTTAGATCCACAGACATTACTAGAACATATTTCGTCATATTTTATGTAACTTATTGTTTTTGGAAATTAGTTTTGATATGTTTAAGTGATTTGCCAAGTCAGTAATGTTAAGGGTGGTGAAAAGAAATTTACAGATGTGCCACATAAGAAATTTTAACATCAGAAAACTGTATTTTTCAGAATATATATATGAATTACATTTGGTGTTCGGTCGGTTGTACTTGTTTTGACTTAATAACTTTTTCTTTCTACTAATTAAGTCGTGGCTTGTTTTCTTGTACATATTTTCAGTAAGCAGCCCAAACACACAATAGGCACAATAATGGCTTAAAACAAATTAAAGAGATGGATTTTTTTTACAAATATTTTTGAAAGTCAAATGGAATTATTTCCTTTTTACAGATCACAATTGTATCAGGTTTAATATGAACAGCGAGTGAAGCAAGAATTGATTGTTTAAATCAACTGTTCAAAAGGTCAATCAACCAATGACCCTTTTTTTTCACAAGAGTACTAGCAATCCAGTATTTTTAAGATGGGTAGATCACCACTGCTCTTTGATGACTCAAAAGGTGGAAGTAAGAATTACAATACAGAAGAGGAGGGCCAAAATGACACGTTGGACAAGTAGTAATCCGATTCTCATTTTTATTAGTGGAGTTGTAGTACATTCTGGGTCTTTCAGATAGTCTCCGGTCCTGTGACACTGCTTTGAACTGTGATGTGAAAACAGTCAGTCCGACATATGTACATTAGAAAGTGAAAGTATGACCGGAATTTGAAATTTGGTTACACCGTTATGGAAATCCAACCTCTAATGATAAGATATTTATGATAACAGCATTTATGGACTCTCGACAGGCAAATTAATTTACTTAGAGAAAGTGATGATAAGAAACTAAAGAAGCAACCTAGACAGAAAATAGCATGCACCTCAGTATAATTTAAATATTAGTTTTATGATAGAATGGATAGGCATAAATATAAGTAGACCCTGTGTGGATTATTTGAGCATGGTTTCATCAATCCACTTCCTGTAGAAGCAGACGTCCAGCATTACAATGGGATTGACACATTTATCTGCAGGCTCGCTTACAATAATTCCATGTAAGACGTTGTTGTATTCCACGGCGGAGCCTGCATCTCCCTAAAAAAGACACAGATAGGACATGTAAATGCTTTGTACATGATTGAATAAAACTGAAGGCCAAGTCAAATGGATAGCAAAACTTTTGCTTACAAAGCAGGTCTCCACGGCAGGCTTCTGGGCACACATGGTGGTGGATTCATCACTGTGGTACTTCTCAGCAGGTTTATCGTTCTCCCCACATTCGGATATTTCTGTGGTGGCACACCTTACGCTTTTCTCAGCTTTCCCTCCTGAGGATTTAAAAGTTCCAATAAGGACTTCCAAATTCACCCAATTGAGCTCTGGTTTCTAAGTAGTATTCACAGTCATACCTGATTTCTTTGGTCCCATTCCTCCAATCTCAACTTTCTGCTTTTGCTCCGGTCTGGTGCACTCAACAGGGGGGAGCTCAATGACTGGAAGATTAGCCGACACGTCCTCATTCAGTTTTATGAGCATGATGTCATGAGGCTTCCCCTCATCATCTTTAAAGGTAAACTGCTGTGCAAGACTGATTTGTTGTTGAAGTTTTTTGGAGGATCCTTTCACGAAAGACCAGGCTTTTGTGAAAACAGACACCTGATTGTTTAGGCCAATTCTCACATTGACAACCCTGCCCAAAACAAACAAAGGAAAATGTTGTAACATCTTTCTTATATATATAAGAAAGGATTAAATAAACATGGTTAGTTTGATAGATTCACTGTTTTTTTTCTTTGGATTTGTAAATCACCAATAGTTTTGCCATATAAGGTAATTAACCGTCTCTTAATGTCGAAGTGAGAGTGAACAGACGTCAGTCATTGAGAGAGTTTACAGGCTTACTGTTCTGCACAGTGAGAGGCAGTGATGACCCAGCGGGCGTTTAGCAGAGCGCCTCCACAGGATTTCCCCCCCTGGACGGATTCAACCTGGACATGGTACTGCCTATCCTTGTCACAAGCCTTACTCCCAGTAATCCTCTTCTCAATGTCTGCCAGCGCAGCTCCTGACACACAGAAGAGGAGCCCCACACACCGTGTGAGACGTCAGCACAGTGGGTCCAAAACCTCCAAATCCACATAGTTTACATTTGCATTTTATGGGACTTTAGCCTCTATTACAGCCCAAGTAAACCCCCGCCACAAAAAACTGAATACAAGTAAGGACAAAAAAAAAAAAGATGACTTACCCGCAAGAAACAGAACAAGGACTAAGCAAGGCTTCATCATGGTTCCCCTGGATGTGGATCCCTGCAGGTGGTTGACTGGCAAATGCTTCTTCTTTTTATAGTGAACATCAGAGTTGAAGGGAGTCTTCTAATTGGCTGGCCCTTGACACATCACATCACCAGTATCATCAATAAAATATTGGTTGTCGTGTTTCACAGACCTACCAGAGGAGGCAGATAACCTGTTGGGGGGGGGGGGGGGGGGGGGGTGGGGGTGGAGGGGTTTGTAATGGGGAAATATTGTGCTGACTGGGTTCACACACCAGCACACGTCCCCCTTTGAACCTGTGGAACCAGATCGAAGCACCTCTGAACAGCTCTCACTCCTCAATGCTTTCATCTGTTTTTATTAGTGAGGCAACGTTAAATCTGCAGAAAGGAGTTTTGCTTTTTCGTGCTGTGCAGAGCTGCCTGTGGAGGATGTCTCAGACCGTTGTGTATGAAATGAAGATCGATATACAGCGTTAAGTATTCCCCATACTTACAACTGACCTGTATTACATTTACGTGGCACTATCATACTCTATATTGATGCAATTTTTAAAAGTTTCTTAAAACATTTTATTCTCAAAGCAGCAGAGCAGAGTTCACAGAACAAATTAGTTCTGCAGGTTCTCTGTATGATTCTGTCAAAGAGCTGGATCTCTTCATTTGGCCTGTACAGCCTGGACTGCATTGTCAGACATTTAGCTTCACAAGAAAATATTTCAATAAATGATTTTAAAAAGGTGATTATTATCTCACAATTTTACATTTTAAAGAGACTTACATAATTTAGTCTGCAGAATTTAATGCAGAACTTTCAAACTACGTCTTTTTCTATGGGCCAAAGGGGGTTATACTAACAATACAGCTTTGTTCCATTCTTTCATTACTAAACTACTGTCATATTCAAATATTCTGATAGCTCCTATCACACACAAGATATTTATTCAAATGTTTTAGACCGTTTTTGTTATTACATCTCATTTGACTGCATATCTTGGTCACAATGTGTTATCTAAAAGGCCTGTAGAAGCTTGTTTTAAAGTAATGCTCCTGATTATTATTTTCTCATTGAAATGCTCTCTAACTTCCTGGAGAACAAGAACAATTTGTGCTCTGGATGTAACTGGCCGTGCTTGTTATATTTGTGGCTTTATTTCTCAATACTGTCCCAATTAAGTATATAACTGAATAACAGACACATGAGAAAGAATATTAAAAACATTTTAATTATCCATCATCAACAATGACTATGATTCATTTCAATCTTTCAGTTCATAATCATAATAAAGACAAAACAATAAGACAAATCAACATGAGAGTCTACAACTTTGTAAAAATCATTACATTTGTTCGCCATGAACTCAAAGGGGATATTTTACCCGAATATGAAGACAGTTCTTTGGGAGGGCTGCTGTGGGACTGATGTTCAAATGAAAGACAGCAGTCAACAAGCCGCCACTAAGGTCAGACATTGCTCCGATTCAGTGTGTGGACAGCCCAACACCACAAATACATGAGTTTATTTAGTATGAGTTGAATTCTTGCTGTAGATGTTACAACATCTTTTGATTTCTACTTCTAAACAAAGTAATACTGCTAAAAAACACACAGCGAAAGGAGAAACAATAAACAAATGATCACTTGACACACAGACTTTACATGGTTTTGTGGACATCAACTACTTGGTGAGTACACCAAGTAAAATTAGGAAACCTGGAGACAGTTTTTCAGAATAATTCTGTGTATATTATTGAAGTTGAAACATTGTTGTCGTGCACAACATTCTGCACATGATCTGCATTGAACCTTTCAGACCTTGTGGATGCAGCTTTGTCTCTAAAGGGAAAAGGTGTTGGTTATGTGCATGTTTAAACCTTTCCTCTTCTTCCTTTTTTGTAAAGAAACAAAGCTACACACAAGACCGAACCGGTTGGTTAAGAGAAAAAAAAATGTTTGAAATGAAAAGGAGTGATTCATCTTTCAATAAGCTCCTGAGCAACTGCCTTTAAAGGACCAGTTGGAACATGGCGAAAACTACAGCGGGGAAAGCTGTCAGATATGCAAAAAAACAGTATTAAAATGAGATAATTTCTTTATTGCATGATTATCAAGTTTTGGCAGGGACTGTTGAGGATCATAAAGTATCATGGAAATGAAGCTGCGAGTAACAGAAGAAAACCAATTCTACCTGTAGAATAAAATGCACGATCTGTCTTGTATAAAACAAAAGGCAACAGATTTTCCCCCAAAACATTTAACAAACTTTTGGCTCCTTCTGGCTCCATCAATTTCCAGTCCAGTGCAGATTTACTTGGAACACACGTACATTTAGGCAGCACTCCAAAATAATTCACATCTACCGGCTTGAAGAATCAGCGACGCCCTACGTACTGACCCAGCTCTGTAGGAGAGGTCCTTCATTATTTTACAGCAAGTCTCAGAATTCTCATTCACGCTCAGCTACATTTTAGACAGTATGTACAAATTAAAAATGTATTCCATCTGATTACGTTCTACACACACTCTCAGCAACAGTTGACACTGGGAATGGAAAATGGGAAAATAACCTGAATCGATAAGGCATGAATCAAAATGTCAAATTTAAAGACACCATCCACTTTCCAGCTGTTTGACTTAGTAGAAAAGATTCTTCTAATGTAATTATATTTGCGGTAGAAAGCTGCTAAATTTGAACCTGGAGACCATTAGTGATACGAGACACAGCTCACATGATAGGCCACTTAAGTGTCACTTCTATGCCACAGAAATAAGAAAATTAAAAAACTCGCCATTGTCTATTGGTATAATATTCTTACTGGTTATGTGGACCGTTAATAATCCTGCATTAGCTTTTATGGCAACATGGAATTCCTATTCAGTGGATTATAAAAGGAAAGAGAGCATTTCTATCCTTTTCTTCTGCTGTGTAAAGCCTAATTTGTCTGAAGTTTGAAAGAGTTTGTCGGGGACATGCTTAAGGCTGTGTTGTAGGATCACAAAGTAGAGGACTGTGCTGCACAGCCCTCTGCTGGCAGAGCTCGGTCTCTGGAATCACTGATATCTTCTAAACGTGTCACAGCATTTCACACCCTGTAACCCTACAAGGCTCTGCACATACCTCAGCTCACAGCTGTTATCGGGTGGCCATAACACATGTCAACACATCATCAAAATCTTCTGATTTTGATCAGGCATGTGGAGGTGCTCTATTTTTTCCAGCCAAATGGTTTCAGGTCCTAAAATGTCTTCAGTCATGTTTGCCATTCTCTAAGAGAACTGAATGGCTGGTGAGAACATTTGAAAATGGCCGATGAAAGACACTCCACAAAAGAAAAAGAAATGATTGAATTAATCACCCAATTTAGTGATACGGAGGAATTTCCATTTGAGATGGTTTTGCTTTCTATGTGTGCTGCACAACAATCCAGTCCTCCGGTGTGACGTGCTCTCCATGTCTGCAAAAAGGTGTTCTTCTGTCAATAAACCACACATTTACCAGCTGCTGCAGATATATGGCAGTAGGAAAATACAGAACTTCCTTTAACTCTTGAACTAAAGCCTGCCTGAACATCATATGACACTGTCCGGCCTGTGGAGAGTGGCAGTTTGCTGTTTAAGAATGAACAAGGAAAGTAAGCAAACATACCTTAAATTTGAGCAAGTGCAGCTTGTTTGTCTGCTTCAAACTCCCCTTCATTCTCATCATCTCCATTGTAGTCAGCCAGTTCCTCCTCCATATCTTTGTCTAGAAACAGGATGACTAAGTAAATAACCATCCTTCACACAAACTCTACTATAAACCCTTAAACAGCTCAATGCGAGCCCAAAGGGAAAAATTAGCCATGGTCTTTTCTTCCCCCCAATGTCATTCCACACGAACACACATACCTGTATTTTCAGCCTGTTTACTCTTCTGCTGTTGCTCCAAATCTACTCCACCCACTATTTGCTCGTCTGCATCATACTCGTCTTGTTCCTCAATCCTCTGGCCAATTGGAGTCTCGTCAACCTTTCCCTGACCAATCAGCATGCCCTCCATCCCAGGGTCTGCCTCTGGAAGAGCGAGAGAAAGAAAAGATTGGGCAAAATCTTCTCTTAAGTTGAGAATTTGATTACTCAAATTTGTACAGACTTACATAACAGCTGTGTTTTAACTGCCAGTATATCAACTAATGGCACGAGACTGGAAATTTGAAACGTTAACAGTCACATCAGCCTATGACCATCACTAAAGACCTGATGTCTAATTCTTATCCTGTGAGATGATGATGCAAGCTCAACTCATTTTCGGTGACACTTTGTCTCTCTGTTGCACACACATGCAGAAACCCCAAAGCACAACCTGATGAGCTGTTTTTACCTTCCGTCTGAGTGCCGTCTTCACGGGTGTCCATCACTTCAATGTCCTTGTCCACAGCTGGATTCTTCTTATTATTTTTACCAGCCTCTTCCTCCACTTCATCAGTTCTGACAGCTTCTTCTTCTGGCGGCAATACGTCTTGCTTAGCTGTAGCAGCAGACGGATCAAACTGGGGCTCTTCGTTCGACAGATCTTTTTCTGGAGGCTTCAGCACTGAGACATCTGAACGTGGAGATATAACGGGGTGAGGGAGATAGAAATGTTGCGAGAGGTAGCACAAATGCGTCTCAGAATCTCAACGCTCTCTACCTTTGTCCAGGATAATGTCGGTGGCCATCAGGTCGGATGTTTCATTTCCTCTCAGCTGAGAGAAGCCTGGTGTTTGGCTCTCAGCAGTTGCTGCCTGACCTGGACTGGTTTTGTCTGCGACTTCTTTTACCGCTTCAGTCTCTGTATTTCCCTGCTTTGGGGTCAAGTAAACACACAGAATTTAAGTCACTTCACAAACAACAGACACACTACCCAGCGACATCACACTTTCAGGGTTTCGGCAGGGTTGTGTTACAACACCAATTTTTCTTTCTGAGTAACAATCACATACAAAGCGCCTTTTGAGAAAAAGTTCCAGTAAGTATTTGACTAACTGGAGCACCGATAAGGGTTAATAATCAAACCGGATTTAGAGTATGCAGCTAGCTCTCATTTCATTATTAGATGATGGGACTTATCTCAGCCCTGTGGAAAGGCCCATGACCTCTAATAAGAACTATAGCTTTTGCATGTTTTACTATCAAACGGAAAACACACTCACCTGCGGAGACAAACCTGGAGGTGACATGAGCTTTTCCATCTTCTTCTGAACTTCAAGTTTAGCGGCTGCCACTCTCTCTTCACACAGCTCCTTCTGGGATAGGACCTGGGAGTTACAGTGGGTCCTAAACAGGAGCGAAACACACATTTATGTTAATCTGGCTGGGATTTATCAATTGGCCTGAAGCAATTTAGGGTCTGTTTTTTTTCTCTATTATTCATATCATGAGAGAAACAGCTGAAAATTAATCTTTTTTAAACAAATACAAATATGAAAGTATTAGGAAATAGTCTCCTTACATGTCATAAGTGAGTTTGTTGTTCAGGGTGTTTATGTTGCCTTGGCAATTCTTCAGCTCTTTCTGAAGTTTCCCCAAGTCATCATTTAACTGATTCAGCTGAACTGCAGCACACACAACACAACACACACAAAGACAAATGATGAATCTAGACCTAAAAAGCACTGCCTTCCTTTTAATAAAGAGTTTTTATGAGAATTTAGTTACTTAAGAAATGGTGGTTAAACAGAACCTTTTATTACCTTTGAGTTCCTGTACAGTTTTGGTGCTTGATGAAATGTTCTGCTGCAGTATGGTCTAAAGAAAAAAACATAGGAATTGTCACAAAATTAGCTGCATTACAGTTTGTGTCAACTTTTATCCTGATGATGTCTGTATATTTGGAGGAAAGCCAACATTTCCTATGTGTTATGGCTGAAGAGCACAAAGCTCAAGAAGCTATTTCATCTTGACGGCTCCATCTTTTAGCGCAAACTCTGGATGCTGTTCACCTTCTCCTGATTGCAGGTGGTCTGGGCTCCCTCCAGCTGTCTCTTGTAAAAGCTTTCGATATGACTGATTTGCTCCTTTTGTCTCTGGATCTCCCCCTGGAACTCATTCTTCTTAATCTCGGCTGCTCCTCGCTCAGCGGCCCCACGTCGCACCTGGCCCTCCAGCTCGTATAGCTTGGTCTGCGTCACAGAGACCAAAGAGAAGGGGTTAAAGTCAGCTCAAGGTATTCGATACTTTTATGCCACTCATTCATGATCTACCCATAACATTCAGACAGAAGGAGACATGGGTAAACAACAGACTAAACAGGCAATACAGCCAGAAGCTTAAAGAAATGTCACAACAGATAAAGCCACACAGGTTGAAATGAGCCCACTATTTTAACAAATTTCAGGTATTTAAAAAAGTGTTTCCTCTTAACTTGCTTTGGATCCCAGGGAGCACATAATAAACCTGTTCTAGATGTCCTGAATTGATTTAGTAACGGTACATATTGAGACCTCTGGGTTACTAACAGTGTTGTGCTTATTATCAAGTAATATTATGGTAAAGCTATAAAAAATAACGTTGTTAATAAAACGTGGTACACTTTCAATTATTCCTTGTAAGCCACATTCTTTTGATTCTTAACTAAGAACTGTGAAGACACTTATCTAATGTATCTTGGCTCAGGTTGATCCAGCTATGTCACCATTAAGGAAAGACAAGTCTGTAATAATAAACTTCATCCAAGTTGTGTTGTTGTGTGTGTCCAGATTTAACCCATTCTGTGTTTTTTTAAGAATTCAATCTTGGTCTGGAATTTAGTGGGTGATAAAGTAGACTTTCAGTAGCAGTTTCAGTAGCATTCACTAACAGGTGAATTCCTGGCCTTTGTGACACACAGAAATACCAAAACTGCACCCCTCATTGTGTAGCTTAGGTTTTAATGTGAATGCAAATACTCACCTAACTAGTTTTCCCACCCACAAAGTTAACTTACCTGTAGTTCCAGGTTGCGGGAGCTGGAGACCCAATAGTTAAAACCCAAAACCAAGATACAGGCGATTAGAGCAGCAATCATTAAAGGTGGGGATCTTCCTCCTCGACGGCCGTTACCCAGCGCACCCATAGCTGTCTACAAACAGGACACACAAAAACAAAAGCAGTAGTCAGAATCACAGCCAATAACTATGTTGTTGAACATTTTAAAGTAATCTGTTTTTCTTTCTTTTTTCTTGTTGATGAGAATAGTGTAATAGGGATGTGGGACCCCTTGTAGATTTCTGCACACTGATAGCAACATATCCAACACGTTATGACATGGATCTTACCATCACACAGGCTAATATTCAGGAGTACAGACAACACAATAGGTGTCTGGAAAGCACACACTCGTATCCGGTTGTTGTTTTTTTATCCTGCACATGCAGTGATGGGCTAAATCCTGTGTGGGAGAGAATAAGCTCAGCCAAAAGGACTTGCCAATGAGCCCCACAGCTAATATGAAAACGAAGCTTTTACATGAGAATGCGATCTGCTAACTTTGAATATGCTGCTGATATGGGAAATAAAACATCATTTCTCTGTCGTGCAGCAGCAGGAAAACAGCACCAGCTGAAATAACAAATAGGAAATTACAAATGAAAACAAAACGTGTAAGCGCCAACCTGCGTCTTCCCTAAATGACAGTACAGACCTGGAAGTCGTACCCCCCTTCTGGTCTATAATAACTACACAGATTTCGAACAGTTTACAATACACAGCCTGCCAAAATGAATCCTCCTCCACAATTAGCCATCATTGGTTCTGGGCAAAGATCGCGTACCATAAAGACACTGCGAGCACAAATAATGAGGACATTGAGTTTTGAAATCATACATATAGGCATTTAAATGTGTCTGTCAGAACATGACAGAGTAAGACTAGAGTAAAAAGAGAAGCGTCTTCTCTGCACAACAAGCTGGAGCTAGCATCGTTAGCACCGCAGCTTGTCTCCACTGGGCATTAGCTTTAGCTAACAGTAGCAGCCAAAGCATCTACCTACCCGCTAAAAACGTTACAATTCCCAGTTGAGTAGGTCGGACTGTAGGTCAGAAAACAGAATGACTCTTAGCGGTATATTTCGACGCCCGTCCGCGTTTTATGGAGCAGATAGCTGGGGTTGCTACCTAGCTCGTACACATTACTGCCTCACAAACATAAAGCGCTCTGAAGTGTCAGTGTGGGACTTGGGCAGGCGAGTGATGCCTTTGCTTGCTGTTCGAAAACTGACACTTCGCTTTAGGGCCAAGATGGCGATCCGCTAATTCGCAGGTTACAGAGGCTGGGTAACAAGTTACACATTCTCTTCTGGTGTTTACATGAATCTGTCATGCTTGACAATAGTCCTTTGACCTTCTTTTGGATAACTTAAAATCTTTCTTCCGTCTGTGTCTCTGTTTTACGTCAAAGATCAGTGTTTTTGTGGTTTACTTTACCTTTTCTCCTGAGAACTCTTCATCTCTGTGTTGAAATTGTATCCACCTGTCACTTTTGCTCTTTTAGAATTCAGCATTCCTGTTCAGTTCAGTTTCAGCCTTTTAGAAAGACTCACCAATAATGTAAGGCCTTTCACTCAGTGAATCTGCAGATTTCCATTCTCACAGCTATTCCACTGGAAAAGGTCTTTCCAGTGTATTTCTATTTTAATTCTATGACTTGTTACTATAAACCACAAAACTAATTAGATCCCTCGTCTATTATGTATTCTCAATCACACATGTAAAATAAAACCGGAATATGTGGGATGGTACATGAATCACTTACAATCAAACACAGAGAGGGCTAAATTAATAAGATTTTGTATTCAGTTACAAAGTCTCAGGAAACATACATTATAGTTGATTCATTATCTACATAAAGTTCACAAGCAGGTTGTAAATACAAAAATATTCAACATCAAATATGCTTTGGATATTATCTCACATTTTAATTGGTTTTGGGCACTTGAAGTTGGATGAAAGTTTCCCTGAGGAAAATACAATTCCACTGAAATGTATTTATTTCTGTCATTTTTGACTTTGTGCATGGGCATTTTCTTCAATCCTTCAAACATCATCAAAAAGGCCCGTCAGAGAAGGTGACAGGGACATGTATCGTCCTCCAGATCTATGGAGTCAAACAAAGACACGGTAAGGGACAGAGTAAGTCTGTTAGATGTAACTGGCTCACAACTCTGAGGCATAATATATTCCATAATATATATACCATGTATACATATCCATGTTCAGCTTAATGAAAACCATACCTTCTATTCGGTAAGCCATCATCACTGTTGTCATCATGCAACAAGCTTGTCCTCAGATCATCTTGGTTTTCATCTCTTCTGAAGACTGCATCACAGTAAAGTTAAAGTATGTTAAAGTTAATTTAAACATAATAATGTGAGGGTGCAGACTTATATGAAACAACATAATCATTTTGAATCAGGACGAAGTAGGTAAGGAAGGGATTTTCAGATGGTGGATATGACCGTTTTTTCAGCATTATGTTATAACTAAAGTGTTTATTTTATAAGAATTAGAGGCTAATTATACATAAATGGATGAGAAAGAATGTGGCTGTACTTTTATCTACCAGTGATTCCATCTGTATCCTGGTGTTTAAATAATAGATTTTTATTATTTTGTATTTTAGTTTTCAAACTGTAGATTTTATTATCATTATTGCATTATTATTGTCAAATATCTGTAATCAAATTTATATTTTCAATCCTATCAATATCCGTAGTAGCTGTGGCAACACAAAATAAATCATTCTATTGAAAAGTTGCGTGGTTTTTCTTACCACTTCTCTTCATCTCTGTTTCAGGGCTGCTCTGATTATCCTTTAACTCAGCATAACCAGTTTTGCTCTGCCCCAAAGCTGTCTGGACTCCATATTTTTCTCTCCAGGCCTAGAGCAGAAAAATCCCACATAAATACCAAAATATGTAAAACCTGTGAGGAATACTGTCACAGAAATAATGAAATGGCAGAAAATCTTCTAACCCATCTTCGATTTTCTCCATCTTCTGCTTTCTGTTTTTTTCTTCTTTCTACAAAAGAGAAGATGTTCAGCCATGCAGTTACAAATCTGTGAAATTAAATTCTTGCTATTAAGATCAGGGCGTATTCTGTGTATCCAACTGTTTAAAGGGCCTATTTTGTGCAAATTTACAAGTTCACAACTATAATTTGGGGGGTGCAAAAACGGCTTTACTCTTAACATAAAGTATTTCTGGAACAACATATCCCGTCACCTTTAATATTTAAAATAATATACCCCAAATGACTTCATATTAACTATTTATATCAACATAGAGAGGCTTGGGATTCCAACCACTGCCTACCAGTTAGGGAACAGCCATTCTAAACACAGAGCAAGAACTGCCTGAATGATTCTCTTCAATTAAAAATCAAGAAACGGGGCAAGCAAATATAACTCCAATGTCAGAAATTGTCGAATACGTATTGCAAACTTGTAAAGCTAGAGCAAAATGACCTCTTCTGATGAGTTCTTTGCCTTCGTCGACAAGGTCAGAGGTCAAGTCATCATCAGCAATATACTGATGGAAGCCCAAAAGGTTCAGACAGCGAGAGCCCAGACTGCAAGCCCAGACAGAAATACACAATTACAAACGACAAATAGATATAAGTGAGAGGGCGAAAAATTATCTTAGATAAGTTGCTCTTAGCAGAATCTTTTCAATAATCCATCCTGAGGAACTGCTTCACATGGTCACTTTAGAGAATAGGAATCAAAGAAGCGGCTGAATGGAGGTTTTACTTGTAAAATGTGGCAAAGCAGAGCAGCAACACCAGCATGGGGTAATAGATGTAGAACCCATCAGAAATGACAGGCAGAAGCCGCATAGAACCCAAAATCTGTCAGGGAAACAAAAAGAGAGAGTGCATCACTACAGTGACTTCCACACAAATAGGGACATATTTTCACCACACACTGTATTATTTGGATGAAATACGTTGCAGATATGTGTCAGTAAGAATATCTATCATGGACTTAAACTCACTGAAGTGTATGATGTCTGTATTCTGTCTTGGTGCGAGATGGCAGAGTCCATATGAATCAGGCCAAGAAAGTTGAGGCACAAAGGCGGAGTCAGACGACAAAACAGCCTATGCAGAACAAAACAAAAAAATGGAGCAACTTGATTTTGTCATGCTGTTATGAAACTGAATGTGAGACCAAACAAGTGTCCTCTTATTATTTTTTAAATCTGTTATCAATAAGGTCTCATTCTTTCATTTCAGTAAATAAGTATAGCAAAAACAGTCAAACATCTTGGTCAAAGACTTAAATTCCTGATTGAATGATTAAACTAAGTCTATGTCCTGCTTTGTGACATACATACATGGCACTGAACTGCAGGCTGTAGGCATCCGTCTGGTGATGTGGCACCAAGTAATAATAATTAAAAACTCGTATCCTGAATACCGTGGAGTACACACACATGCACATGAAGAGAATACTGATGAAGCACGCCATCTGGTGGAAGACAAAACACAAAGAGAAGAGGTGAGATTTCACACGAAAAGGATGGCCTGTTTAGTCAGCTTAGTCAGCGGAGTGCTTACCTCTATACAAATGTAGTTGTAGTGATTCTCAGCCTTCTGAATGAAGACGGCGAACAGAGAGAGCACGGGTCGCGTGCTGAAGAAGGTGCACTCGGACCAAACTACAGCTGCAGAGAGGAGGCACAGGAGCAGTGCCAGTAGCCTGCAGAACCACTGTCTGAACACACACTCCCAGTACCACTCTGTGCATGACAAACACACACCAATGTAAATCCTGCTGGAAATCTGGCAACCAAACTACACATCTCTTTTGACTCAGAATATCTCACAAGTGAAGAACAGCAGTGTAGCTGGATCAACTTAAAACATCGATCAGAATCAGCTTTTTTATGCCGTCTTGTTTAAATAATACAATGACTATATATCAAATAAAAATACCTTTTAACACTATAAAGAAGCAATTCTACTTTACTAAAAGAAGGATTTCCTTCACTGAGTGGTTCAAGAACCTTTTAGCAATGATAACTACAAATTCTACCTGTGGGCATAAAAATTTGGGCACTGAATCAACTCACCGACTTTTGTGGTATAGATGAGCCTCCAGATCCAACTGCCGTGGTCTGAGGGGAAGCTGTGGGTGAAGACTCGGAGCGGGTTACTCTGGCTTCTATCTACATCTTCAAGATGAAAAGCCTGGTCTAACAAGATAGACCACTGAACCTGAGTCTGACGGTGGCTCTGCACTGCTCGTATTACCTAAAAAAACCCACAAACAAGGCGACGCAAACATTCAGTGTCCATTCAAGTTTGCATGTCAGTGGAATTATGTTCTTCATATCATCGAATGGTTTCTAAATCACTTTTTTATGGAGGTTAATTAAGCTTCTTTTGGTGGGAGTAACACTGTGGTCTTCATTAGAGCTTTCTGCATTTCTTCCCATCTCTTCTTGGTACTCAGGTGGACACTGAAAAGAGAAGGGACTCAAATGAAGGCCGCTCCACTGTGCTGGACAGGTGGCATTATGCTGCACATTGAGGTGAGATATGAACACAAGGAAAGAAAAGTTAGTGTTAGTAAGTGTTTTCTCACCTTTGTCAGAATGGTGTCCACACATTTCCTGAGGCTGTTGTTGTAGTGGACAGACTTGTCAACACCTGCAACTTCCTGATGAGCAGAAAAATGTCTTTGTTTTTTAAAAGTTTTAACAAACACCAGATAAGCTGGTGATGGAGATATTTTTTGTCTATGGACAATTTAAATACTTGGAAATCATCACCTCCATAACATCTGCTAGATTCTCCTCTGCTGCTGCTTTCTCGGTAACCAGTTTTGCTGTTTTGAAGTAGGTCTTGGCCAGCAAGTAACCATGGGAAGATGAGAGCCAATAAGAACGCGGGATCTCCACCAGGCCGTAGCCTAGCAACAGCACCAAAAGGAAGAGACCCCACGTGTTGGCTGCTGCAATACCAATGGTCTGGAGATCTTTCCTGTGCAAGTTTTTCAAAGAAGGTCAAGACTCGCTTAGAAAAACACAACCATAATTTTCAAATTTTTCTGGATGTATTTCGGTTCACTTGACATACCACGTGAGTTTCCACTTTGGGTGAGCAGCCACATAGATCAAGAGCGAAATGAAGATAAGGAGGTAGGTGCCGTAATAAATAGCATTTTCAATCAGAGCCGTCTTAATCTTTCCAACCCTGGAGAAAGCTCCCGACCGTGCATAAGACTGCATGAAGGGCAACAACAGCCTGTATGTTCACACAGGGGAGAGGGGGACTCAATACACCAGATACAGCCGTTGTTCTGACTATCAGGTGAAGATAAAGCAGCTAAAATCTTGGGGTTTGATTAAGTCTCACATTATATTCATACATCTGTGTGGCTTAAGGAACTCACCATGTGAGAAACTGGGAAGTCCAGTATACAACCCTCCAAAAGACTGGCAGGACACCATCTGGGATGAAACTCCAGGGCTTTTCACACACCTTTGGTATTCTGCAGCAAGCGAATGCAAAAAATCCTCAAAGTAAATTCCTTCACAGCAGATTTATTTGCTAAAAACAAAGTACTGGATATGAAAAAAATGGTTGAAAAAAATGGACAAGTTGGACAACCATTCAAAGTGCTCAGATTAAATCGATTTTTAGATTACATACAGAACATTTCTCTCTGAGGCATTCAAGTGTACAGTCCGATATCATCAGGCCTGATGTCCAAAGTGAGCTCAAAATGCATCGTTTGATGACATCCCAGCAGCTTGGTGCATTTGGTTTTGTGATTTAAAATACCAAAAACCAATGCCTCATCTCCCTGCTTCTTTAGTTGGTAGTAGTTTGTTGTATCTATCTATCTATCTATCTATCTATCTATCTATCTATCTATCTATCTATCTATCTATCTATCTATCTATCTATCTATCTATTTTCAGTCAAATGTCAAAACCAATTGGAATTGGAATACTTTGACTTACTTAGTTCTCATATTTAAGAATGAAACCATCAAAACAGTAGATGAACAGTGGAGTGTATAGAACTAAAACTTCATTATGGCTTGAACACCATGAAACATGAGATGTCTTCTAAAGCTGAACACCATAAATCTCAGGAAGTAAGTGACTGCTCTGCCAGAAATAAACAGTGACATACTGACTATCTGGATTTATAAAGAAGAGAAAGGTTTGCATGTCACGTTGGATGAATTTGGAACTCAGAGTGGATGAACTTACTGTTGTTGAGTTATAAGAGAGAGATCTCAAATGTAATAAATCCAACAACGTCTTACTTACTTCAAAGGTAGGTGTTGAGCTGTGCTGACCTCGGTCTGACTTAACTCTGTTGCTTGAGTCACAGGGAATGTGTGATTTGATTGAATATGGACACACTGGTTATAGATGGTCTGAGAGAGGGAAGGGAGGGTTAACAAAGTGAGGCATAATGCAAGTCACAAGTTGAAGACGGGCAGGGAAAACGCACTCCGACTCATTCCGACCATTATGTATTTATCTAGTAAAGTTATTAAGCTGAACTGTCAATTACCGTGCTGACATCCAGCGGTAAGATGAAGACGATGAGGAAGCACAGGTACCAGGACAGCAGCGTGCCTATCAGGACCATCCGCTGCTGCTTCCACACGTCTGCATAACGCCTCAGGAGGTACAGGGCCAGCAGGAAGACAGAAACCACCACCACACACAGCGCCACACCGCTCATGGTGATGAATGCTCACACCTGATGTCAAACGCTCATGTTGGCAGTCTGGAAGAGCAAACAGACAGGGGTGGAGCTTATTACTGCAAACAGTTACAAGAAGAATAAAAACAACGATATCAATTACACCAATGACAGTTTTAACGCCTTTTCCATCCCAAGTAGTGTTTGACTCCTAGAAAGCCTGGGACAAACATGAGCTCCTATCTTCACACTCATGATTAGAGTTAGGAGAGAAGACATATTTTTAACGTCCTTTAAAGCTTGAATGTAGAATCAGTGATTCTTCTGTGCGAAAAATTATTTCCCTGACAGCGATGGTTTTGAAAACTCTTTTTTAATGTTGTCAGTATGAGGTCTAACTTCCAATGAGCGGTACAAATGTTTCACGATAAGCACACACGTTTATATCGCCTCGTTGTCTACCTACTTCGCTCTCCACTCTTACGGGCAAAAGTAAATCCTACCTTTGGTAAATCTTCCCTCTGGCTGAGAGTTGTCGATGGTCGGACTCACTGGGTTTACTGTCACTGTAATCTCCTTCCAACTCACACATGAATACAACCTTAGAAACAACATTGCGTAACAAAAACGCTGCCAACCTCGCGAAGCAATGAACTATGGGTAATGTAGGCGCATGACTAAATCTTTCCTTGCCAACAATCTCTCTTGTCAACGTAGGAGGTACGACTTTGTCATAATTTTTTCTCGTAGTTTATTTTCACACAATCAGACTTTATACAAAAACTAAAACAACAAAAAACAACAACTTTGTGTGGTCATCGATTTTTTTGGTGGCCAACAGGCGCAGTTCTTTGCATTGCTTAATTTTTTCATGTACAGAGCCCAAAAAAGAGATTTTTACCTATACTTGCATCTAAAATGGCTTTTACTTTCCTTTCATATGTTTGCAGTACAAGTCAAGTGTAACACTGCTGACTGACGGTAAAAACAAGGCTCATGAAAAAGACACATGGATGTTTTATATAGGGTAAAGGGCAAATCTAAAACTACAACTATTGAAGTGAGATAACAGATGACAAGCAAATAAAACAAATACGAATATTTAAATCAATTTAGAATTGACTTTGGACCTGTTTCTAAAAGATGTCTTCTTCAGGCGTTGGTGCAATGATGCATAAATAAAGCCATGACCTTTGTTCTGTACAATGCTCCATTGCTTAAAACCAGCCACTAAACATGACAACGACATAATCCTTTAAACCACCTGACTGACATCACAATGAGACCATGCGGTCGCCATCATTTACGCCATCAAAAGGGAAACTTACAGAACACAAGTTTTTAAAATCTTAATGTAATTTACCAATGAGGAAATGCATTTAAACACACACACACACACACACAGTTGGCTGATTTAGCATATGGTTAAGTTTAGAAGAGAAAGTAACACTTATTTCACTGACTTGCTGACCATTGAAAATATATTTCTTCCAGTAATTAGATAGTCCTCTATACAATATTTCAGCTAATGTTGGCATATTACCTAGAAAAAAAAGAACTGACAATACAATTTTGAAATGATCAAATGGTACAAAAACTATTTCAAATAATCAAAATAAAATGCAAGTATAATTAAACAGTGCAGTGTCTGCCCATTTTCACAATTTATTGCAGGGAAACAATCCAAAACGGCTTTGTGGTTCTAAGCAATTTGACACAAGACTTCCATTATAACCATGTTAGACACACACTTTTTCCTGCAAATAAGAATTATTTCACAGAAGCTGTTCACAACGGTACATGTACAATTTAATTTCAACATAAATTGCTTCAAAGTAGACCGCCTCTCACTCAGTGACATCTGGGATAGGCTCCAGCCCCAGTGTGACCCTGCTTGGAAAAAGCAATATAGGCAATTGTTGGAATTATCAACGTATCGTTGTTGGTTCAACTTGAAGAAACAGACTCTAGTTAACATTATCAAGCTTCTCTACATAACAATTGATATCAACATGTTAGGCTGCAAAGTTACCAAATGCAGGAAATTTAAAGAAATAAATAAGAAAATGTATTGTAATTCCATTTCAGGAATGGAGGAGCATCCACATATATGAATCATCAGCATACAGTGGGCCCAGTATGTTAAAGCAGACTGCACGGTGCTCCAGCAAAAACTCCATGTGAGCCAACAGATCCAGACAGAAGTATTCTACTAAATTCAGGCAAACAGTCCAGTCGTCCAATGCTCTGGATACATCTAATGCATTTGTCCAAACTGACCCAAAAATCTCCAGTGATTCTGGCCAGCCCTCTAAAACATTATCCAGTAACTCCATGGTCCGCGAAACAGTTTGAATTTCACATCCACTGCAAAAACGAATCCCAATTGTTTCATTACAGGAGGAACAATCATTCCATTTTTGCTTGTTTGGTCCTTTTATGTTCTACGTTACTCTTTCTTCCTCGTCTGTGCTTTGCTTCCGTCCTCTATCTGCATTGTACGATAAACTGGCTTGATCCAAGCAGTTACAGTAGATATAAATCCCATTGACAGGTGCTTAGTGAGGCCATCTGTCAGCCCTTCAAACTTAATTGACCCAGCCCTCTTGTTCGGATTAGAGAAAGCATGTGTATGACCCTCATGTTCTTCATTACTTTACACATATATATACAACTGGATAACTGATCACCTATCGTAGACATTGACTAAGTAATTCTAAGCATAATACAGCCTCAAGAATGTAAAGAAATACAATCATTCAAACATCTGGCTAGTATATGCCTACCATATAAAACACGCCTTTACGTGGTGAAATACTTTCAGTCACTTCGTGCAGGGAAATGGAGTCTGCTTGTCTGTTTGACAAAAACTTGTGTCCCCCCTGTTTAACACCAGCAGATGGAGGCAGAGAGCTTGTTCTGAGCTTCAGCGTTTCAGTTTCTGATGGGAAGATAATTAGTCATGGATGAATGAATGGTCATCCATTTTTTTGTTGGAATGGGGTTTATTCAGTCACTCAATATTAATAGTGTATTTTCAGAACTGTATGATGTCAGTTTGCTTTTGAAGAAAATGTCTAAGTTGAATAATGTATTTCACTACACACTGTCAATTTAAAATCGTGAGACATAAATGCAATCGGTGTTCTAATAATCAATGTGGGAGGCTCTTTAGACCCAACACAAAATAGCACAGAGATTCTTCATTATGTTGTTTTTTTAATCATATTTGACTTTTGGAGAGCTGAGCAGAATTTACCAGTTGCTTATGATGAAAAAGAAAGGTGTCATATTTTGGATCTTTCAGAACCTCAGACACAGATTAAAAAAGACCTGGTCAGGTTTCTGGTCACTCCCCTTGGCACCACAAGCTACAGGTCTCTTGAGTGACTTAAAGTAACACACAAAGCATCATTCTTTGAAAATATAAATTATACTGAAAATCTACCCCTATCAACACAGCAATTTCTCCATGAATGGCTTCTACCCTGGTGAATGATAATTCACTAACAATACGACTATATTTGATTTTGTAGTTTAATTTCTGATATTGTTTTGAGAGGCAAAAGATCTTTAAATCATCTTTAAAACTCATACAACGGAATTTTTATTGTTTTTCAAGAAAACAGATGTATGTTTGAGTAGTTGAACTTATTCACAGAATGCCATGGCCTCCTATTAACCAAATACTGTGAATTTTGGTATTTGCACAGCAGCTCGTAGGTTTGTCACTAGGTTGTTTAGACTGTCGATAAACTTAGTTTGCCTTTCTGTGTGGTAATCTCTATTTACTTGTACTCTTACTGAGTTTTGTTGTCATCATCTCTCGCCTTACTTCACTGCTGATAGCATCGTATACTCTATGCACTCTTCACCATTATCCTATCACTCCATATTGCATCCAAACGATGAGCAACTGGGACCGTGTCCAGCACGGCCTCATTCAGATCAGTGAGAAACTGTGTGTGAATGGCTTCATCTCCCATCGTGCTCATTGAGTGGCTATGAGTGCACTGAGACCCCTGGGTTTGAAGTCTGTAACATTTGATCCATGGGAAACCCTTTTGCACAATGATGCCAATGAACAATGTGGCCCCAGTTCTGTATGTCCCCAGAGGGCCACTGTAGACTGCAGATCTTATGACCTGTCCTGGATGCATCACTCCACTGGGAGTGAGCCACTCCCATCTGAAACTACAGGTTTGGTAGAGTAACCTGGGCCAGGTAGAGTTACGCACTTTTAGAACCACTTGTGTTGAGATTGAGGCCATGGGTTGTGTGTATTTGTGGAAGAAATACTCTTGTGCGGGAGAAAGTGGGAGGGCTTGTGTTTTTGTTACACTAGGGCTTCTATTATAAACCACAAGGCAGAAGCTGCCAAACCCCTAGCTCTTCAAAAACACTGCCTAAAAATGTATTTTCAAGCCAAAAATGACCACTATTTTAGATATTCATCAGTCTGCATGACGGACTTGTGATCGGTCCAGAGTGTACCCTGCCCAATGACACCTGGAATAGGTTCTAGCCCCCTTGCAACCCTACCTAGACTAAGCAGGAGTTGCAAATTGGTGGCTGGATGGATGCTGTCATCAGCATATCATCCATTATCTCATTTTTCTTTTGTTATTGTGGCAGAAAATGTAGCACAATAAAAGCACATGGGAGTCAGACATGAATCAACAGGCATGATTTAACATCATAAACCTATTTAGTTCCACATTCCATCAATGTTCAATTGAACTGGTCTGAGTCTCCTAAGTGTTTGATGTGATGTAGAATCTTTAGTGAGCTTGAAAACTTTGTGTTTCTTAAAGCTATTATGTATTATTAACAGTAAACTCTCCGCTACATGTTCCTTTCGTTGATTAAAAAGTGGGGTTCTTGCGCCAACCCCATTGTTTTGCTTTCTAAGGACAAAGGACTCTGTTGTGTGGTGACGGCTGTTGTTGGGATAACTGAGTGACAGATACCATGTAGATCCTTGTGGTGAAGATGATGACAGAGTTACATTTTTCCAGATGTGTAATAATGGCGAAGCCACGAGTTTGGAATTGCTATGGGCCTATTTAATGACATTATTACAAGGTTAGTAATGATTTCGCAATTTTTGGTCTGGAATTGATCTGCCCTTTCTGGGAATGGAAAACTGAAAGTGACACCAAATTTTAAGCTGTTGTGAGTTTGTGGTGAATGAACAACAATCAGTGCTACCAAAAACCTGTATTCTAACTCTCAGATGAATGCTACTTTGACATTTGCCTTCACACTAAACATTTTTGCAGACCAGTCTCCCCATCACCCACCCCAGTCTTAACATGGAAACGTCACTCCCCTATGGCTCTGGTCGCTCCTTAGAGGTGTGATCAGTGCTCTAGAAAAATAGCTTGGAAAGATTAAGAGAGTTTTTGTGGATATAAAAAGGATTTTGATCCATCTCACCTCCCATCTCTCCTGATGTTGCACTTTTCCAAAAGTGTATATCCTGGTTCTTTAAGTTACTAAAAGTAGAGTGGGAGACAAAACATCTCTCTTATCATGTCCCTTTCTTGTGAAACCAGTTGTCTGTTTATGTTTAACTCATCTATCCTGTTTATCTTTAAGATTAAACTTAAAAGTTATACCTATGGATAAAACTTTTAGTGAGGAATAACTTAGGTGAACTTGAAACCTTGATTATGCTCTCACGATGGACTCTGCACTCTTACAAATTCTCCTTTCTTTACTCTGAATTAACATATGATATGCATTTAATCCTTAACTTGTGTAGGGGAAAAAAACACCCTCCCCATACTCCTTGCAGAAGGTTTGCAGAAAGAGGACAGCAGAGTGTGGCTTCTGTTTGACTCAGTGAGAAGGCTGAAGTGTAGCCAGAGTCTTTTCAATGTTTCTGAGGCCCAGGGGATGACAGAGGAAGATTATGTTGTTTTTATTTTCCCTTTTGTTCTGATCTAATTATGCCCAACAAAGGATTTTCAAACAGGCTTTTCAAAGTGTGCTGGAGTACAACCTAAACATGAATCAAGTCAATTGGAGGAAATATGCTGGTTTGAAGAAAAAGTCGTATCGTATAAAATGTCTGTGTGTGTCAAAATAATCAAGCTCATGACAGTTAATTGGTGTAAAGTTAAGTAACGAAATTATGAAAACTGCATGTGAGCTGCCAGAAAAAGTAGCACCCATGAGCACAAGTTAAGACCCAGTTCCACATCTGGCAAATATTTACCTTTTCGGTTTATATTAACAAACCGCTATTTTTTTTTCTTTTTCCTGAAAATACAGCCAAATGGACTTTGCATGCTGCAAGCCTGAAATGTTCGTGAACATAGGTAAAGAGAGCTAACACAATCTGAACACATCTGCTGAAGATATGCAAGCATTAAATGCATGGATCACTCCTTCTCCACATATTTGATGGCCGGAGCGCTTGTATTTCTCTGTTAACTCAGTCCCCACAGGAATCTGTAATCTGACTGAACTTATCAAGCGTGACAAATCATTTCAAAGGATGGCTGAGAGGGGCAGAAGAAAACAAGAAAGTCCTTTTTCTTTTTTCTCATTGGAAAGTTCATTATTCTTCAAGTTCTCTTCTCTCTGAAAAGCATTCCCTCCCCTACCTTTTTTCACTTTTTTTAGTCCCCGCCTCACATCCCCAGAAGACCGCACTGCTTTACCCACTGACTAACCCTACATTTTCTTCTACTACAGCCCCACCTCCTTTCCCTGACTGGCTGCTTTGGTCCCACATCCCCACTGCTGTCCCCTCCTCTTCTCCTCCCTTCTCCTCTTTCTTAGCTGTGTCTCTTCATTGCTGGTTGTTCGTACCAACCAGCTCGGAGCCAAAGAGACACTCTGGCCATTTCCTCTCCGACTGAGATTTAAGCCTGAACTTTCCCTTGACAGAGCGAGACACTGCTCCAAAAGAAGTTACTGCTCAAACATAAAGGTACAGAAATAACTTCCAGTTTATTATTTGTCCTTTAGATCTGTTTGGAAATGCATTTCATAACTTAACCAACAGCTGTGTTCGATGTGTGTAGGGCTTGAACAAAAAAATTAGCATTTGAATCAAACTGTAAACTGCTTTCTTCTCTCTTTTTGCTGTCACCACTGATTCTGACTAGGGATTTTACTTGAGAGAAATTAGAACTGTAACATTGTGTCTACTTTGTAAGTCACTATGGATAAAATCTTCTGCTAAATGTATAAACATAAACATAAATGTGTTAAAGTGAACTTAAGAGGAGGTTTCATTTGCCCGAATCCTTCTCTGCTATGGATGAATTGAAAATGTTTCGAATCCAGAGTGGACTATTTGTCGGCTGACTCTTACATTGTGTCCCTCTCTTTCAATCGGGCAGCTTGAAATCCTTTAACCAAAGAAGAGGTGTGGGAAAAAAGCAGGAGAGACATCAACAATTTTACAGGGCTCTCATCTCAGTTGAGAGGAGTTCGAGTTTTTTGACCGAGTGGAGCAGCTCTGAAGATTGCTGTTGCAGGCATGACACAAAGTAATGGGGATAACCCAAAGAGGAACCAGAGTGGTCTCCACCAGATCCGGGCTGGGATCCAAAACCGATCTCAGCTTGCCAAGACAAAAGTGAAGAACATCACAAAAAATGATATGAAGGGATTTTTTATGAGAAATGCTTTTGTGATTCTCACCGTCATTGCTGTCATAATAGGTACGTAACTTTGTATCAGTAAATGTTTGTCTTTCTTTTGCTATCAAGGTTTTCACCTCAGTAATTTAGTTTATTCCTACATGGAGATCATTGGTCTAGTCCTCTTCACCATAGCTGCTTTGCCTCAACAATAAACGAGTCTAGTATGACCAACAGCTGCGTGTAGCCGGGCAGAAGAAGGAAACGAGAAGGAACATTTGCACCGGATGAGCAAACAGAGGGAGCTCTGATGAACTTAGCAGACTGGCCTTTGCATGACCTCTTAGCTGACCCCTGACCTGTTGCTATTAACCTCTAAATTCTGCCCGGTGGGAAGTGAAGCAGGCCTAGCCCCTCTGCCTGCACATCTGCAGGTCTGCTAGAATTACACTGTGCCACGGCAGACTGTCAAATTCAGGCTAGTCTCCATTACAGGCTGCGGGATTGGCCTCCGGGACAACAGCTAACTCGCTAAGAGAGAGGACATTTCTACACATAAGAACAGAATTTGGACGTGTTCAAACAAGAAAAAGACATCTTAATTTTATCCATTTAGACATATACGTCTAGATAGTGGCCAGCATTTGCTAATATGTAGCTAATACTGTTTTACATACTTGTTGCCTTTCGCAGCTTTGTAATGTTGAGAGCTCACATCTGCTCATGACCCTCTCCGCAGGTATAATCCTGGGATTTGCACTGCGTCCATACAAAATGTCTTACCGGGAAGTGAAGTTTTTCTCTTTCCCTGGAGAGATACTGATGAGAATGCTGCAGATGCTGGTGCTGCCTTTACTGGTCTCCAGTCTCATCACAGGTATATTCATCATAAACACATCAATGTATCTTATTTACTTCATTTTGTTACAGAGGAAAATTTTGACACATATTTGTGGTCAGTTATTCTTATTTTCAGTAACAAATACAATCTGATTAACACATATGTATGGGTGTAGTACATTTTTAGAATTGTATCAAATATTACATCATCACTGATGACAGAAAGTTATCCACCCCAAGTATTTTTTTACGTTATCCTGCATAGTTACATCATCATCACATTTAACCAATATTCGTCAGCAACTTTTTGTTGTTCAAATGTGTTTAATTTCTCTAAATTCCTATAAAGCAGCCAGTTTCCGTTATCACCTGATAGTATTTTCTCTTATCCAGGCACCTGCTCAGTAAGGCTCCATAATGTTACTGGTCAATATGTTTTTATTTTATTTTGACAAGTAGCTTGCTTTTTTTTTAATCATAAAAGACAATCTGACTAAGGTGTTTGTTGTTCTGTGGCTCCACTGACCAGCATATAACTGATGACTAGTGGAGAAAGCCAGCTGTTTGTAGCAGTCAGATATGATGATGAATGTGTTAGGATGACCTCATGAGCAAGAGAGAGATGTTTCAACATGCGGTTCACTTCTCAGTGGCATGCTTGACCTTTGTAGTGTTTGTTTCCACCGAGACACAACTCGCCCAAAGCAGTGCAATTTTTTTTTTCTTTAGAACTTTGAAAGAAGGCTTTATTTTTATTTCTGTAAAGTTTCGTTCATCTTCCAGCTCGCATAAATGTGGTTCATTATCACTGAAAAACAAAAACATGTGACATGCCTTTAGATCTACTATAGGCCGTGTGCGAACCCACGAGTCAGCGTTGACCAGAAGTGCCAGGTGGTTTGCTTCATATTACCCTCACTAACAGACACTGGATGGGAGGACTGGATGTCCAGAAACAGCAGTGACTGACAGGGAAGCAAACCAGCCTCCTCTGAGGGAAAGAGAGATGGGTTGTTTGATAATGGCCTGCTTTGTCACGCAGTGGGGCGTATCATCGGCACCCTCTGACATCAGGTCACATGACCACAGATACACCATGTGGAAATTGACTAAACTCAAACCACCGTTGCATGCACACGCTAGAATTTATGCTGTTTCCTCCAAACTAAGAAAAAGTGGGACTACAAAATGACAGATCACATACAATGTAAAATCAAAGTGCTGCTAACCATCTTCAACTGTGGGCAGTTTTAAAAACATTCCTTATCTACATCAACGGGAAAGATTGGAAATCAGCCTTAACTAATGTTTACTAAGACCTAAAAGTAATGTAGTAAATAAAGAACAAGCAGCATAGATTCCCAGATCTAAATTGTAAAACTAAAAATGAGGTAAAACTATAGAAAAAAATGATAGACATTATTTCCTAGGAGTGGTAAAAAAGTAATGTGACAACCCTTATGTTCTTGTTTTGCTCTTGTGGCAGAGCAAACACACTATGTGTGCCTTAAGTCAGGGGCATCCAATGTTGGTCCCCAATGGCCGCTGTCCTGTAGGTTTTAGCGAGTAATTATCAGGCAGAGCCTTTGAACTGATCCACTTTATGAGAATCAGGTATGTTGAAGCAGGGAACCCTGTAAAACCTGCAGGATAGCGGCCCTCGAGGACAGGAGTTGGACACCCCTACCTACTTAAGTTACTGTAAAAAAAGAAAAATAGAAAAACAACTTGCACGTAGGCCTCAATCTAAAAGGATTTCAGCTTTTGATGCATTCAATACAAGAGTAAGTCACTTATTAGGCTTTTGAGAGCATTGTATACTCACAGTTTTTACTTTTCCATGTGTCTTTCCCCTCTGAAACAATTAGCAATTTAAAAAATCATTGCTTTGTGTTTATCTACTCCACACAACCACCAATACACTAATAACAAAAAATATATATCACATTAAAGCCCAAAGGTTGCATTACTCGATGTAGTACATGATAAGCCTCATGACATGTGGCCCCTGTGCAAAATGACTGTCATGCATCCAAGCCTGAATAGTGCTTCTGTCTGAACTGGGCTGTTCCATGTTTGAAATACGTCTCAACTGACCCAGTCTGAAAGTGAGACTGAACTGTGAATCAGAACATTTGAGAAGAGACCAGTGAGGCCCTGAGAAGTAGTTGAAAGCAGTACAGAGAGGCCTCTAAGAGGAAGACTAAGCTGAATACAGTGGGGTCTCAGAAGGTAGGCCTATGACTTTGGAGAAAGAAGAGGATTGAGCTGGGGAACCAAGGAATATTGTTTATTAGAGGGTCTTAAAAGGGTTGATATACAGTAGTTAAGGGAAAGCCAACTTTTTATGACATCCCAACTTGATATGGTAGTGCAGATTATTTTCAAAATCAAGAGAGGTAGATATGTTCTGGCCTTGTCTGTCTTTTTTTTAGCATCACTTGATGTTTAATGACTTCTGGAAAGGCCTCTTACAACTGTAGCTATGCCCTGTGTTTCACCCACAATCCCCACAAGTGGGCATGCTTTTTTGTCTGATGAACATTCCCCTAAATTACAAAGAAAGTCATTCTACTTTCTCTCCTTCAGCCTTGGTTCTTTCATTCATTTGAAAAGATTGAATTGGTGAGGCTGCGTGAGTTGTTGCCTGGACAACAGGCTGGAGATCATTGTGCACATGTGTAGGGCAAGCTAAGTCAACAAGTTTTCCCAGGGCCGGCAGACAGGGGATGGGGAAAAAACAAGGAAAGAAGGGGTTAGATAGGAGGGAAAGGGTGAATAATGAAAGCGGACTGAAGCAATAAGATGAGTGTGTCAGAAAAGAAACGGGGGCAAGATTTGGGGAGAGGGAGAAGTTCAGGGGAGAGATACACAGAGGCACTCTAAAACAAGAGAATGCTATGGAGGGGTGGTAAAGAGAGGATGTGAAGAATTTGGGAGACAAGAATGTAGGAAGGGGAGCCCGAAGAAAGGAGACGGAGGATCATAGAGAGCCGGACAAAGCTTTACCCCATGGCGTGTTGAGACAGGAGTGGAGAGACCCATTGAGAGGATGACATAATTCATTGTACAACACCCAAACTCAACCTTCACCATTAACAAATTAAAACCAAAGCCAAACCTCAACCCTGTCTTAACCTCACACCTACCCAGAGGGTGTGTTTCACCTTATACCTAATTACGATTTATAGCCCACAAAGTCTCTGTGAATCAGAAAGACACCCACACGCGCTTTCTCCAAGTCCGGCTTTTGTCTTGGCTAGTTTTCTTTTGCTCCCATTGCCCCTCAGTAGTCCATGTAATGGTAATAGTTAAGAACAATTACGCCCTAAGGCTCTCAGAGTCTCTAAATTGCCTTTGCCAAACTTCCTTTTGATTTCTTTGATGATTTGTCTGTTCTGCTTTTCATTTGAGCCACCAAACTGAAACCCAATCTGAGGCTTTGTAGGATTTATAGTACAACCTTTTGCTGCACCTTGATATAGTCAGATAAAGGAGGAACAAAGTGTTGGCTTATAACAAGAACATCAGCAGTTTTTTATGAATCTTCGTGAAACTGCATAAAGTGTTACTTTGTGTTGTGTTTTTTTGTCACATCACACACAGACATGTCTCTGTTGTATCATTTTTCTTGGTGGCACAAATGTTGAGCTGAAGTCTGACTACTAATCTGTTACTGAAATCTCTCCCCACTGTGTTCATAACAAGCTCATTTCTCACTCAGGGACATTCAGGACATTGCATTGCCAAGTCTATTTAGTATCTTGTGTATTCACAAATTGCTCTTCAAGAAGCACATGTATGCTTGTTTGGCCCTGCAGCTGTGTATTGATCTACACTATGAATCCAGATAGCAGTAGTTACCCCTGTGTGCTTTTCAATAGCTGTTTTTTAAGCAGTAAAGGTTACAGTCAGATTGTATTTCATAGCACTTTTTGTTGTCACGGTCTTTGATTCAGATACTCAAGATACACCCATTCTCTGTTCATTCTCAGATACACCCACACTTACATCACCGTTTCCCAGGCTAACTTTAAGCATAAAATTAGCACCACATCAATACAAATTTCGTTATCGTGTCATGACTACAGATGTTTTTTTTTCATATATTACAAAAACAACAAGAATGAAGAAACTGTATTTGTCATACTCAAATACTTGAAACATACTGTAATTTTGTTTAGTAACATCTGAGTTTGACACCTAACCATTATTGTGTCAGTGTGAAGTAAATGTATATTAATGAAGTGATTAATTGAAATCGAGCCAGCTGAGAGGGAGATGCCCACTGACTGGTCATGTGACTAATTTACTGCTGGTGGTAATTTGTACACTGTTACTAGAATGCTCCCTCTTTCAGAGGAAATCTCCAGAAATAAATTCATGCTTTCATGTGTGTATGAGTCAGACAGCAGGTGCTGATAAATAATGACTAATTCTGACAGTAACGATACACATATTCATGTGATTGGGCATTTCCAGGTATAGCCGCGCTGGACAGCCGTGCCTCTGGTAAAATGGGTATGAGGGCTGTGGTCTACTACACCACCACAACTGTCATTGCTGTGTTCATCGGTATTGTCATGGTGCTCATTATTCACCCTGGAAAAGGATCAAAGGATGAGTTCACCAAGCAGCAGCAGATAGAGCAGGTCAGCGCTGCCGATGCCTTTCTGGATCTCATCAGGTACTTGAAAATGTTTGTGCTCCCAAACGAGGCAAAAATGCCAACACAAATGATATCATTAAAGATTCAATCTTCCAACCCAGCTTGATTTGCTGCTTTGAAACTGTTCACCCAGATGGAGGAGTTCAGAAAGAGAGTGACTTTTGAGTTCTGTGAATTTTGGAAATCTGTATAAGAAAATACATTGACAATTCAAAAAGGTCAATTTTTGTTTAGGAGAAGTGTACCAGTAATGAATTAAGTGGGAGAAATGTTTGAATCTTTTTTCCTTTCATTTGTTTTATTCCAGAAACATGTTTCCTCCTAACCTTGTGGAAGCTTGTACGAAACAGGTATTTTTCCAAATATATTCTTTTTTTATTGACCTGTAGTGACTGTAAGTGCTGTTAGTTCATATTCGGATTTGTCTTTCATCACTGTACCTGAAAGTTCAGTTAAAGGCCTTCACCTTTTTTATGGTTTTTATTTGAATTTTCTTCTTTTTTTTTTTGCTTTTTTACCATAATCACAGCTGTTGAAAAATTCAAATTTGTTTAAATGAATAAATACCATTTTAGCAATTAAGGAACATTTTGGAGACTTGAAAGAATGTATATGAAAAAATGTACAATGTTTGCCCATTTTTAATCAGAACAAGATAATTTTTTAACTTTCTTTTTCACTCAGAAAATTATAACTTTTTTCCACATTAAAACAATTCTTTTAGGAATTAAACTTGATGCCTATTACATAACATATATGCCTTTCTTAAATGTAGTTCAAGACGAAGTATGCCAAGAGAGTTGTCCACGTGACTGTGACGGTGAACGACACGATATTCACACTGAACGGTAGCCAGCAGATAGCCAAAGAAGAGATGATCCCAGTGCCGGGAGCAGTAAACGGAATTAATGCGCTTGGCCTGGTGGTGTTTTCCATGTGCTTTGGTCTGATTATTGGGAGCATGCGGGAACAGGGAAAACCCTTGAAAGACTTCTTTGACTGCCTCAATGAAGCCATCATGAGGCTGGTTGGTATAATAATGTGGTAAGTGTCAGGACTGTTGTCTTTCAAAGGAGTTGAATGATTCATTTGCAGATTTTAAAAATGATCCTTTTTTAATCCCCAGGTATGCCCCGATTGGTATCTTGTTCCTGATTGCTGGTAAAATTGTGGAGATGGATGACATTACGGCTATGGGTGGCCAGCTGGGAATGTATACAATTACAGTCATAAGTGGCCTGTTGATTCACGCCATCGTTGTCCTGCCAACACTCTATTTCATCATCACCAGGAAGAACCCCTTTGTGTTTATTACAGGGCTGCTACAGGCACTCATCACTGCCCTGGGAACGTCCTCTAGGTATGTGATTAGAATGAACTGCTACTCAGATCAACAACCAAACTCTAATAAATGATGACTAAGGAAGCTAGACATTTTTAACTGGTTTCAAACACATTCTTCTTTTATGGTTAAACTTGCTAGAATTCTGGTACAATGGTAGTAAGAAGTATCAAGCCGACTGACAACCCCTACCTGTCTTTCTGTTACTCTCCTATTTCATCGTTCTGGTACCAGTTCCGCCACACTGCCAATTACTTTTAAATGCTTGGAGGAAAACAACAACATTGACAAGCGGGTGACCCGTTTTGTGCTACCTGTTGGCGCCACCATAAACATGGATGGCACAGCTCTGTACGAAGCCCTGGCAGCCATCTTTATAGCTCAGGTCAATAACTACAGCCTTAATTTTGGACAGATTCTCACAATCAGGTATGTTTTGAGCTACACTTCCATGTGAACATTCTGGTAATTAAACGGTGAAGCTGATTTGCTCACATAGTTTAATCAAAAGTTTTAAGATGCGTGGAGAAATATTTGTATGATGTTTGCCATCGACTAAGGTGAAGTACTGTGATTTTATTGTGTTCCTCAGTATAACAGCCACAGCAGCCAGCATTGGAGCAGCTGGAATACCTCAGGCAGGTCTGGTCACCATGGTGATAGTGCTCACGTCTGTAGGCCTGCCCACAGATGACATCTCACTGATCATTGCCGTTGACTGGTTCCTGTAAGTATCAGTGATGTAGAGCAGAAAGCCTCCCTTTATATAGCAAATCTATATAAATCTGAATAAAGTCGATTCTTAATGTAAATTCAATAACACTAATCTAATGGAAAAGGCTTATTCTGTTTAAAGATGCTTTGATTTTTAGATATAAAAAAAATGCTTGGTCATGGGTAAATAATGCACGTCAATTACCTTTGACCCATTAGAACTTTTCATACAGCACAGAGTCTTGGGTGGACTACTTCCAGAGATAGTCCTTCCACATTCCAAGTGCCTCAGTCCATCTGTTTGTAATTCAGTCAGCAGCCAGCCACAGTGCAAGAGTAAAGCACGTGCCTCCATTTTATAAATTACATTTATACATCATAATTTCATATTAGATCAATGCACAGCTTATTCAGAGTACCAGTTTAGCTAAGCGCAGCCTTGTATCTTTCTTTTATCTTGGAAGGTGTCAATGGTTTGTTTTGTTTTCTTCTCTCCACACTCTCACTCCTGTCCTTACCTCCTCTCTGGCTTCCCTCAGGGACAGATTGCGCACTACTACCAATGTCCTCGGAGACTCCATTGGTGCCGGTATCGTTGCACACCTGTCTCGACACGAGCTCAAAAAGAGAGACCTGGAGATGGGCAACTCAGTGGTGGAGGAGTCGGGCAATAAGCCGTACCATCTCATCTCCCAGGGGAATGAATATGAGAATGACAAGCCCACTGACAGTGAGACCAAGATGTAGGGCTGTATTTCTGAACATATTTTAAAAAATCATGGCGCTGAACTAAATTTCTCAGTTAAGTGCTTTTGCATTGTCTAATCTCACAATACTGGAAATGTTAAGTAACACACATCTCAGACAAGTGAATGGGGTTTTCCTTATAATTTTTAGATTGTAAATAGCTAATTGTTTTTATGATTTGATGCTCCTTGTGTTAGATAACTACCAATAGTTGGCAGCTGTTTACCATGGGTACTGAATTACAGAGTGCAGTGGTGGTTGGCCTGCTTTCCATAATCAACCTCTCTCGTAATTGTGATGAGTCACATCACCCACTAGAGGCCAGTAATGCTTTAAATCTGTACAACGTGAAACAACACAGCTCTAACAGGCAAAAAGTTTGCATGTGAGTTAGGATCTTGATGTTTTTTCACCAGGGTTGTACGTGTATTCTAGTTGTGGCATAACTCTGGGGAATGATGAAATGCACATAAATTGGTACACCATATTAATGTGCAGAAAACTGCTATTTCGAATACATGTTCAAATATTTGTGCCTTTATTTTTTACTATTTTAAATATAAATTGCAGCTTAATTACCAATGACATTTTTTTTTTATTTTTTATAGAAATTACTTTGTACCCTAACTGACCAAAGCAATCAGTTCTTTTTATGGACAGACAAACATTGGATACATTTTATCTAGGTATCCAATATTTTTGTTTTTACCAAAAACTGCTGTTTCATTGAAACTTTAGATGAGAATTCAAGTGAATAAAATGTATTCAAGTTAATAAATAAACTGACAAAAAATTGGTAAACAACCAAAAAAAACTAAACTCAATATTTGCAGGTTTAGTTTTCTGCTTTGTCATTTAAAGTGGTCTGTCCTCTGATTTTGGCATTAAACTGACACACAACACCAAAAATAAAAAAAAGTCCAATGAGATTTCTAGAAAACCAAAAATTGTGTCTATTAAAACATTTTATTTCTCATCTACAGAATAAAACAAAAACATTAAATGATAATTATTTATTAGATTAAACTGTTTATTTAAAAAATGTCAGATTTTCAAAGTTCTGACTTACATCAGGTCTGAATGGGTTCAATTTATAAAACGACAGGCTGATTATTTGATTTTTACTTTTCCATCCAAATTCTGGTATTTTTGTTTCTAAAGTATGTTGCTATTAAAAGCTCTTATCCAGATCATCTTTTTGATCTAACATTACTTGTAGAACGTATTAGATTTAATTTGAGTAATGTAATGTTTTGTATTAAACTAATTCAACATAAAGAACAAACATTTCATAGCTGTTTTGTATAGATACTTCTTATGAATATAATATACTTGTACAGACAAATGTAGATAAAGTTGTATATTAATTATAGATTGAAATGGGTTTGGAAATTGTTTCTTGAGTTTTATATAATTAAAAAATATATAGCCATGCCTTTACTAAACCTAACAAGAAATAAACTGTTATTTTAGTTCCTCACAAAAACTGTTTCATGTAAAGAACCAGCTTTTTTCCTTTTCATAACGGTGGAAATGGGTTAGTTCCTTTGTTTACAGTGTTTGGTGCCTCATTTGATTTGACAGTTTGTCTAATGACTTCACATGTATGCAAATGACTGAATAACTTTAGATTTCTCTTGTATAGATCTTTTTAAAATAAAAATAAAAATGACTTGTGTTTTTCTCATTTGATCATTAACATAACAAATAATATGTATATTGATGATGTATAATTAAATTCATATGGATTTCACAGCTTCTTTGATATATATATATATATATATATATATATCAGATGCGCTGCTGTTTCCACTGTTTTGCATTTCTAAAATAGCTTTAATTTAATGTGTGTCACACACACATTCCTTTATATTTTTTCAGTGTTTAGTCTTTATATTTTTCAAGTGTTATTTGTGATAATTCCATGAGGATTTATATCTCCCAAAATGAAAAGTTGTGCTGCTTTTACAAGAAATGTTTCAGTTTTTCTGTAAACTTGAAGTACAGCGCCCTCTCGTGGCTTAAATATGCTATTTTGCATGGCATTTTGTTTGGCGCCGATGGAGGGAGTCACTCCTGAGATCTTTGGTCAGTCAGACGACAGAACTTCCGGTCGGCATTTTGTTCTACGAGAGGAGAGCCTCTTGATGATCGCAACAACCGTCATATTTCTCATTTATTGTCGAAATTGGCTGCTAACATTGTTTATGTCGGTAAAGACCGACTAAAACTCCGAAAAACGAATGTTTCCCTATGAATTTACGTTGAAACATTCACCCTTGAGTGACGGAAGAAGAACGAATCGGTCCGACCCGGATTATTGTTGATAGCTACCAAGCTAGCTCATCAGCTAGCTGGCGAGCCAGTCGAGTTCCTTCTGGAGGAGCTGCAAGAGAAAAGAAAGGGGGAGCTAGAGATACGGACACAAACCAAGCTGAAACATTCTCCTCCCTTTGGACGCAACATCCGAAGGTAAATATAATCACACATATGTTTTTCATTCTTTATTTTAAAATTGCAGTTATTATGAATAGCGTTTAGACATGCTCTGCTGCAAGACCACCAACGGCGTCGTTAACCGTTGACCGGGAGGTAACGGAAGCTAGCAATTAGCTAGCCAAGCTAGCTAGGTGTGTTTTTGCTCTACCGAGGCGCACGGCCTCAACTGGATGTCATTTGTCGAGCCCGAGGATTGGGCCGTTGCCACGGAATTGCAATCCGTGCCGTTTCTGGTACATTTACTCTCAAACTCATCACCTTTTCCCCGAGCTCAGGGAAAATCGGCTAACATTCATCAGCTCTGACTAGCGCTTCCTCGTATAATTTTTAATTCCCCTTATTTGAACGAGGAACATAAAGATGAGCTAACTAATAACTATTACAGCTAGTTAGCATAACTAGCTAGCAATTAAAACACGACTATTGATGTTAGCAAATTATATGCTGTTATCGATTGAGCTTTTTCTTCTTTTTTTTTTCCAGCTCACCAGTAGCTCCGCGGTTAGCTCAGAAGACCAGTGCAGTCAACAACTTCTCGGCAGTGATAGCGATGTTGTTTTTTTCGCTTGTGGTTAACTTCAGCTTTGCAATTCAGCGAAGATAAAACGCTGGAATTTATGGTAACATAAGCCTTGTGATATGAGGGTTATCGATAGTCTGTGACATTTGACATTTTAGGCTGTGTTTTGCTTCCGCGGACTCTTTCAGCAGTGCTTGTGCTACTTTTGGTTTTTGAGTCTGTTTGGAAATGTTTTGACTGAGCGCAACCTACTTTGCATCAGCCATAGTTTCAACACCGGTGGAGTTTGGAAGACATTCTTTTCGCGATGCGTTTCCAACGTCTCGGTTTGAAAAGTGCACGTTGGAGCTGTTTGCTCCTAAAGGATGCAGCCCCCCGCCACTGCCGCCACCATCACAGTGCATCTGTTCCTTTGTGCTGCCTCCTGCCTGTCAGTCTCACAGCTGTCAGCCAAGAGCCAAGCCCCTGCGTGCAGAATAAAACCACACAGGCTCAGTACGCTAACGTTACCATCTACTAACATCCTATTTACACTATCCATCTGTTGATTCCCCGGAACAAATCGCGCAGAATAAGTTGCATTGCCGTTAAAGTGGTACTCACCGATCGCTCGCTCTCGGTCCTGATGGGGCTGCAGCATCGTGTTTACATGGGTCAAGTATAACGCAGACCTTTCTTTAAAAGCAAATACGGGGCGTTTTCTTTTAAGTTGCGCTGCACACTTTCATTCTCCGTTTGATGTTTTGCATAGCTGGAAGAATAGTGCAGCTGTATTTGAGAGTTGCATGTGTGAAGGTGAAACTCTGTCACGTTGTTTGGTGTTTGTTTTTTCTTAGCTTTTTTATGCACATCACTGTCACAGATAGGGTTTAAATTAGGTATGCTGTGTTCTGGAGTACCTTTTTCAGTATAATGAAATTGTAGGATTTTTATACCCAGAATCTATCAGGAAGGTATTATAACAGTTTGAGTTAGCTAAAGTGTCACTGTCCTTACATGAGACTGTAGATTATATATGGAGTTTGACTGTGGTGAATGTAACTGTTTGTAATGTTGTTTTTTTTATCTATATCTAAGTTTGAAGAATAAGGAATTATGTAGCTGACATGGTGGTCTGGAAGAAATTCTTTGATACTCCAAACCTGTCCCATCTGCTCAGTATTACCTGAGAGCTCTGTGATATCTAACAAACACATAGATTAAATACAATTGTTACAAAACAGAACTGCAAATCTGTTATATTTTGATGCAGTTTTAAGGCGTAATAACTTGAAATTGATTAAGGTTACTATGTTTACAGTGGTGACATTAGTAGCCAAATTTTACGTTTGTGTTTTTATATGTTTATAATTATAGTGTTTATTTTACACTATGATTGTGCATTGTAAGGTATCTGTGATTTCCGAATGATTGAGGCTTTTTTACTTGACTTCATGTGACATGTTCTGTGCTGCATTCACAGACTTTCTTTTTCATTAAATAAACATGAGTTTAAGCACATGACTGTTCTGAAACCTACAAGGCCAATCCTTTGATACATCTTGCATTTACCTCCAATTTTAGTAATAGGCAGGGATGTTAAAAAGTTTGCTCTTATAACATCTTAAATAAAATGTCCCGCTTTTTCTTTTACCCAAACATATTTCTTGAATAAGCTCTTTCTTAGTGCAATGTTTTTACTGAATGCAAAGCCCTATGAGATATCCCCACTTATAGATCATCATCACTGATGAAATTTCGTTGTATAAAGTAGGATCTTGGTCAGTCAAGTTGTGAGAAAAAGCTAATGTTGTATTGGGATATGGTATATGTTGTGTTCAGAATAGGTTGCAGTACTGAAGTTACTTACCGTAATGTAAAACAGAATTACTTACTAAAGTTAAACAAATTATATACAAAAATGTTTTTATTTATGCTTTTGCTGCTTAGCAGATTATATTTGTCATTTTTAAGATTCATATTTGACCTCGACTCTCATTATGATCTCTCCAAGGTGCCAGGAGATGTGAGGACGGGTGTCGTTGCCATTGACCCCCTGATCTACCTGTGTATTAACACACTCCCCCACCCTTACCTTCAGCATGAATGGGGATATGCCTCATGTTCCCATCACCACTCTTGCTGGGATCGCTAGCCTCACAGACTGTGAGTATCACAGAGTTGTGTTTCACACACACGGTCACTGTTTTTCCACTGTTGGCTTGTTTAGTATGACATGCAAAGCAGAAGTATTCCATTGGAACAAATCTAAATTGGAAAGTTTGATTTCAAGCTGTTTGTTTCATGCCATGCTTTTTTATTTTTCCTCACATTTTCAGCGTGTCACTTTTTTCTGTCACTCTGTTAATATATTCTCTCAAAAAACAATTTTTCTTTTAATCTCAGTGTTGAACCAGCTGCCCCTTCCCTCTCCTCTACCTGCCACCACCACTAAGAGCCTCTTGTTCAATGGGAGGATAGCGGAGGAAGTTACCTGTCTACTGGGCTGTCGAGATGAGAATCTGGCCTCCCAGCTAGCCCATGGTCTCAACCAGGTCTCCACAGAGCACATGTAAGTGTGTAATGAATGCATCCAGGTGGCAGGATTGGCTTGATTAAAACAAGTGACAGGCTTAATATGGGAATAGCTTGGCAATTTCAGGGAGAGAGGTTGAAGTCAACTTAATGACTAGAATAGATATCACTTTCGATGTACAATATTTATCTTGTGGTTTTATAATTTATAGGGCATTTTTCATTTTACTTGTATTTATAAGGAAACGTTTTAAATTTGTTATCTTATTTGAAATGTTTCTATGTTTAGTATGTTGTTGCTGCCGTCCGAGCCAGGGTGGTATTTCAGAAGAGACCTGTGATGTCAATAGGACTTTAAATAAATTTTCCAATAACATCACTGATTGGTCCCAAAAAAAATTGAAGTACACAGAAGACTTCCTATTGATTATCAGAACAAATGCTGTTGCCCTCCCCACTAGGTAATAAGCTGAGTGCAGGTACTAGAGATACAAATCAAGAATTGCGTTGTCTGGATGAAAAATAACGTTCAGTTCTTTTTAGATTAAGTGTGCCATTTTTATTTAATTAAATCACAAAGGGGCTGTAGTCTGTTTTTTCTACTTCTGTGTAGTGACGATAGCATGCACAGATATTGTTGTCAGAAAAGGAATATGTTGCAGAACAAAATTTTGTTACATGCTGGTTATTTATTAAGGTTGCAGTGTATGGGGTGTTGTTCAATGAAAAATGTTTCCCTCTAGACTAAACTTTTTAGAAACACTAAAAATGTTGTGTTCTGTAAATGTGAAATAAATGGAAGAACCTTTCAGTAGTCTTAAAAGTTCACAGTAACTTCAAACCTCTATCATACATATAGAAAAAAGTTTTTTAGGTTATCCACGTTAAAAGACTTGGAAATATTTTGTGGAGTTAGATAGATTTTATTATTTGACTTAAAATAAATAAATGTATTTAAAAAATCAGAAATGAGTATGTGTTTGTGCACAAATATATACGTAAACAAGAAGTTGTGCGTAAAATTTCCCTTGCGGGGGAGTGTCAGACACCCACATAATCTGCCATTTATTTGTTTTCTTTTTACGTTGTGTTACTTTAAGTGTTATATAGTATGTCCACGCATCTTTTCTGTGTGTGCTTTTTCAGAGAACTGAAGGACAACCTGGGCAGCGATGAGCCGGAAGGAGACGCACCACTGTTGCTGCAGACCATGCTGGCCAGGAACCCTGGAATCTTCAGGGAGAAAAGTATGTCCACAAATCAATGTCTAACCTTTTTTTATTTTGAATTAATGCTGTAGTTATAACACATTAGAAGTGTAGACAAGTAATGTGTTATTTTTCTCATGAATTACATTTCTATTATTCCTAACAGTTATGCAGCAACCAATGGTACCGCCTTTCAAGATCACACAAAACTCCATGCATAGCCCTGCCCAGTCTGCAAACTTCCAGCCAGCTGAAATTTCTCCCAACCCATCAAGGTGCGGTTCTTGAAAAGATTGTACTGACTATAATGTAGCAAAACTTTCAAAGTAGTGGAATTTATTTAATTTGAGTTTGTCGTCAACTTGGATTTTTCTTGTTTGCTTATCTTCTGCTCTTTTCTCTTCATTATTTCACACAGCCGATTTGTGGCACCACAGACTGGTTCTAGTAGCCGGTACATGGGCCAGCAGAGCAGTCCAGTACCCAGCCCCTACACTCCTCAAAGCCCCGCACCTGGTTATATACAGCAGTATCCCCACCAGCAGCCGCCTAGCTACAACCAGCACCAACAAATACAACAAGGTTAGGCTGTTTGTGTGGATGTGTTGATGTGAATATTTTTACTTCAAGAGAAAATACACCTGTGGGTCAATGCTTCTTTGCATGTGTAGACCTGGTTGGTAACAGAGTTTCAAGTTAAGTCTGTGGATGTTACCAGAAAAGAAAGTTTGCTGAAATCCTCCTGCTTTTACCATCTTTCAAAGCCGCTCTAAAAAAAAGAAATGCGTAGTTATGTTGGATGTGTTGTGTTGAGGTTTCTCCATCTGCACAAGCATGCGCTTTGTTGTACTTTCATTGCTTCTTATTTTAAACTGAGGAATTTCTTTGCTTGACAGCATCCCCAGTTAGTTTAATCATCTAAACATTAGCCTCTTTCACACTGGGATTTTGCACCTTTGGAACAGGGCTTTTAATTAGATGCACCCCTTTACCGACATGGAGTGTAAAGTAACAAAACAGTGCAGGTCACATATAACAACCTAAAAACTCAGACAGAACTTTCCATCTGAGCTAACTTTCCTGTTGCCACTCAACTGATTCTGGGATCCTGGTTCGATGTGGGTAAGGACACAAAAATGCAGGGCTGAACCTCTTTTGTACGTTATGTGTAAATCACATGGAGGATCAGCAGTGGGTTAACAAAGTTATCGTTGTTTTGCCTCTTGCCTCAGATATGTAAAATAGGCTATCAGTTGTAGTGGAAGAAGAATTTAAACATTTGATGTCAGGCGATATTTCTAAACAGAGTTCTTGACTTTCTCTGTTAGAATTTCTTGTGAATTTAAGTTAAATTGATATTTACCTTCAGCTGGGTCACTGAGAAATCTCTCAAGCCAACATGTTTGCATTATCGTTTTCTGTTTTTCTAACTTGAATGAGGTTGAATGAGGTATCTCATTCTCATTGATTCATTGGTATCTCTCAAAATAAAATAAAAAAGTGTAATAAACTGTTTTAGGAACCCTCATACATTTTCAAAAGGGGTTAGCCCTTGACACTCAGAACACATTGCAGTAAGAAATAAAAAGCTCAGTTTGTGGCTCCTATTTAAATAGGATTAGACGAGACAATTATACTTTGCATTTAGTGATCCTATTCTGGTGTATTGAATTACACTTTCATTTTCATGTTAAACAGATGAGCAATGATGAAAACAAAGTTGTCTTTTGTTCACTCCATTTGTAGATGTCCGTATCTTAAATAAGTTGGCAGCCAAAAGTTGAAAATCATTATCAAAAACTGACACCAGTTTGAAGTTGATGTAATGATATTTAGTCAATGATATTCTAACAATATTCTAATATTCTACTTTTTGATTGGATTTTATTATTAGTATTTGGAAAAGCTGTGCCAATAAAACTGTAAAATTCTATAGATATTCATTTACCGGAAATAGGACTGTATATTACATATTGGTATGAAAAAATGTTAGACAAAATTAAATTGATGGATTAACTTACTGAATCTTTTGAGTGGCAGGAGAAACCAATCTCCAGACACACCAAGTGAACTTTTCCCCTGTCAAATTCCTTGTTGTTCATTCAACTTTAATGATGGAGGACGTTTTTTTCAGTGTCTGTGTCGAGCCCGATGGTTCCTGGTGGGATACGAAATATCCATGAGGGTAAAGTGTCGGGGCAGATGAGCAACGCTCCCAATCACCACTCAGACAGGCACGGTACCGAGGACTACCTGAACATTGTGCAACAGCTCGGCAATCAGGTGATGCAGACAAACTCTAGTGAAAACATTGTGTGTTTGCTACCTTACCTAAGCAGATGTGTCTAACAAAGAAGTGACTGTGATGAATTTTTCTTTTTTTTTTAAATTGTCATCGAAAATAAGTTGTACGACCTGATTAAAGCTTGTATGACATTTGAGGGAAAAAAGATGTTTGTTTTTGACAGTGTGCTTCTGTATTGTTTAGGATTCGGATTCCACAATGAGGAATCCATCTTTTGCTCTGAGGTCTCCACAGTCAGGCTGTTCTCCAGCCCTCCAGAGTGAGGGAACACCCAAATGTAAGGACACAGAAGTCAAAGAGGCACAACAATACATACACCCCACCTACATTTTTTTAATCAAAGGACCAGCTGCTTGAACATCTATACACATTGAACATACTCCATTTGAACAGTTTAAGACTGCCGATAGCAGTGCTACTGATCATCACAGCGGTGATTTTTTTCCTTCGTAACTTTGATTTATTCCCCATGCCTCTTAGCGGGTTCTCGCCCACCGCTGATTCTCCAGTCACCGCCTCCTTATGCACCATCGCCAAGAGATGGAGGAACTGACCAAAAGCATCAACTCCAGCAAAGGAAGAAAGCCCCTACAGTTAAGGAGGAGAAAGATATGTATGACATTGTTAGCTCTCCAAACAAGGACTCTACAAAACTCACCCTCAAGCTGTCCAGGGTCAAGTCAAATGAATCTGATCCCTCAGGTAAGGTTTTAGACTATTCAACTTATGTATGGGGCTCCAATTAGTCATTTATTTGTATTTATGTCTATTTATAGTGGGTCATTTTTACTGATATTTTATTTTTATGCAACACCAAGAAGAGGTATGCCGCATGGAAGTATATTTTTTTAACAAACAAACTGGGACAAAAACAGATTGCTATCTGAAATGCAGCTTCATACATGGTGTGTTTGTTTTGTGTCTCAGGTGATGTTATGCCAGGCATGGATCAGAACTCAGACAATATTGAGGCAGAGCTGGGCTTTCAACATGTTCCTGTTCTTCAGCAAACTCTTGCTGCCCGGCTACAACAGCAACAGATCTCTCAACAAGCAGGTGCTGCTGGTGTGCTTCAGCCTCCCAGTTCCCCTTACGACGAGGCAGAGCTCGATGCTCTCGCTGAAATTGAGAGGCTGGAGCGAGAGGCAGCTAGTGAAAAGTGTTCCAAGGAGGTGCAAGATAAGGGTATGTATTACAGCTCAGTATGAACAAAACACACAAATAAGGCTGTGCATTGAATATTATTTCTCCATGTTTCTGTCAATAGACAAACCTCTCAAGAAGAGAAAACAGGACTCTTTTCCCTTGGAGCCGGGTGCAGGGGGACCAGGTGGTCCCACAGGGGCCCCGGGCAGTGGATCAACAGGAGGGGGCAATGCAGGCAAACTGACGCCACAAGAGGCTACTGCTGCTGGCAACGGTGCCAGCCGCCCTCCCCTCATGGTGAGCATCGACCTCCAACAGGCAGGTCGAGCTGATGGCCAGCTCGACCCCTGTCTGGCTGCTCCTATTCCAGCCCTTGAGGCCCAACGCTGGCCTGAAGAACCAGCTAGTGGGCCAGCTGCCATGGAGGGTTCTGACACAGCTCTGCGGTTGAAACCTGATGGCCGACCAGAAGTTATCAAGAACAGGGTGGATAAACATGACAGCAGGAGAGATGGTCGGGAGTCATCAAAGCACCGGCATGATGAAAAATCCTCAGACAGACACGGAGAGATGCCTAAATCATCAAGTCGAGGGGAGCATGGACGAGACAGGGACCGTGAATCTGACAGGGATAGGAGGCATCGGAGTGAGACTGGCAGCCGAGATAGAAGGTCTCCCGACTCTCGCTCTCGAAGTGATCGCGATAGGTCTGGCTTCCGGGCTTCTTCCATTGGAGAGCCTGGTCGAAGCAGCAGTAGGCAAGATGGTTCCAAACCAGCCTCGTCCGCTACTGGTGCTAAAATCCCAGATTCTTTCCCTGCTCAGCTGCTCGGAGGGCATAGTGGAGCGCTGAAGAACTTCCAGATCCCTAAGGTGATCTGGGCTCACCAAACCAAATATCCACCCACCTACCAATCATTCAGCTGTCACTGCCTGCAATCTCACCCAACCAATCACTCCCGTTCTCACTCTTGTTTTTGTTTTACCATTTTAAACTTTTTTTCCCTTTTTTTAATTTCTGGTATTGGTGTTCAGATTCTAACATATTTACTCACGCCTAATCATCTGTTTAAAAAAAAAAACATAATTTTTGTTTGTTCTGGTTTTGTAATTGTTGGTAGTTGGTGTAAAAACAGAAGCAAATGTCTCAAAGAAATCTTCCACTGGGAGTACATTTTAAATAATGGATGGGAAACAAATCAATTTCTCCTTGGAATTAAGTCATTTTTTGGCTTTAACATGCTCACTGACTCCCTCAATCACAATTGGTGGGGAATCACCAACAGTCATCCTGAACAGAATGGGAGGAGTTAATCGTTATTTTAGCAGGTGGCACAGTGGTGTGGTGGTTAGCACTATCGCCTCGCAGCAAGAGGGTTCCGGGTTCGAGTCCCCGGGGGAACCAGGACCTTTCTGTGTGGAGTTTGCATGTTCTCCTTGTGTCTGCGTCGGTTCTCTCCGGGTTCACCGTATTCCTCCCACCATCCAAAAACCTGCATGTTAGGTTGATTGGACAATCCAAATTGCCCTTAGGAGTGGGTGTGCGTGGTTGTTTGTGTTTTTGTGGCCCTTCGATGGACTGGCGGACCCATTAGGGAATAAGCGGTTATGATAATGGACGGATATGATTTTTGCTTTTCTCATAAGTCCTACCTGTATTTTTAGTCGGATTATTGGACATGAAATAGTGACAATAGGCTAGATGATTCAGATTTACACCTCTAAGAGCAGAATGCTGAATATTCACAGAGTAGGCAGCGTAAATCCTTTTGAGCCCTTTGCCACAATAAAGTCGTTAAGTAGTTTTTGTCATAGATGGAGTGGGACAAAAAAGTTAAGACTGCTATTAGTTCAAATTTTGTGGGTTTTCTGTTTGGATTGAGTTGTTAGCAGGCAGAATGACTTAACTTTTGTCTATAGTATGGAAACCAGCCGTGCTGAACAGAGCCCTGTTAATTTACCCTTTGTTGCTGTTCATGTAAGCTTTGTGTGTAAAATGCAGCCTTTATGGTTAGAGAATCAGATTGTGTTTGCTGCCATTGCACTGCAGTCTTGATAGTGTTATATAAATGTAATGTTGGCGCTTTAACTTTAGATGGAACATAAATGGGAGAACAGTGGAATATATCTTTCTTTGCTCTCTGGTCACTGGGAACTAACATCAAATTCACTAATCTCATGTTAGTTTCAGTTGTCATTTTAAATTATATTCTTGTGATTTTTCTGTTTTGCAAACAAAGTTTATAATTATTTTCTGAAGTTCTCTGAAAAGTACATTTCAACAATAGTTTAACTTTGCATAACTCTTGTCTAACATCTGCTTTTTTTTTTTTTTTTTTGGGGTATTCTTTTGTACAGATCAATCGTGACAAGGATGGCAGTGGATCAAATGAGGGTCAAATGTGGGGTCAGCCGAAGGTTAAACTAGAGAGGCTGGGCTTGGTGAAGGATTTTGAGAAGCGGCCCAAGCCTGTCGTGGTCCTAAAAAAGCTTTCAGTGGACCAGATTCAGAGGATCATCCGGCACAGCAAGTCTGGAAAGAACAGGTTCTCATCAGGAAAATCTGGCAAAAGTAAGAATATGAGTATGTGGAACTTTTTTTTCAAATAACATCACACTGCTTTTGTGTTTAAAAAAATAAAATAAAATAAAAAAAGTTAAAGTACAATATGGAACATTTGATGTATGTGTCTTTTCCAAATAACTCAAAAACTTTTGTCAAACTTTTAGGTGGTATGGACCCAGCAGTTCTCAAAGAACTTCCCCCAGAGTTGCTGGCAGAGATTGAGTCGACCATGCCCTTGTGTGAAAGGGTAAAAATGAACAAGAGGAAACGAAGCACTGTAAACGAGAAGCCAAAATACGCCGAGGTCAGCTCAGATGACGACTTTGACGCAAATGGAGAGTGTAAGTGAATGAATTCAGTTGTTTGTTTTTTTACTAATCTTCATTTGAAAAATAATTTAAATTAATTAGACTATAAAGCATTAAATTAAAGTTAGTCATTTATCAATTAAAGTGTACAAGTTTATTATTAGGGTCAAATGATTTCTTTGCTAAATCATGATAGCTGCAAGGAAGCGACACCGGCGAGACAAAGACAGATCTTGGGATATTGAAGAAAGAGAGCGACGGGGTTCTGGGGATCACCGGAAAAGTGGGCAGCGAGACAGCCGACGAGGCTCAGGGAGCCGCTACCGCGACTCTTCTGAGGAAGATTCACCGCCACCCAGCATGAGTGAAGGTATGTAACCTTTTAAAGAGTGATCTATCTTTGTTTGGTTTTCACATTTCAGTCCATTTGAAAGCTTGAATTGGAGCGTAAAGTCATGCTCATTTACAAAAGTTGCTACATGACAGCAGAGATTGTTATGCATTGTCGTAAATTAATTTTAAAAAAAAAATCTGTCTTTACCAGCTTAATTTGACTAATTAAAGTCTTTAAAATGATCCCACTCCTGAAAATAACATTTCTGTCAGTTGCCAGAAAAATGAAGATGAAGGAGAAACAGAAGAAACGGAAAGCATATGAACCGAAGTTGACCCAAGAAGAGCTTATGGACTCATCCACATTTAAGAGATTCTTAGCAAGCATTGACAACATACTGGAAAATCTGGAAGATGTGGATTTCACTACAATGGGTCAATATCTACTTGGTTTAAGTTATAAAACTTTGCAAATAACGTAAAATGCTATTTTCCCGTGACTTTACTCTAAATTTCTGTTGTGTGTTTTCGAGCAGCAGACGATGATGAGATACCTCAGGAATTGCTGCTTGGTAAACACCAGTTAAATGAGCTGGGCAGCGAATCTGCCAAAATTAAGGCCATGGGCATCTCCAGCCGGGTAAATATATAAATATGTAACTTTATTGGTACTGTTCAGGAAGTATGGGGCTAAATATTCTTTGTTTTCATTTAGATCCCATCAGACAAGTTAGTGAAGCTCCTGAACATCCTGGAAAAGAATATCCAAGATGGATCCAAGCTCTCTACCATGATGAACCATGTACGTTCCCCTGCTCGTGTCTGCTGTTTTTTTTAATGACCTTTTATAAATGTTTTAATCTATATAGAATACAATTTTTTTTGTATAGATTTTTAGTACAGATTTTATCCAAAAAGTATTCACGTTCCTTTTTTCCTTCCTTCTTTTCACAGGACCATGATGCTGAAGATGAGGAGAAACTTTGGAGAGACTTGATAATGGAGAGAGTCACAAAGTCTGCCGATGCCTGTCTGACGGCTCTCAACATCATGACCTCAGCGCATATGCCGAAGGCTGTCTACATAGAAGATGTCATCGAGCGTGTGCTCCAGTACACAAAGTTCCACCTTCAGAACACGCTTTACCCACAGTATGATCCTGTCTATAGGGTGGACCCACACGGAGGTGAACATTATAGCAGAACTTGATATAAATGGACAGTGTCTTACTGCTGTGTGAGAACATTCCATGATAATTGCTGTTGATGGAAAAACAAAAATTTTCTTTGGTCTTTGCAAATGCTTTGATAATGTATGTAACTGTTGATTGACTATATTTTTCTTTTTTTAACTGGGTTTCTCTCATTCTGTACAGGTGGCATGTTGAGCTCCAAGGCAAAGCGTGCTAAATGCTCCACACACAAGCAACGCGTCATTGTCATGTTATACAATAAAGTGTGTGACATTGTCAGCAACATTTCTGAACTCCTGGAGATCCAACTTCTTACTGACACGACCATCCTCCAGGTACAATCTAAACATCTCTAGACAATATTACTTTGATTAATCAGTTTCATATCATGAAGTTCCCTGCTGACCAACTGTTTCCATTTGACCTTCTGTTTTCAGGTATCCTCTATGGGAATCACTCCTTTTTTTGTGGAGAATGTCAGCGAGCTGCAGTTGTGTGCTATTAAGCTGGTCACAGCGGTGAGTCTTGGTATACAGAAAATCATCATCTATCTAAAGATGCTTCTGAATACCCATCGTGTCTCCTCTATATAATGTTAAAATTATCCTTCTGGCTTATTGGTTTTTCTACTAAACTGAAGGTAAAGATTACATATGGTTTATTTTCTCTTCAGGTGTTCTCTCGTTATGAAAAGCATCGGCAGCTGATCTTAGAGGAAATCTTTACCTCTTTAGCCAGACTGCCCACCAGCAAACGCTCTCTCAGGAATTTCAGGTAATTTTTCAAATGTTTGTCCAGGATCATTTAAGGCCTTTAAGTGTTGCAAAGGTAATGTATTCATTTGTGGTATGCCCGTTGCAAGAGCTATTTTAATCAATGTGCTTTGATATCCTAGGCGTCATCCATAATTACAACTATATGCTTACACTGAACTCTTGTGCCCTAGGCTGAACAGCTCAGACCAGGATGGAGAGCCAATGTACATCCAAATGGTAACTGCTCTGGTGTTGCAGCTGATCCAATGTGTTGTCCATCTGCCCAGTGACAAGGATGTTTTTGAAGAGTATGAAACCAAGGTAAGGGGAATTGGATTCACAAAGAGCCATCACACATACAAGTACAATCTTTCCATGAATGCACACATCACATTTTAAAATATATCTTTTTTTCCTCTCTTTTTTTTTAGGTGGATCAGGATGTTTTGATCACCAACTCGTATGAGACGGCAATGAGAACTGCACAAAATTTCCTCTCAGTCTTCCTCAAAAAGTAATTACTGTTTATCCTGTGCTTTGATTTATGTATTTAAAAAACGACAAAAGCAAAGATTTGTCATTTGGATACCGAGGGCAGTTTTATCCAACATCTATAGTCATAGGAAACCGTAGTCAGATCACCATTACCTGACTGGTGGTGTATGAGACATTACAGATGGCCAGAGGGTTTGGTGAATTTAGGTGTTTAATTATCAGTTTTATTTTCGTAGTGAGTCTTTGTTTTTTATTTTATTTCTGATGCTACCCAATTCTTTATTTTAAACCATTCTCCACTTTAACCTCCTTCAGGTGTGGCAGCAAGCAAGGAGAAGAAGATTATCGGCCATTATTTGAGAACTTTGTCCAAGACCTGCTGTCAACAGTAAACAAACCAGAGTGGCCAGCTGCCGAGTTGTTACTCAGTCTGCTTGGTAGACTGCTGGTGAGCATGATGAAGTGCTTTGTTCTGAACTGCAGCCATTTGTGGTGAAGCTGTGTGTGTGTCATACTATGGCTCAAGAGTCAACAGATTTCTACATTACAGTAGCAAATGAATAATTTATTTATATGTTTTCTTGTAATCTGTTTTGCTCTCATCAGGTACACCAGTTCAGTAATAAACAAACAGAGATGGCTCTGAGAGTGGCGTCTTTAGACTACCTGGGCACAGTGGCTGCCCGTCTAAGGAAAGACGCGGTCACAAGCAGGATGGACCAGAGATCAATTGATCGTATTTTACAAGAGGTGCCAATGCTTTTTATTTCATGCATATAGAAAACAGTTGCATCACGGTGGTGAATGTCAGTGGATGGAGTTTGAATCGAGGAAAATTGAAAACAGTAAAATTCTTAGGAGCTTTTTGTAATGATGGTGCGATCAGAGTATCTCCAGAACAATAAGTCTTGTATAAGGTGTTCTGTTTATCCAGTGATTAAACTTGCAAAACCAGGCAGGGGGTCTGGAGGCCCCAAAGGATCGATCCTGTATTCCCGTCGCACAGGGAAGCTGATACTGGCTAAATTGTTGAAAGCTCTTTAGGTATACAATACTTTGTGTGTCGGAGAATATAGTGCTGAACAGTTGCAGGCTAACCCCTGTGCTTATCACGGTGCTTGTTCATTACTGCAAGCCTCTACAACAGGCATCTCAACTTCAGAACTGCATTTTGAAGATTTTGCTCAAGAAGACAAGATCTTTTCTCAATCAGTTTGATGGGGAATATGAGTCTGTGTGGAGAGTGGGGCTGAGGATGCAGTGGTAGCAGGATGCAATGTAAAATGTTATATTGATATCAGCCTTACTGTTATATCCAACCCAAACATGCAGGACATTTTCTTGCACAGTTGAGTCAAACTTTGGTTTCACACTGCTAAGCTAATTATTAACACCAGCTCTGTGGGTTACATTTGCGTGCATGGAACCAGAGAGAAGTACTTATGTGCAGTGCTTTAACTCTGGACTTTTAATCTGGTTTTGAGAATATGGGGAATACACGTATTCTAGTTTTGAATGATTAGACACATTCTTTTTTCCTGATAATCATATAAACATGTTTGGTGTGTCTATTCCATCACCCTTTAATTGCTTAAGTTATTGCTGATGAGGTGGCGTCTTTGGAAAGGATAATGAGCTCTGCCAGATAGCTAAATGTTTCTGGAATACGTTAGCTAATTATCTGAGTAAACATCTGTGGGATGTACTTGAAAAACATGTTCATTATGGAGGAAGTAAAGGATCTGCAGCTGTTATAACTTGTCTGCCTGTTATAGTAATTATGGCCTATGGTCAGACCTTTGTTGTTGGCCTTATGGACAAACCTTCACCTCTGACCTGGTGGTTCTGATGTTTTGTCTGAATGGTTAAATAGGGAATAACAACATTGACCACTTTTTCTCAACAAAGTCTTTTAACATATGTTTAATGTTGTTATTAGCAATATTAGGATTTGGAAATCATGGATTCATGTGTGAATATTAATTTGAATTTCACAGTCTCAAGGCAGTGATGAGACCCAGCAGCTGCAGAAAGCCTTACTGGATTATATGGAAGAGAATGCAGAGACGGATCCTTCACTGGTGGTGGGTATACATCAGACTAAATCTGCCACTGTAGATATCTGAAATCAGTTTACATGTTCTGAGTCTTAGACAGGCACTTCCTTAATAATTTTAAAAGCCTGTTGTGGAAATACCTTCCTATGGGGCATTAAGTGATAACTATGTGAAAACAAATAAACGTGTCATTGTGGTAAGCTGGCTGCTTGAAAGACATACAGTAATACAGTACACAGTAATACATGTTTTTCTTCACATTGTCACTGACTTTTAAATGAAAATGTTTTGTTATGTGATACTGAAACATTGTTTGTCTTCCAGTTTGCAAGAAAGTTTTACATTGCCCAGTGGTTCCGTGATGCTACCACAGAGGCTGAAAAGTCCATGCGGAACCAGAATCCAAAGGATGAGGACTCATCAGATGGACCACAGCACGCAAAGGAGTTGGAAACTACCGGGGAAATTATGCAGCGTGCTGAGAAGCGCAAGAAGTTCCTGCGCACCATAATTAAGACCACGCCAGCTCATTTCGCCACACTGAAGTAAGAATTGTTTAGTTTCTTTGTGTGGCCCCCAATGTTAAACTTTTTTGGTCTGTCCTAGAGGCATTGAGATGTTTGATAGCACAGCTATCTGCTGTAAGACTGTGTCAAACCTTTCATTTAAACTTTGTCCTTTTTCTGTCAGAATGAACTCTGACACTGTGGACTATGAAGACTCCTGTCTGATCGTGCGTTATTTGGCCTCCATGAGGCCGTTCGCCCAGAGCTTTGATATTTATTTAACACAGGTAAGCTAATTTATTTTTTTTTGTTCTTTCCCTTAATGAACAAGTCACAAAATAAAACAATTTGTTGGATTACTTGATTAGTTTTATTCACTAGTAAAATGTGAAATAATTTCGTTTTACTGATTCTATGTTTTCCTTATTATTAATATAGATCTTGCGAGTTCTTGGGGAAAGTGCCATCGCTGTCAGGACTAAAGCCATGAAATGTCTGTCTGAGGTTGTGGCTGTCGACCCCAGCATCCTGGCAAGGGTATGCTATCTACGATTTCAAGGACGCTTTGTGCTAAATGAGCCAGTTTAATCCATTGTCCAAGATATGATCCTCTCATCTCATATTTTTTTTATAATATGGGGAAACAAACTACTTTTACTACCCAGTGCCTCTGTAATGAAAGTGCACATATCTTTTTTTTTTTTGTTATTTTAAAAATGCTCTCCGTGCTGATCTGTTACTGTTTGCTTCTGTAGTCTGACATGCAGCGAGGCGTCCACGGTCGTTTAATGGATAACTCAACCAGTGTCAGAGAGGCAGCTGTGGAGCTGCTGGGCAAATTTGTGCTCAGCAGGCCCCAACTCACTGAGCAGTACTACGACATGCTCATAGAGAGGATACTGGTAAGGTTCTTCCCCAGTTTTAAAAAATTCTTTAGAATTTGCCTCAACATTATAAAAGTTAGAAGAAAGTTTAAAAGCAAACCAGTTCAAGCAACACCACTGACCACCGATTCATGCTAAGGTTATACTAGCTGCCTATACTGCTGTCAAACAAATAAACTTCACTCATTCTCAATACATAGCATCTGGGAAGTGAACATATTGCCATTGTTGTGTCTGTTGTCATGGAAATGTGAATGAGGTTCATGTAAAGTTCACTTGTCATTACAGTGTTATGCTGCCACCTGTTGGCAAACAAGTGCTCCTTCACCTCATGCAGGTGGTCTGGATATGTAAATGTGAGCCTTTCCAATCGTGACTCTAAGAATCCCCTTATTTTGACACACAGGACACTGGTATCAGTGTAAGAAAGCGGGTGATTAAGATTCTCAGAGACATTTGTCTGGAGCAGCCAACCTTCAGTAAGATAACTGAGATGTGTGTGAAGATGATCCGCAGAGTCAACGACGAAGAAGGAATCAAGGTATGGATCAGATACAGCCTCACTAGCTAAAGTTTTTAGTTATTTTGTGTGTTGCAGCATGGAGTCGGAAGCATTGTTAAAAATGTACATCTGAAGTAACTATATTTGTTTTCTTCTCAGAAACTGGTGAATGAGACATTCCAGAAGTTGTGGTTTACTCCTACTCCAGCACATGACAAAGAGACAATGACCAGAAAGATTCTCAACATCACTGATGTTGTAAGTTTTCTGTGTATGTAATTAGAAATGTGATACTTCAGTGTACAAGCAAGGCCTAATCTTTAATATCTTCTTCAGGTTGCCGCATGTCGGGACACAGGTTATGACTGGTTTGAACAGCTTCTTCAAAATGTAAGTATCTTCTGTTGTTTCAGGTAGAATCTTTAAACAGAAAACTAACATTTTCTTTTCTCATGTAGCTCCTCAAATCTGAAGAAGATGCATCATATAAACCAGCCAAAAAGGCCTGTGTTCAGCTGGTGGATAATCTGGTGGAGCACATCCTTAAATATGAGGAGTCTCTTGCAGGTAAGAATTTAACATCCACCGTTTGAATCCCTATCGAGCCTCAGTGTTCCTTTTAATTTATCTAGAATTTGAGCTTGAGCTTTTGTATTTTTTTTTCTTTTTCCTGTAGAAAACAAGGGGGTAAACTCAACTCGACTGGTGGCATGTATCACTACCTTGTATTTGTTCAGCAAGATCAGAGCCCAGCTCATGGTCAAACATGCCATGACCATGCAACCTTACCTGACCACAAAGTGTAACGTAAGTTCACTGAATGCTTTGTCTTATTTTGGACTGAACATTTTTCCAGCTTTTTCTTAACTGAACAAGCTGTATTTTTCAGTTAAATACCTCCTGCAATGTAAGGTTAGATACTTATTTGTATAATTTAATCTGAGATGGAGAGATTTAAGGTACTAACGGTACTAACTGTAGGTCTTACACCTTCCCCTCCATTTATTGTTAGGGTCTTGTGTGGCTTCCTGCAGTAACTGACAGGTTCATCAATTGTTTCTCCTGCAGACTGCCAATGACTTCATGGTCATCTGTAATGTGGCAAAGATCCTGGAGCTCGTGGTTCCTCTGATGGAGCACCCCAGTGAAACTTTTCTCGCCACAATCGAAGAAGATCTCATGAAACTCATCATCAAATATGGAATGACGGTGTGTGTCCGGTCTTTTGGTTTGTTTTTATGTAATATATCTTATTTTAGGGGTTACATAATGTTTTATTTTTCCTTTTTTTCAGGTGGTTCAGCACTGTGTGAGCTGTCTTGGAGCAGTTGTAAATAAAGTCACACACAACTACAAGTTTGTGTGGGCTTGCTTTAACAAATTTTATGGTGAGATTTTCACTCAACAACTTGACAGTGACTTTGATTTGCTAACCTTATCACGATCAGGAACACCTAGCTGAAGACTTGCTCTAGTTTACGTGTTTGTCCAAAACTGAAGCAGTAGAGAAGTCACATCATTAAGAGAAGAAGACTGTCCATAAATGAAAGTTGTCTCAATAGATCCTTTTCATATCCCTCCCAGGTGCACTTAACAAGCTCAAGATTCAGCATCACGAAGATCCCAACAGCACAACGTTGGTAGCGAACAAGCCTTTTCTGCTGCGATCGCTCTTCACTGTGGGTGCCCTGGCTCGGCACTTCGACTTTGATCTGGAGGAATTCAAGGGTACCAACAAGGTAAAATCATTACTGTAAATGTTTTCAACAAGAAAATAACCTTCTTGTATTTTTGCCTGAAGTGAAAATAATTCTTCCAACACACTCAGGAGTCTTTTTGTGAATCGTTTCCAGGTTGTTATCAAGGAGAAAGTTCTTGAGCTGCTACTATACTTCACCAAACATGAAGATGAGGAGGTCAAGACCAAGGCCATCATAGGATTAGGTAAGACGGCTTCTTTTTGCCTTCCTTCTACAGGCCAAAGTGCCCATGGCAATTATTTTAATTGGTTATTAGGTCAAGCTCAATGTTACCTCAGTAACCATTCCATTTTTGAGAATATTTGGAAGATACAAATTAAATCTATTACAAAGAAGGTTTTAAAAATGTTAAACAGGATGTGGCTTTTCATTGCTACTAAAGGCATGCAAAACAAAGTTGAGAATTCCAATTAGACTTGATAAAGTTTGACATGTATGAGGGCCACTGGATGTATTCTGTAGAAAATGTACCACTGTTACTGCTCAGAGTTGCTAAATGTGCAGTGCTAAAGACTGCTTGTGAAGTATTTTTAATTTTTTAGTATTTTTAATTTATTATGCATTTTTTTCCGGCAGGTTTCCTGGTGGTCATGCATCCCAGCCAGATGTTTATGCCTGAGGTGAAGTCCTTGTACAATGGCATACTGGCTGACAGCTCTTCCTCCATCAACCTCAAAATCCAGATCCTAAAAAACCTGCAGACATACCTTCAGGAAGAGGACACTCGAATGCAGGAAGCAGACAGAGAATGTAAGTAAAAGGCTTGTTTATTTAGAACTTTTTATTCGCTTCTCCTAATGATACACGTATTATTATTTCTATTTCTGGTAAGTGAATTTTAGATTTTTGACTTTAAATGTTTTGCTCCCCAGGCTTGTGCAATAACAGACATATAAACACATATATTGTAACATGATGAGCCAACATCTCCTGTGCCTTCTATAGGGAAAAAACTGTCTAAACAGGAGGATCTGAAGGAGATGGGAGACATTTCTTCAGGGATGAGCAGCTCCATCATGCAGCTCTATCTAAAACAGGTGTTGGAGGCCTTCTTCCACAATCAGTCCAGCGTACGGCACTTTGCTCTTAACGTCATAGCTCTCACGCTCAACCAGGGTCTCATCCATCCTGTACAGGTAAGGGAGAGCAAGCCGAAACCTCAGATTTTTTTTTTCACAAGTTGTGTTTAATAAGCCCGCTTTAGTTTTCTCTTGCTAAAAGCTGTTCCCAACAACCTTTTCTACATGTTAATCCATCTGTTCTTTTATATTAGATCTCCCCTTAGTTCATAGAATAAAATGTAATCTCAGGCATGTGAAGCCAACAGCTGTGCTTGTCTTGTCTATGCAGTGTGTACCCTACCTCATTGCAATGGGAACTGACCCAGAGCCAAGCATGAGGAACAAAGCTGATCAGCAGCTGGTGGAGATTGACAAAAAATACACAGGATTCATCCATGTAAGTTGGTTCTCCTTTCTGTCTGGTTTCAAATTCCACCTAACATATATTTTTTAAAAGCTTGTCCATTTTTTCATCAATAAGCTATTCCATCCCTTTCCACCCCAAAAACATACAAGCTATGGATGATAATTCATTATACAGCATCCAAGCACTTGCTCATTTACAGCAAATGTCTGAGTATTGTTTGCATGGTAAATGTTGAGTAACTGATCAAAAGCTGTCTTCATATGATCGCAGATGAAAGCAGTTGCTGGGATGAAGATGTCGTACAGTTTGCAGCAGTCCATCGCTTCGTCTCGTAAAAGCATAATAAGAGGATTCAGACAGGATGAAACCCACTCTGCTCTCTGCTCCCACCTGTATACGATGATCCGAGGGAACCGGCAGCACCGCAGGGCTTTTCTCATCTCGTTGCTGAACCTGTTTGATGACAGCGCTGTGAGTCAACCTGCACTCATCTTTACACACCAGTGTGAAGTGGTGTTTCCTGATAAATCGTCATGTCAAGTGAAAATGAAACATCTCAATTTCAGGTTTATTGGCAGTGTTGGATAAGGAGCTGCAACTTGCAGTATTTTTTGGAAAAAATGCTACAGATTCTTAAAGAGAAGATGAAAGTACCGTTGAGAAAATTGAAAGCTTTTAGATGCGCCTTACAGTGCGGAAAATACAATAATTAAGTTGAAGCCATAAATCCGTGTTACATCTTTGTGAATTTTATGCTAATTTGACCGTCTGTGCCGAGACTTTGGCTCTGAAAACTTTATGGGTGCTGACTGGTTCTTGCCCTCCCACTTGTTTCTCCCTGCAGAAGACGGAAGTGAACATGCTGCTGTTTATCGCAGACAACCTGGCCTGTTTCCCTTACCAGAGCCAGGAGGAGCCTCTCTTCATCATGCACCACATCGACATCACCCTCTCTGTTTCTGGAAGCAACTTGTTGCAAACCTTCAAAGAGGTATGATTATATTATAGTAAAAATAAACTTCTTCCATCTGTAATGTCCGTTGTCCATGTTCCAAATTTCTGTCTTTTCTATGATTATCTGTAATTGCTGTTCAATGAGAATTTTAATGTAAATAAAAAGGGGAAAAATGTGTCCACAGCTGCTTCTAAAGGAGCCAAGGCGTAAGGAGAAGAAGGTGAAAGAGTGGAAGAATACGTATGATGGCGAGGATGAGCAGGAAAGGATGAACTGCGATTCCCCCAGGAGTGATGAGGACGAAAACAGCAACGGCGATAATGATCAGTTTGATGATGGCAGCGTGGTACGGCGGCCGAAGAAGACAAAAAAGTCGGCTGCACACTCAGGCAGCGAGTCCGAGTCTGATCTGGAGGATTTGGACGTTGACGATGCAGAAAAAGTAATGAGGCGTCTCCCAGACAGTCCCACAGGACTCTTGGACTTTGCCAATGCTGTTCAAGGCATCTTGCTTCTACTTGTTCTCAAACAACATCTAAAGAACCTTTATGGATTTTCTGACAGGTAAGATCTCCAGAGCTTAACCTCCAAACAGGATGTATACATGGAAGCTGCGTGAATGCAAGTTTTCGGGGGAGATTCATTTGACTTATTTATCCTGTATTTAAAATTCACCTGGATATGAAATGTTTTTGTTTCAACAGCAAAATTCAGAAATACTCTCCAACTGAATCAGCCAAAGTCTATGATAAGGCAGTAAACAGAAAAGGCAACGTACACTTCAGCCCTCGTCAAACCGTTGACTTCATTGCCAACAACATTGCTCACGCCACACTAACGGAAGATATAAAAAGGCGGATAGTCAAACAGTACCTAGATGTAAGTAATAAACTTTCACCAGATAATTGATGATCACTACTGTTTCTTTCCCTTCTGTAACTGCTTTTTGAACTAGTGGGATTTCAGACATAACCCAACAGGCCACATTTTTTATCCTCCATGTCACATGCTTGTTTCTTTCACTGCTTGCAGTTCAAAGTTCTGATGGAACATCTGGACCCAGATGAAGAGGACGAGGAGGGAGAAGCATCTGCCAGTGCCAACATCAGAAACAAAGCCATAAATGCTCTTCTGGGAGGCTCTGGCCCCATGTCAGGCCCCAGTCCCCGAAATCAGGCGGGACCAGAGACGGATGATGATGATAGCGATTGTGATGAAAGGACCCCAGGGGTAAGATGGATAGACTTATTACCAACTGGTATTAAAGCTGAAGGCTTAGAAATGTAAGGAAAACTAAATCTGCCTTTTTGCCCCATCCTGTTTACAGTCTTCTCGAAAGTCGAGGCGAGCAGGGGACTCCTTGGACCCTGGGCGTATGAGTGAGACAGTGGATGCTATGGATGTGATTGCCCTTTGCTGCCCCAAATACAAAGACCGACCACAAATAGCTCGAGTAGTCCAAAAGACCTCAAATGGATACACCATCAACTGGATGGCAGGCTCCTACTCGGGGCCCTGGGTAGATGCCAAGAAACGCGATGGCCGCAAACTGGTGCCTTGGATGGACACTATTAAGGAGTCGGACATCATTTTCAAGAAGATTGCCTTGACCAGCAACCAAAAACTGAGCAACAAAGTAGTACAGACTTTACGCTCTCTATATGCAGCGCGGGAAGGAGGGGCTAGCTAATGGCTCCTTTCTTTTTTTTGTGTTTGTTTTTGTTTTTTGTTCCCCTGTTCCATTTCTACTTATAAAAATCCTTTTCTTCCCTGCTCCTGCTCCTCCTCCTCAACAACACAGCCAAACTTCACTGGATTCCTTCCCTGCCCTTCTTCCTCATTTTTGTAAGAGAACACAGAGGGCAAGAATATTTGACACTACATACTTTTACATGAGTTATTCTTGCAAAAATGACACAAAACATAAGACTTATATTAGAGGGACTGCTCATGTTTTGTTTGTGTACATGTTCAGAGGAGAGAATCCTGAAGGCATTAAAGGAATAATTCACCCAAATTATCCCTTAAAAGGCTATCAGAAGAGACCTGGAGGGAAATGTTTTGTCAACATTGTTGTGGGAGCTCCTTCGCTGTTGTGCAGCAGATTCTAGTCGCTCATTTCTACTCCCACTGTATCATAGTTTAACACAACAAAAAACTAAAATGTTTATATCTCTGAATACAAAAAAGCTGTAAAAAAAGAATAAAACCTTAAGTGAATGTTGGAAATTAGTCTTTTTGATGTTCTTATTAAAGTGTTTTTGGAGTTTATTATACTACTAGCACCCTGATGGTTTTTTCCTTTTAGCTTTTAGATTTTGGGAAAAAAAAGAAAAAGTAAAAAAAAAAAAAAGGAATTTTTATTTTTGTTCACATTTATTTGTCCATGCTGTACAATGGCAGAGTCCTCTGAATATAATTTATTCTATTTCGAACTACGCATGCAGTATATGTGGCCTATTGCAGGAGGATATTTTGTAAATGTAGATTTTGTTGTATTAGGTCACCCTACTAATAAGAGGAAAGGGGATTCATACCCTTTTGGTGGAACAAATACTGCAATAAATTTTCTACTTCTCTTTGTCACTTGTCTGCTCAAAGTGTTCATCTGAACGGCTCGTGTTGGAAATGAAAACATTTTGACAAAGTAGGACTTGAAATAACTTACAATATTTAGTCACCACATTATTACACCATTATTTTACTTGTCATAATGGATGGTAACCTTTATTGACCCATCCAACCTTTTGAATATTATGAGAAACTGCGAATGATAAGACTCAAGACTTTATCATAACCTTTTAGATAATGTGTATTGAAGCCACTGTCCTGGTGGTTTTTAGAAGTTCCCCTGGTTCAGATGACCGGATTATGATTAAGTGGATCTATTTTAAAGCTTTGTGCAAGCCTGCTGGTGGTACATTGATGTGAAGCAGGGAAACATCTAAAATCTAAAGTACAAGGGCCATTGAGGACACATAATCTTGTGTAGTGTTTGTATTCGGCGCCATTGACGAATCACAGAGACCCTTTTTGGACCACAGGGCTTCCCGTACTTGACGTCACAGTCATCGGTCATTTGTAAAGTTTTGGCGGGGTTTGCGAATGTAACTTCACGATCGGCTCATTTTGTAAACATTAACAATCTCAGACCCACGGAAAATGGAGCGGTATGTGTGCATTTCTTTAAAAAAAGTCTACTTGAATTTTTCCTTAAAAATGTTAAGAGCCCGCTCCCTGGGTTTGTATACTGGCAGTCAGCTGTTATTGTTAACGACGCTCGCAGCCGTTAGTTTTTTTAACGAAGGGAGCAGCAGCCGTCAATTGTCTTTTTGTTCTGCTCTATTTTTTTTCTTACTTTTCTAAGAGTTTCGTGTAAATTAAGTTCAAACAAAGTGACTCTGAGCTGGTTGTAACGTCAAATGTTCAATGCTAATCTCTCGAACTCGGTTTGTGACAGTTAGCTGCTGACAATTGTGTCTACATCCGACATCGTCCTATTAAAATGCATTTATTTATGGATTACAGCGCAACGCAAACATTAGAGTCGTGTTGACTAATGAGCTGTGTTTCTTATGAATGTGATTGTGTTCAGTGGAAGGATGAGCCGAGCTACAGCCAGCAGACAGTCGGAGCTGCCGATGAGGGTTCAGGACAGCAACAGGATGAGCATGATGTACACAACCCCTCAGAGGTCTGCCCATCCTCCTCACAAAACAAATGTTAGAGCATTGGGATGAGCCAGCAAAGGTTTAGCTTTACTGTGTCTCTTGTGTTACAAAAAAGAAAGGAAATGGATTGATATGTTTTTAAGACATAACACACATGACATAACACACAGTACACCAGGTCACTAGAAGAATTGTCAGAAATTATGATTAGCGATAAAATGGAAGCATTTGTCCCAGTATTTTTTCAAATAAAAATCATAAGGTTGATTGCCTTGATTAAAAATATATATATATTTATTTACAGTAAACAGCCTTCTTTTGGAAAGCTCAGCATATCCAAACCAGCTTCTGTAACCTCAGAGAGGCGGACCAGCTTCTTTGGTGCCAGGTGAGTTACTGGAAGTTTAAAGCTTATAGCATAGCTGTACAGAATGAACCATGGCGATGGGAACGTATGTAAAATATAAGTAAACATTCACAGAAGAGTTTGAATCACTTGAAGCTGAATTTTCCCACAGTCACAGTACATGACTAAATGAGTGAATGTTGCAGTGTGCTGAGGAAGGCTGAACGAGTTACACATACATGCCTACAATGTGGCATTTCAATTTGATGATCCGTTTGTTAATCTGTTGAGTGGGGCCAGCATGCCTCGTAACAGCCTCATGTCGGGGTTCGGAGGGACTGAAAAGATCAAAGATGCCAGACCTCTTCATGATAAATCGTATGTTCAGCAGTGCATCAGGCAGCTTCACGAGGTAAAAGACACCTTTCTAAATGTGTGTTTCTACAGACACAGAAAAGATTAGCCATCACAAACAAGTTACTTTTATTTGGTTCAGGCTGATTTTTCCTTATTTTGACCAGTTCCTAACAGAGCAGGGATACCCAGGTACTCTGTCAGGCAAAACCCTCCAGTCACCGTCCACCAAGGAGTTTGTGAAGATGTTTGAGTTTATTTATCGTCAGCTTGACCCAACATTTGAAATGATCAATTCCAAAGTGGAGGAAGAGGTTCCTGCTATCCTGAGAGCCTTGAGGTAAGAATCTACATCGACGTGTTTATATGTTATTGTTATTGCTATATTTCATGTACTTTTTCAGTCATTGTAAATATTCAGAGTTTTGCTGTATATTTGAAAACCAGTCTGTCTTTACCCCTTTCTCATTGCTTTTAAAGGTATCCATTTGTTCTGTCCAAGTCTTCAATGTATTCCGTTGGTGCTCCCCATACCTGGCCTCAGGCACTGGGTGCTCTCATGTGGCTCATAGATAACGTCAAGGTGAGGGGCTAATCCACTAGAAAATATTTATTTAGAGAAACACCTTTTGAGAGGTTCCCAATATTCCGAGTGTCTGTGTTTCAGATAAACTGGAGTTTGAGTAAGCAGGAGCTGCTTTTCAGTGACTTTGGTGAAGATAACATCGAAGAGGGGGCTGAGTATAACAAGGTTTGCTCGCTACTATAACTGAAACAGTAGGTTGAAAGCGAATTTATGTATATGTGTGTGTAACTGCGTCTGGAAGTGAATCAAACACAGCACTTCTTTTTTTACATAAAATGTTTTTATAGTCATGTTTATGTGTCTACAGCAGAGCCTTGTGGTCCAATGTATAATTCCTGTTTTTAATTACTGGTTTTTAACGTTCTTAATCACAATGTTTCTGGGCAGCTCTTCCTGGACTACACAGCTGAAACATACTCAAAGTTCATGCAGGGGGATGACACATTTGAAGATGAAGATGAAGCATTCCTCAACAAATTAAGTAAGAAAAGCATATTAATCCATACGAATCTTTCCAACTTTGTTTTTCCCTTTTTAATGTATTTCTGCTCATTTTTCAGTTTAATGTATTCAGGAAATTCGTAACATGAATCTTCAATTAAAAGCCTATATGTGTGTTTCCACAGAGAAGCTTTACAATGTTGATGAGGCCGTGCTGGCCTCCATGGAGGAGAAACACAGAATACTCACTGAGGAGGTTGAACGGCTGGAAAAGGAGAGTCAAACTGTACGATATACATGTTTTTAAATCTTCATGTTTCAAATAAGATACACAGAGGGTAATGGCACAGCATGAACTGGATACCAAATTAATATTTTTTTAAAAGTCCCCTTTATGAAAGGAAAGTAGCACCTTTATGAATCCTCTGTGCAGATGTTTAAGCTGTTGTGACATATTCTGCTTTATTGCTTTTCATATTTAGCTAATTATTTATCTCTGTGCTCAGGACCGTCTGATGACCAAGAGGATGGAAAGGGTTAAGCTTCAGGCAGACCTCAAGAAGCTCCAGAGCTATCGAAGCAGCTTGGAGTCTTTCAAAGCAAACCTGGAGAACAAAGCTTCAGAACTGACTGATGAACTGGAGACCACCGGTAACTATGGGCCCTTCACTGTTCCTTTACTTCTGTCAGTCAGGCAATTCCTGAATATCGAGACAAAATGTGTGTCTTGGTTTCGGCGTGGTGGTGGTGGGAGGGTGTAACATTTACAAGTCGCCAGTTCTTATTCGTTGTGTTTGAAAAATTTTCATCTCCTTTAGTCCTGAATATTTGGAGGGATTTTAGTCACTGTCAACATATTTTTCCTGTTCTCTTATCCAGGTCCTTCTTATTTCATGTCATCTATAACTCTTGTGTACTTTTTTTCCCCTTTTAGCCAGTCATCTGGAATCTCTGAAGCATGAGAGGAACGAGCTGCAGCAGCGCCTGCAGAACCAGAAGTTTACTCCAGCAGACGTGGACAGAATCAACAGAGAGAAGAGGGAACTGCAGCAGACCATCAGCAGCCTCAGCAAGGCCCTCGAGGATGCTGAACAACACAAGTGGAATGAGGAGATCACTCTGGCAAAAGTCAAAGAAAAGGTAGCGTCTTTGTGCCCCGTGTGTGGAACTGGGTGAATGCCAGTTCATTATATATCTCAAGAAAATCTAGAAAAACTTGTTTACATTGTCTGATTTTATGATTCTCATCTGGTGGCACATTTTCTGACATGGTTCTTTTTTTTTTCTCCACTTTTTATTGACTAATTTCTTTGTCCCTGTTGATTCCAGGTGGATTTGAAGTTGGGCGAGTACCACAAGCTGGCCAGGAAACTGAAGCTAATACCTCAGACTGCGGAGAACGCCTGTGGTCACGATTTTGAGATGAGGCCATTTGAATCTGGACTCAACAGCGTGATTCAGCACAAAACACAGATCCAGGTAGTTCCAGCTGACGATCCGATCAACGACCATGTAGTCTTTTACCTACTTTTATCTGGTTGGATCAGGGTTTTTAGTTAGCATTGAATGGAAACTCAAAAAAGTATTTATTCACAATGTTGCCATGTGCATCTTGGTTTGCAGATGCTTCTCAGAAAGCTGATTTGTGATGTTGAAGAAGAAAACAGCCGGTTAGCGAACTTGAAACTCAATCTGGACGAGTCTTTCGAACAGGTGAAGCAACTTTCATTTCGATGCCCTGTACCCGTTTCCAGAAACACTGCGGTCAGCAGCAGTGGCTGCACCGTTTCATGTTTGTCCTGCTTGTTTTGTCCAGGTGAATTCCAACATCATAGACAAGTCCAACGATCTGAAGCAGCTGAGGGAGCAGATCCGCAAGCTGGACGAGTGGCTGGATTCTAACATGCAGGTATGGCTCACATCTAGCATCGCCACTCTAAAAAAAAAACGAACCGGCGTGTTGTGCGCGTGGGCCTTCATGCACGACGCTGCATCCCTTTGTAGGAGCTGGCCCGAGAGGAGCAGGACTGGGCAGCAGAGATGGAGTCAGTGGAAAACCATCGCAAACTTCTCGAGAAGAAGGTTAATTTTGGTTACGATGATGCCGTGCAGCAGCTGAAGGCAGCACAACAACAGTAAGAAGCTACATCCTCAAACCGAGTTACATCTGAATATGCTGCTGCTGTGACTGGAGGTGGCATCTGTCTCGCTTGTTGCTACCTGTTAAAGGCTCAAGGACTTTTGGTCCCTTTTCTTTATCTCCAGGTACCACCTGGTGAAGCAGGAGACAGACGAAGAGAGCCGAACTGTCGCCAACAACCTGGCGTCTGTATTCACTACAGCTGCCAACCACTTGTCAATTACCGAGGTAACTTTACACTTAAAGGAACAGTCCACACACCTAAAAAAACAAACATTACTCGTACTAAAGTACAGGGAGACATGTGTTTTTAAAATCACGCGTTGGGAGCGTGGGGAGGCTGTTGGGAGCTCCTAACGCTGACAGCTGGGTCTCTCTGTTTTTCCTGCACAACAGAAGTGTCTGGAGGACCTGCACAGCAGAGTGCAGCGCATCTGCTCTAAGGCTGTAGAGGAGGACGAGGCGGCCGTGAAGAGGATGCAGGACACTTTAAAGAGCTTCATGTCAAAGGCGAACAGCTTATAAAAAGTTGGAGGTTTGTCAGGCTGCAGCTGGTGCCGATTTCAAGGACAGTGGAAGCATGTAGATGTTCCCTTTCCCTACTTTGACTTTTGTATTTTTTTTTAAATATTGTGCAGGGATGGGAGAAAAGCATATTATTATAACCGTAGATTGTTGATGTTCACATTCACAATAAAGCTCAATTCATAACCCATCAGTCTCTACTTTTCTGTTTATTTGTGCACAAACGGGTCCTGTCTTTGCTAGCCTGTCAGTAGACCGTTAGGTTAGTTAGGCACCAGTAGATGGCAGCACACTTTCACCGATTCCTGGCACACTGTAAGTTGCCTGTTGGCTGATTGAGACATTAATGTTTTTTTTCCCTTCGGTTTTATGAGGTGGTAGAGTGTGTAAGAAAAACAGACTGAGTGACAACATAAACACCGTGTGATCTGCTCTTAAAACCATGACTCACTTTTCTCTGCTTCTATTCTAAGCTGCTGCACTGGCAATGCCGCAAGCATGCTGCATGATTTTACCTTCGCGCAATGCCAATAAAACTTTAGATTTCATTGTTTTGGAAGCTGTTGGAGTGAACAACAGCCAGTATCCCCCTTTTGATTCATGTAAGTCAAAGAGCAAATGAACCCCCACAACGTTTTTCAACTGGGAACAAAATGTTTCCACATCTGTACCACATCTGTAATTGTGAGTATTACTTTCAAGCTTGTTAATTTTAATTTCACAAAGCCGATTAAAGCTTTAAAATGCGCCGTATTAGCAAAAATCCCATAAAGCAGACGACTCTCTAATGAGTAAATTATGCTTTTTAGAATGTTTATTTCCATCCAAGAGTGGATGTTTTCTCCTCTGGGAGGAACATTTATTTGAAAAATCTTTTCATGCAATCATGGATGCCAGTGAGGAGACATACAGGAAGTATCAGTAACTCCACAATGCACTCCTGTATTTCCAATTAAGTTTGCATACTTGTCTTCTGGTACTAGAATCTTTTTGCATTCACATCTGCCTCAGATGCAATCCAGGCTTTGATTCTGGTTTATTCAGTTTTTTGGGGGGGAAAGGCACTGATCTAGGATTTGAAAAGCTGTGAAAACTTTAAATAATAACATCTGGTTTTAAAATTTAGCTCCTCTCGTTGGACAGAGTGTGCTGATTTAGGATTTCACAGAAGTGTGTTCCTTTTCCATTTCTCATGTTTTTTCGCTTGAGAGGCAGCATCTGCTCTGAACTTTAATACTATTAAATGGGTCTGTCTGGTTGTTTGCTGATTTAAACACTGAATGGGATAAAAAAAGAAAATTATAATTTGAACAAATATATTAAATAATTGTATTTGATGAAACAAGATCAAGAAATTATTCACTTTTCAACAGTGAAAAGAAAAAGTAACATTATTGTAATTAAAAGTCAGAGTCACATATCTGTTATTATTCCCAGATTTGTGGTTCTTTTGCCTTTTCCTGTAATAGTAATGAACAGTTTCTAATTAAATTTGAAATAACAAAATGTCCAGTTTAAATGGAATCTATTCTTTCACTGGATGACGAACACAACATTTAATCCGGAAATTAATATATCAAAACATACGTAAAAATGTCCCAAATGATCATCCTCTGGCATCGTACATAGAAGCCAAATAATTTCTGTGACCACATACTGAAGTGTCACCATTAATTTGTTGTGGCAGCTAAATTGTAGAACAGCACCTTATGTCGATACAATCATGTCTGAGGCAAGCTTACATGCGGAGCATTTGAAAACTGTCAAAGCTGTAAGCGTGAGAGAAATGTTTTGGCAGACGTGATGAGGAGAGATGAGGTGATTATTAGGGGCTCCATCAAGAGGGGGAATGAAAACGTGATGGATAACTTCCACCGCCGGCTGGAACCGCCCTGAACCTTTTGTGAGTTTTGGCCGGGGTGTTGGAGAGGAGAGGAGTGGTTACTCTGCAAGATGAAGGACAGGAGGAATTCCTGTGCCGTGTGCTGACCGCTAAAGAGACATAATTAAACTAAACAGTCCAGTGTGTGTTTACCAGATCCCACTTGGACAGGTGGCTTTGTATAAGTGATAAAACAAATGCCATGATATGTGTGCCTTTGCTTTGTCTGAGGAATACACATACATGGTGGGTTTCCTCCTTCCTTATTACACAGTTATTCCCGGTGTGTGTATTGTCCTACGTTTCATGTGGCCCCTCAGTCAGCGTGGGCCTGTTTTCTTTCATGGGTCATTGCATTTAAAGACACAGGAGCTGCATGAATTCTTTATGCAGTGTGTGTACCTGCACTCTGTGGAAGTCAATATGACGTGGCTGAGGGCAAAAGCTTGTTTGTGTGTCGCTCCCATAGGGCCTCTGATAGAGACAACATGTAGGCAAGACAGCATCCGAAGATGTGGATCATGTGAACTGTAACCCAAAGTTAGAATGGGCCCTGCTCTGTAGCTGGAGGCAGACACAGTAGATCGCTGAGGTGTTAATGAGCAGCCTTAATGCGGGTTCATCTCACACATCGGCCACCACAATGATCCGATCTACAGATGTGACAAAAGGGAGCAGAGAGAAGGAGCTCAATGGAAAAGGAAAGCAAGCTCCATTTTCTCTCAAATTTCCCTGTACAAACACCATTGTCTTGTTGAAATCTGTCTTCTTTCAGCCCACACTGTGACTTGCTCTGGCATTTCAATTTCTGTTCCAGCATCAAATTGTCTCCAGATTTAGCAGACAAATCAACTCCGGCGTGTGGCAGACAACTGCTGTCACAAAGCCCCAACTCAAATCTCTTCATCTTAAGCACATACACAGCCATGGATACTTTCGTTAGCAGTTACAGAAGTAAATGGGCGTCCTTGGACATTTAAATTCCTGCTGTGATGTGTGTGCTGGATTATTTTGAACTGCGTATTTGAGAGGGTATGTGGTGGAGAGTAGTTATGGTTTGGCGTGCAACTCCAAAATATAAACAAATTTGGAGTGACGTTGATTGTACACCCTGTAATGGCTGCCAGTCAATCACAGGACAAATGAGACAAATAGCCAGTCACATTCACTCTTAATCGTTTTGAGTTTATATTACACTTTCTGTCAGTTGAAATTCTGACATCATATTATATTATAAAGAAATTTTGTCTGACTTTGAGTTATATTATTTGAGTATGTTTAAGTTATCATTTTTAAAAAAACAGTTTTGTGTTAAAGTTCTTCTTTTTTTATCAATTATTTTCCACAGTTGTGTACATTTTGCACCTTAGGGCCCAACCCACAAGGCATCGTACGCATTTATACCTTTGACTGATGGACGAGAATACTGATATGAGTGTAAATCTACATTTTCTGATGGAAAACCTTTAATCCTCTTGAATTGTATGCTCTACAGCAATGGCCACGCATCAGGCAAGCGGTCGGTTGGTCAGAGATTGGCTTCTGTGTAAAAAGCTAGGAAAAGTCACCCTCACCGAAGTGGCTTGTGACACTTGGCTGTATCTCGTGTTGTCAGGTGTCTCATGTCAGCTCCTGCTGCCCGTGCTTCCTTCTTGCTATGTCTCCTTTGATGAGAGTGCAGTGTTGATATTGCAGCAGCTTCCTGTGTGATTTCGCTGCATGTTGACAGTCGGCTGGGCGTTGAGGCCCAGTGTGAAGTGCTTTAATCAGGGTGTCTTTTGTTGAATAATAGCTTCGCTGAGCGACCGGTTTACACACAGCAGGTTTTTCCATCTCAGCTTGCTCATAATTCAACCATAAGGCACAAAACATAACAGTTTCTCAATGTTATTCTTTTGTGTCAAAACAATTTATCCTCAGAATTCAGGATCCACCACAGATTTGACCAGAAAAAAAAGGACAAAAAGAGTTTCCCATGGTGACGGCTCAGTCTTGCAGAGCCTCTCAAGAAGAAAGAGAAGCAAGACAGCTGGAAACTTTCTGGAGCGTCATGCAGCTCTTCTGTTGATGAGAGCACGTTTTGTGGCTTACTCCAATCAGAAAGCTTGTTTTAAAATGGAGATAAATGACTTCATGCTTCTTTATCTTTAACGTTGGTGCGTCAAAAAGAATATTTATGTTGCAGGTGCAACAGGATATGCCTCCGATTCTGCTCAGATAAAACACAATTAAGTTAAAAAACACAAAGCCTGTTATTTGTTTTTGCAACACCAGAGAAAGTTCAATTGTATTTCAAGAGTAAGGAAATCATATTTCTTTCACACCCTCTTTGTCTGGCATGGAATTTAGTAATTGAAGCACATTCATAAAGTTTTTATCCGGACAGAAAAGAAAGATTGAATTTGGAAAGCTAATCGGGACCATCCTGAGACCACCGGGGGCCTTCATCAAGACTTCTTTGGGCAGCAGTGATATTCTAAATGCTTGTATTAGAGTAAGCTCAATGCTGTTTGCCTGGTGCAACTGAGATCAACACAACCCAAAAGATATCATTTCTTGTATTTTTGTCCGGTACCCAAAGTAGAATCAGTCGTTACAACTATGTTTTTCTCATGCAGTGTTAAGAAGTGATGATGTTTTATGTCTTCCTAAAAGCCATCACTGCTGTTTTCGACCCACAGGGCAGCCACATTACAGAGGTGAACACTTTATTTCCTGTCCTGGTGATGTCAGTTGAATATGTGCCCACTTCTGCGTGATACAGAGCACTTTCCGCCATATGGAATAACTTAAGCGAATCAAAGGGCAAATAAACATGCCATGTCTTCTCTCCACTTGTTGTGGAAAAAAAAAGCCTTCCAATATGCAGCAGTTAAACATAGTTGTGTGTGTCTGTGAGCACGAGGGTGAGCTAGTTGAAATTTCCGAATACTTACCGTTAGATTGTTCTGGGAACTAGATTTGGGGTGGAGATGTGAGTGAGTGAAGTGCAGAATGAGTGGGTTGGATATATCAGATTTCCAACAGTTTGTCACACTCTCTCAGACCTGGATGGGGGTTATTAAGGCACTGGGAGAGGTCCTGAGAAGGCCATTTTAAAGTATGAAAGGTTGTGGAGAGGTTATATTGGGGTTGTGAATTAAAAGTTTGAACTGGTGGCTTGCTCGGAGTCATATTCTTGTTTGAATGGATCTATTTCAGGGTCTGTTTACCTGAGGGTGGAAACAGATGTCCATTAAAAAATCAGATGTGTGCACATAACTGTGTATGTTTTTTGGGGGGATTTCACACACAAGGTTTGAGTTTAA